ATTCTTACCTGGTTAATTTACTAGTTATAATATATTAAATATTTTAATATCTATATTAAAATCTATATCTGATTAATAATACTTATATATATTATTATTTTTCTAGATTATATTAATTATACTTACCACTAGAGATATTATTATATAATCTTAAATATAATCTATTTATATAATTTATATTTAATCTGTACTAGTACCTCTAGTTATTAAACTTAATATTAAATATTTTAATAATATATATTTTTTTGGATTATTTATATATTATCTAATTTATATTAAATCTATTTAAAGAACCGTTTCTTCTTGCTGGGTGGTAATATTATAGTTAAATATAATATTTATATTTTTATTAATATTAAATAATTAAATTAATATATAATTAGCTGGAAGCTGCTTAGATTATTTAATATTATATAATATTTATTTATTATAATATAATCTAACTATTACTGTATCTAGAGTTAATTTATAAATAAATAAAAATTAAAATGTTTACTTAACTTAGGAATTATTAAAATAATAAATATATTATCTAGTAGATAATAATTATTCTATACTATATAAGTAATATCTAGTTACTAGTACTACTTTTAAAGATCTTATTAGAATAATAATAGTAATATTATTATAATAATTATTTTATTAGATTTAAATTATACTAGTAATATAAAAAGCATACTTTTTTTATTATCTATAGATATTATTACTATTATAGGATTTTTATTATTCTAGATTATTTATAGTACTATACTTTATACTTTTTATAGTTAAAAATTTATTTATTTTATTATTTTCTATACTACTTATATTATATCTACTTGTTATAGTTAGTACTGCTATTATATTTAATATATTTTAACTATTTTTTTTATAATGTTTATTTATACCTATCTAGCATCGAAGAAAGCTTAGAAGCCTATATTAATATAAATTTTAAAAAATAATATTAGTCTGTATTACTTGCTTGAAATAATATTTATTAATATATTATTATTTTTATTATTTTTATAATTTACTATTTATATATTAGTCCTGTTATATGCGACGAGTAAATTATCTAAAGATTTATAATATAATTTATCTATTAAATAGTATTTATATAATTTTTATTAATAATATTAATATTAGCTAGTTTTATTTTTTATTCTTCCTGCTGGTTGTGCCGGAACTGGTTATTAAATTATAAAAATTAATAATTAATTTTTATAGTTAGATTTTAGTATACTGGAATTATAATATCCTAATAACTAAATTATATCTAGATTTCTTATTTTAAAATTTACTAGAATTAATTAGATAATTATTTATAGTTAATACTAGAGTCTAGTTCCTAGAGATATAAAATAATAAATTAAAAAATTTTATTTATATATAGCTGTTTACTTCGTGGTAAGATTCTAATAATCTTAAATTATTATATAAATAAAAAAATAAATTAAAAATAATAAATTAATAGTTTTTTAATCTCCTATAACAAGTACTAATGGATAATTTTAATATTATTATTTATATAAAATCTCTTGTAATATATAGTTACTAATATTATTATTTTATTTTTAATATATATATTATACTGTCGGTTTTAATCTATATTAATATATTATAGATTTAGTAACTTAGGAATCTGGATAAACTAGCTAGTTATAATATATATAAATATTATAAATTTTTTTTTAAACTAGACCACCCATTGGAGGTACATATAGATTTTAATAAAATAAAAATAATTTATCTAAATAAACTTATATTAGAAATATAGATTATTCTATATTTAATTAATTAATTATTATTATTTTTTTACTAGTTATAGTATGTATGAGTCCTATAGAAAATTCTAACTTAGTATATTTTATACTATATTATTATATAGTTTTTATTATAAGATTATGGGTAGATTTTTTATATAAAATAAATAATATAAAATATTTTTTATTACTTTTATCAGCCCGTGTATAAATCCTTGAAATTTATCTATAATAAATTAAATATTTTTATATAAGATTTTATCAGTCTTAATCCAGGCTATATATTTTAATATTATATTATTATAATAGATCTTTAATCTATATATATACTAGTTAAAAAAAGTCTATATTAGTCTATATATACTCTGTATTATAAAGCTCTAAACTATTTATTTAAGATTTTTTTAAAATGTGCAGTAACTACTTATATATAATAAAAATATTAATAGACTACAGGCAGGAGTGCTATAAATAAAATAAATAAATAATATAAAATTTTTATTAGATAATTTTAGTAATAAAACTATTTTTAAGTAGTCTAGATTCCACCTGTAGTTAATAAAATTATAATTATTAATAAATAATAAGAATTAGTAAATTTATTATATAAATTATTATTAATAAAAAATAGACTGGAACTATAGAAAGTAGATATATTTATATATATCTAATCTAAATTCTCTAGCGTGTTATTAGTACTAGTAAGTACTTATAAAATATTTATTTAATATTTTTATTATAAAATAATAATTTAAAATATGGCTTAATCTAACTAGAGTATTTTTTATACTATAAAAAACCACGTGATCTTGATTATACTAGATAGAATTAGAGAATAATTATTATATATATATTATTTATTCTTACTATAGTTTAAAATAGTTATAATATATATTAGTATATTCTTATACTCATGGCTCTACTGATATTAGTTAAATAACTTTATATAAAACTTTAAATATATTTATTTTTATTATATTATTAGCTACAGGTACTACTTATTATTAATAATTTTTTCTATATTATTTATCTGTATTACTTACTAGAGTATATACTATTTTTAATATTATTATAATATAAAGTTATAAAGCAGACTTATTTAGCTATAAAATATCTATATCTGAGTAAAGAAGATTAGAACTTATTATTAGAGATATATATACTTTATAATATTATTTTTATTTATATATTCTAGTAGTGGTTAGTACGGTAGTTCTATTTATTATATATAAATTATTTTTATTTAGATTATTATATTATAGTATTGTACTGTCCACTAGCTTTTCTATATAATTTAATTAATTATTTATTAAAATATTTAAATAGTTTTTTTTATAAGATTATTAATTTCAGTAGATAGATACCAGACATGCTACTATAATTATAGTAAAAATATTTTATTATTAAAGATATCTATATTCCATGAGATAATTTATTAGAGATTTTATATTATACTAGTAAAATCTAGAGGCGCTATATTATATAAAATATTATAAAGATAGATATTCTATAAATATATTACCTATTATATTATATATAACTAAGGATTAGTATTAATAATTAATTTATATTAGATTAATATTTAAGCTTATTTATATTCTAACTTTTTCTATATTTAGATAATAATATTAATAATTTACTATATTTAGCTGGGCGCCGGTATAGAGAATTGTTAATTATTAAAAAATTAAATATAGATATAATATAATCTTACATAGATAGAGAAGAATTTTTAATAAAAAACTTATTAAAAATTTTTTTAAATATTATTATCTAGTATAGCTTCTAGAGATATTATAACTTACTTTAGATTTATATATTAGGATTATTGATAGATAAATTATTAATATTTTTATATAAATTTTATATTAGATATTATATACTAGCAGATAGAAGAATCATATTGATATAATATTTTATTAAAATAGTAAAAAATAATTAAAAAAAACTCATCTAGTATCTAAGAAATCTATATATTTTAATAATTTAATATTAGATTAGATTATTAATAGATTATCTATATTATTTATTTTATAGTTTAATAATCTAACTAGTATTAGTACTTTAAATAAGTTTTTATCTTTATAGGCTATATATTATACTGATACTAGTAATATATTATTATTTATAGATAAGAAATAGTTTTAAATAGTTACTCCTCTATAAATAAGATAATATAGTATAATAGATAATTAAAAAAATATTATATAAGTTTTAAGATACATACACAGATTCAATCTAAAAAATAGAAATTAGATAGTAATTAGTAATATAGTAGGGTATATTACATTCTAGTAAAATCTTATTAAACTTTAATAAAATTATAATAAAAATTATTAACTTTAACTAACCCGTTTATAATATAGAGAGTAACTATTGAATTCAAACTTTAGAAACTTATAGTTAAGTAATAAAGCTACTTATTATTAAATTTTTAGGTCTCTGTGATTTATGGTTTGTGAGAATATTATACTCTAAAAATTAATTCTACTATATTCTATGTTAAGACTTTTCTTCCATATAAACTACCCGCATTCTAATTCCGCTGTATATGCGATCCCACAACCCCAGTGGGTTAGGATATTTTTTACTTTTATAACCGGACTTCTTATAGTAAAAATATTTCTTATTTTTTATTAAGACTAGAAGTCTGGGTATTTTCTCTGGTTATTTTATTTATTTATTTAGTTAGTTAGTCAGGTGGGTTTTTTGGCCGTTAGATATTATTAAAAATATAGAATAAAGATTATTAATGGTTTAGCAGGAGCTGGTTATGTATAGTAGTAAAAAAGAAATAAAGAATAATACTTAAAGTTATAAAATAGCTGTTTAACGTAATAAAATGAGGTCGTATTAGTGCTAACTACTCTAGAACTTTAAGTATAAGGAGGGAAAAAGGAAAATAAGAAATATTATAAGCGTTCGCTTAAAGAAAACAATATCAAAATAAATAAAACAAACGTGGTCACATAGTCCTGAATGAGGCTGCTGTCACAGTATTGAACTAATTTGTCACGGAAGGCTTGTTAGGCGATCATATCACCACCCATGGACAGAACGGATCTCGGAATGAACACACTGATAGGCTAGAGAGTATATTAAAATGCTTTGGGCGATGCACATCACACGACAACAATTGGTCTTGATACTATTTATATTGACGAATAACTAGGTAGTCATCTCGCAATAGCGTACACAGAGAAACTTCAAATGACCAAAACCGAAATTAGATCTTGAGATCATTAATCTTAGAGGACGGAATTGAGAGATCCATTACTTCAGTCATTGGAACTCATCAAACTCTACAACAAGCTTTGTACCTCGACCTTCTCCTTTTCGAAGAAGTTCGAGACCGTCTAAGATGTCCCTTAATCCGCCCTTGATTGTTGTAGTGGGTGGACATCTGATAATGTCGATGCTCATGGTTGATAAACTAGCATAGAACCTGCTGATGACCTCACGATCTGACGGTATCACCGGGAACACGGGGCCGACAGGCGCCAGCAACTGAAACTCTCGACCGAATACAGTGAAAACCATAAGGAATCTGTAGGACACGGTTGGCTTCTTCGGTTTTCCTTGGTCAAGGAGCGTGACCACTTTGCCCTCTCGTAGTACATCAGCACAAAAGGCGGCCGAATTCCCTTCAGAGAAGCAGTCCAGAGCTCTCAGGATGTTTGGATACGCCTTCTTGATTTCGCCAATGGATGAAGAGGACCGGTAGTCGTATACTGCATCTGCACCGTATTGCTTCACAAGGTCGAAGGAACGGGGCGAGGCCGTTGCCACTACCTTGTATCCTGCTCTCTTCGCTAGTTGGATGGCAAAGAGACCAACGTTCGATCCTCCCGAATAAATGAAAATGGTTGGTTGATCATCTTCGAATGTGCGTCCGTTCTCAATATCTTCCCAAGAAATGTCGAGGTACGTAAGGCTCAGCATCGCGGTGGCTGCGGGAACTCCGTAGGTGCTTGCTACGCCCAAGTTCATTGCCTCAGGCACCTTCCAGGCCAGGTCTCCGTCAACTTTAAGGTGCTCTGCGAATGAGCCAACATCGGGATACAGGCCACCGTGAACGAAGCCTGCAATTTTATCTCCAACCTTCCAGCGCTGTCCCGATTTTTTTCCGACCTTAACCACCTCGCCTGCATAGTCACAGCCGATTGCAGAATTCCGGGGGGCAAAGAAATCGATGTTTTTGAAATCGATCGGATTCAAGGCAACGGCCCGTACTTTAACCAAAACCTCATTATCAGTGATGCTTGGGACAGAAACATCCTTGACTTGTGCCCCAAGCCCAAGCGGTCTTCCGAGAAGAAGGCTCAGTACACGTGTGGGCAGAAATCGATGAGTGGTGACCGCTTTCATGATGACCTCTAATATGCCTGTGCTGTTTGCGAAGGTAGAATAAGCAAAAGTAGGACAATATACTGAGTAAATGGGAAACTCGTGTGTACTTGGCTATATTTGAATGATGGACTCGGGTGTGCAACTTCAGTTCGCGGTGGCAAAGCTACTCTCAAACGCTAATCATCTCAACATCGGATGAATTGAGCTCAGGCCGACGGGAGCAACCAGCATCGTGCACTGAGGATGCTGATAAATACATAGATCAATTATATAATACCAAACAATCAATTTTAACTTCTTCGACTTGATTCTATGAGTGAGCCACCCATATTGGGGCAGGTCTGTTACTCTATGAGATTGTCAGCAATGAGTGGAGCTGAGGGCATCACTACTGCAAGTGCTGACCGCCTTCCTCAGCTGTCAGATAATTACTCATCTATCCGGTTCCGAGTCTGTAACGATCAGTAATCATTTAAGGATCAGTAATCAAGCCGATAACTGGGGATTGCCTCGGTATGCAAACTTCCCAGTCATCCGACCCGATGACTGAACTCTGAAAGGAGCTAAGGGGGCTAGGAATAGGTCAAGCAAATGTTAAGATAGGATTTTGGGTGACAGGTAAACTTACACATGCCACATGCCCTACAGGAAATGTCTCCCTACCCGATAAAATAGTGCATTGCCTTCTACAGTGGAGTAAGAACTACAGGCGAAGCTTCTTTGCCACACATTTGGGCTTTATCAGTGCTCGACTGGTCAGTATACTTGGTATTTTCCTAGTGAATACACACGAATACTCAGTGAGTCCGTGGCCGGAAATGGCAGGGATAGTCTAAGTTTACGTTTCCTGATTCAATTTATGAGAATTAGGGGTTTATAATCCCGAGAGCGAACAATGAGCACACATATTGAGGAACTCAAATGATATTTCCTAGAAGAACATCGTAAGTAAGAGTGGATTTTAAGTAATCTTAAGTTCTCTCAGAGCCCATGATAAGATATAGTTTAAAAAATTAAAGATATTAATTATATTTATTATCTAGATTATAACTAGAAAAAAGAAAAAGAATATCTTAGTAGTAGTGGCCAACGTGATCAGAACACGTGATCCTCACCTACCAGCCAACCAGGCACCTCAACATTATATCTGACATGTGAACAACACGAGGAAGTAAGAGGTCCTAGTGATGTGTTAGCATAATGGATGAACCTGTTCTCTGCAAATGAGGGGAAACTGCCAACCTAGATAGTGGACCAGCCGAATGTTGAAGCCAGCCAAGTGATCAAAGCCCCACCGCCTGACCAGAGATGTTTTTTGGGACTTGATCGGATTGACATCCATAGCACTTTTCTCAACCTGGATTCATGCCAATACCGGTTCAATCACATCCTTCGCGGGGTAATAGAGGGAGCTCTCAGGCAACACTGGTTTACTCAGAAGATTTTGGAACAATTTCGTTCTAATTGCACCAGTAGTCACAAGAATTGCCTGGACTCCCCAAGGAGAAAACTCAATGCGCATTTGGTCAGTCAAATGAGCGAGCGCGGCTTTGCTTGCATTGTAATAGCCTTGCCATGGAAGTGGCAGCTTGCCAAGGACTGATCCAATGTTGATAATCTTTCCTTTCGAGGCAATCAATAGTGGTGCAAACGCTTGTGTTACAGAAACGACAGCAAACACATTAACCTCGAATATCCTCTTCGCTACTGAAATATCCGAGTCCAACAAGGGCATGCAGTAACCTGTCGAGTTTTTAGCTTACATAGACTGCTTCAAAGTCGTGAGACCTACCTGCGCCCGAGGTGTTGACCAGGAAGTCCAAATATCCGCCTGTTGCAGCCTTCACAGTTGACACTGCTTGTTTAATTGACTCTTCGTCAGTGACATCTAGCTGTATGATGTCGAGACCCATATCCTTAAGGTGTTCGACTTTGGCGGTATTACGGGCACTAGCAAAAACCCGAAAGCCTTTCTTATGGAAGAGTTGTGCAAGAGCGTCACCTATTCCACCTTCACTGCAACCTGTGGTGAGAACTGACTTCTGGCTCATGTTTGCGACCGATAGTTTGGAGCGCGACCGATCCGCTTCTCAGAATAATAGTACAACGAATACTCTGGATCGTATATGAGGTATAAGCGCCATTTTGTTGGGAAGGAGTAGAGAGTATGGGACCTATTGGTAATAGGCGCCTGTAGATTAGCACTCATACAGTTATTTGGAACTGAATTCAACTCATCGACGCCAGCCGGTGGGTCGGACATCGGGTTGATTACAATACTTCCCGTTTTGCCGGCCTCGGCCTGCTTGCTGTGGCTGTCAGACCCCTCCACATGCCGTTTTCAAGGTTTATTCCATTGGCTGAGGCCCAGATGCTTGGCACATCTGGGTACACCTCGTCGACGCTAAGGGTGCGAACCAAATGGAAGTGGTACAGCAAGTGAACGGCGGTGACCTTGTAACCAGACAGCTCCGCAGATTGGAATCCCAAGGCCCCAGTAGTCGCAGTGGAGTCACCGTAGATCAGTGTTGATACCAACTCAGAGAGTAGCAGCTTCCTGGAAGGTCAGGCAATTGGGCAAGATCCACTAAACAGCACGACGACAATGTACTCGGCCATTGTAACTACGTGAGTAGTCATAACTGACCAGCATGCTGTGAGGGAAGGAAAGCAACGTGCTGTCTGTCGGTCAAGTTCAGACCGACTGAAACAGTGTTGACAAGTACCTGGTCCTCCCGGAGCTGGGATCTACCGCCTTCGGTAACCAAGTCTTCTTTACTAGGCGCAGTAATGACAGTTGGTTCATTCGGAGATCGAAGTGATGGGTGGAACAGTGTGAATCCGTTCATTAAAGCAAGATAAATGACTCTGAGCTTGCAAATTGTCTTATAATGCGACTACGGAGAGTAACTTGCTTTCTGCATCTTTAACATTGAATCAACTTTGTTCTAAGTCTCGGCCGGAGTCAATCCCTCCATTCACGTCTTGCCCAGTAACCGCATAGGAAGCGGCCTTGAGGCAGCCACACTCAGTTGTCTAAACAGAGAGGATCATCGATTATATTCATCTTCAAAAACTACACCAGCAAACAGCCTTCGTTCTAGCTGACAATAGTGGATCTAAGTTTGGACAGTCTATCGCCGAGGGGTGGCAAGAATTAATCAGCGCCGACCACTTTCATACTCTTGGAATGATCGAGAATCACGATTGATTATCAATCCCCTTTCGAAGTCTAGTTATATTAACTTACCTTGTGCCCCTGTAGGTCAGCGTTTTCAAATCATTATCATTGCACCATAACCACCATGTCTGTACCTCTTGTGTTTATCACTGGGGCCACCGGTTTTATCGGCAGCGCTACTGCTCTCGAGGCTCTGAAGGCAGGATATCGTCTTCGAATCGGCGTCCGCAAGAGATCAGTGAGACTCGAAAGTGTATTATCGGACCATGCCGGCCAGTGGGAATTCGTCACCATCCCAGATCTGACTGACGAAGCTGCCTTTAGGGGCAAGCTTGGTGGAGTGGACTTTGTCTTGCATCTAGCCTCACCTCTTGCGCGTGGCACAGACAAGGATGCCATATTCACTCCCGCAGTGAACGGAACATTGGCCTTGCTGAAGGAGGCAGCTAAGGTGCCAAGCATCAAGAAGATTGTGATCACTTCATCTATCGCTTCATTGATTCCTATTACCGGAGTACCCGAAGGTGGTGTCGTCAAAGGTAACTATTGCAAATGCATAATAACCCCAAATACCATGCTCGTTTGACATATACAAATATGCTGACTCCACTTGTAGAAAAAAATGATTGGAATTACAATGTGGACGCAGCGGCAAATTTCGAGGATCCTACCAATCCTGGTGGAACACCGATGACTCTGTACCGAGCATCCAAATTACTTGCTAACAACGCCGCCTGGGAGTTCAAGAACACTGAAAAGCCACACTTTTCATTGGTTACTATTCATCCGTCGTTTGTTTTCGGTACCAATCTCATGCAGACCTCCGCCGAGGAAGTCCAAGCCGGATCCAATGGTATTCTCTGGGGTAGTGTGATGGGAGGTGTTCCACTTGGCGGCATTACTGGCGTACATATCCAAGATGTTGCTGAAGCTCACGTCAAGGCGTTGGACCCGAAAATCCAGGACGGCTCAAAGTACCTGCTTTCCGCGCCAGCAACCACTTGGAGAGACGTGGCTCGGGTTGTGCTCAAGGCCTACCCTAATATTGGCGCGAAGATTACAGAGGAGGTCGAGGGTAGCCCTTCCATACCCACCGACACAACCAAGGCAGAGGTGGAACTTGGAATGCAATGGCGATCGTGGGAGGACATGGTGCGAAGCGTGATGGACCAGCAGCTGGGTTTCTTGCACGGCTAAGCCAAAGAGTTATTTGATAGATTTCCCTCGATAGGTCCTTTGTTTGTGCTTATGGATAAGGCATTTACCACTGTCTTCACAGTTACATCCTATCTACTCCTTGCCGATTTCAATTGACAATGATTATTATTGACAGTGTATGACAGTAAGAGCCGGTCTGATTCAATTACAGTTAGTCTTTAATGTATTCCCCCTCCACATCGAATACATTTGAATTCGTATTCTTATACCTGATCGGGCCTGCTGAGTAAAATGCTAGTTGTATAGATACTTTATTATCTTGATTATGAATATAATCTTGAATATTGTCGAATCTCTTGAACCTTATGATAATGACCTGAAGCCATAAAGAATATATATTACAGTATACGTAGAACTAATCAGTTTAAAAAAATCTATATATAAATAGAGATAGCTCTCTATATATATAACAAGGAAGCTTCTAGGTACTTAATAAGTTTCTTCTGTTTAAAAATAAATTTTAATACTGATAAAATGATTTTTGATATATTTATACAAGGTTCTTTTAGATTTAGTAAGTTTTATTTAGTAGCTGGTCGTTTTTTGATAATAGTTAGTGGTTACCTGGGACTGGTCATGTGTAGGGCATGTGAGGTCGGAGCCTCACACAAAATCGCCTGCACCTCTCTCGCCGCGTCCTCCAAGCACCGACCATACCCCTCCGCATCGACTCCATTCCCAAAGATGGAGAATCGCAGCCGCGCCTCCTCCTCGAGCACCTCCCAATACACCAAGATACTCTCCGCCGGTGGGTAGACGAAGCCGCCCTCGAGCCAGCCGGTCGCGAAGCTACTGGTGAGGACCCGCCCCGGTTGACTCTTCCGGTAGGACGGGTCCTGGAAGAAAGTCGGGCGGTCTTCCTCCGGGGACAGCATCCATTCCAGGGCCAGGAGGTGACGGTTGTAGCCGCGGCCGTGGCAGACCCGGTTCAGGTGCAGGGTGTGTTCTTTGGTGGCGGCTAGGGCATGGCGCCGGAGCTCGGCTCTGTCTAGGGGGTGATGTTGGGAATCGGGGGGGCTGCGGAGCTGGGCCGAGGAAGAAGAGGAGGTGGGGGAAGCCGAGATGGGAGAAGAAGAGGTGGAAGAAGCGGAGGGGGCAAAAGAGGAGGAAGCGACATCGAGGAAGTGAAGCATTTTCGGGTGGATAATAGCGTTCACGTCCACGCGGCCGTGGCGGAAATGCGACATGGAGACGGTTTCCGTGGCGGGGGGCGTGTAGCCATAAAAGCGGCGGGCAGCTAGTTGAAAGGCCAGTTGCAGAGTGCCCTGGAAGGGGAGTCGGTGGGCGTTGCAGAAGGCCGGCAGCAAAGTGTCGCAGAGGGTCAGGGAGGCAAAGGTGGTCGAGGCGAAGCGGATCTGGAGGGCCTGGGATAATGTGGGCAGATAGGATGCAATGTGCGAGGGGAGCGTGATGGGCAGCGGAGTGATACTGTCCGCTGGCAGAGGGGAGGGACGGGAGGGACGGGGCTGGTAAGTATCAATTGCCCGGTTCAGGGCGGCGTGCAGAGGCCCGACGGAGAGGCCGTCAAGATGAGAATGTTCCATGACCGAGGCCGAGGTGCCATTCGGACACACGACAATCTGCAGCGTCTTGTCGAACCAGCGGTTCCCACTGTCAGCCAAGAGGAATTGGCGGAAGCGGGCGGAGGGGGTCTCCGGGCTGGTCTCATCCAGACACACGATGAACGCGGCCGCTTCGATCAGGCGGATGGAGGCGGCGTTATGCTCCCCGGACTGGAGCAGCTGGCTTCGATGCTCTGCCCATTGTTCTCGGCCATCCGCGGTCAGAAGGCTCAGAGCGGATGCTTCCAAGGGCAGATCGAGGATGGTTTGGAAGCGGGCCTGGAGAGCCTCCACGGGCAGAAAGCCGTCCCCGTCCACCAGCGGGACGGCGAAGGCATGCCCTCGTCGGAATACCGCAATATGACTGTGCTCTGCAAAGCTGTATTTTTCGATCCGATCCAACCCCTTCTGTGGCACCCGACAGGCATTAAATTGCCAGTGATAGGATTCGGGATCCACCGCCTGCCCGGAGACGTACTGCGTCTCCAACTCCCCCGACTCCAACTGGCGCTGAAACTGCCCCGTCGTCCAGGTCAGCAAGGCGGCCTTTTCCGCGGGCGAAACCGGTCCTCCGGGCGGGTGTGTCCCAAAGTAGGTCTGATAACCCACGAGCGAAGACCGCAGGGCCAAGAAGCGCCGTTCCATGTACAGGTCGGCGAGCCAACTGTCCGTCGGTCGGCTGTGGGCCTGCGCTTGCAGGCGTCGTTGTAGTTCCACCCCCAGACCCTCGGGCGATTGGAAGTGAGCGATCTCCGCGCGCGTGCGGGCCAATTCGGCGGGGGTGCAAAAGGACTCGACCGCGGCCAAGTAGCCGTCCAGGGAGGTGGACAGGGCCGGGAGAGGTTGACGGGGCAGAGACTCACTTCGAGCATGCGGGGCAATGACCGTCGCCGCGCTAGCTAGCTCCTCCTTTTGCTCCTTGCCTGCCTCCCAGTCGCGGAAGCGAGTTCGCTCCAAAATGGTGGACACCAGGCGATCCACGTTGGCCGAGTCGGAAATTTCTTTCGGTTTCAATGTGGCCTTGAAGGTCCCAAAGATCCAGTTGCGCATGCGAAAGACCATGAAAGAGTCCAGCCCCAGCTCTTCCACCGATGCGTGCGCAGTGATCGCGTTTGGATCCAGGGCGATCAGCGTCGATAGGAACTCGCGGACGAGGTGATGAGCGATGCGACGCGCATCTTGCGGAGTCTTGGCATCTTGGATTTCTTCCTCCACGGGCACCGCGGGAAGAGCAGGCTTTGCAGTGTCGTTGTCGGTTTTCGCCGTGGGGGCAATTGCGGTGGACTGATGACTCCAGAATGCATCATTCTTGTCATTAGGGCCCCGCGTATTGAGACCGGCCACGACAATTGTACTTCTCTGCCGAGTCAGAGCGTAGTCGGCAAGGGCCTCGAACTCGCGCGAAGTGAGTGCTGCGGTCGCCGTGTCGAGGGGGAGGTATATCGAGATAACGTTACCCAAGGGCAACGGCAAGTTTTCCCCGGAAAGCTGGACCACGTCCTGCAATTGGATGATCGTGCGAACCTCGACCGCTGGCTGGAGTGCGGTAACATACTGATGATCCTCTCCAACAAGAACACACCCAACAGCTGACGACTGCAGCGAGGGAAGCTGTCGAACTAACTCTTGACCGTCTGTTCCCGGCTCGACGTCCAAAACATGCACCCCGGTGATTCCCCGAATCCAGAGCTGGCCCTCAAAATCCTGCCGCAATCGATCGGGTATGTTCTGCGTGGCGTGTATGACAATCTCCAAGACCCCTCGGGTATTGAGGTATTGCACCAGACGGGTCGTAGTCTCGTCGAGCTTGCCTCGGACCAAAAAGGTCTTTTGCAGAGTAGTTCCCGAGCCAGCTACGGCCCGGGAAGATGCAGGTGGGCGATCACTGCTGCCCGTGCCCTGAACCAGGCTCTGTCGTGGTACCAGGCGAGGAATTAGTATTTGTCCCGCCGTGGACACGTAGAAATTGTCTGGTGCAGCGCTCTCGGTCGTCGTCATCGTCGATTCCCCGAACCGAGATCTCATGAGGTCCACGGCCTGCTGTGCGATGGCTGCGACATGGCCCGAGATATCCCCGCAGAGCTGGAGGGTAAGCACGGGAATCGTAGGGTGACCGGACTGGCCAGGCACGGTCTCCGGTGCTCTGTATCCTTCTCGGCGATCCGGATAGGGTGGCACGATCAACAGAATGCCTCGAATCGTGAATGACATGGTGTCTACCGCAGTGGCCCCATCCACAACATCGCCACTGAACGCGATAACCACAGTATCGCCTCGGTCCGACAACATAGTCGCCACCGTCGCATCCCCCATGTATCCTTCCCAAGGGATTGGATCATTCATCCTCACCCCACGGGCCCTCAACGCTAGCTCCAGCCCGGGGACTCGAGCCAGATGGCCTCCCACCACCGCCAACTCCACGGGTCGGCTGGAATCCACTTCGGCGAGTCCACCGCTGCCCCCGGAGCCATCCGCTGTCGCTACCAACAAGCTCGTGCGCCGGGCATCCCTGCCCTCAAAATCATGCCACACCACCGGGAGCCCCCGGAAGCCACCCCGGTGCAAGCGGTCCTGCCACTCCCCCACCGCCAACAATGGCGCCGCCACTCGCCCATCGCTCCGATCCCGATACCATCCCGGAAAGAGACCGTAAATGGCGTTGACAAAGTCATGCAGCACGGTCATCTCCAGGAGCACCAATCGTCCCCCGGGCTTCAGCAACCGGCGAGCATGGGCGATGGCCATGTCGACCGAGTCGGTGACATGGAGCGAATTGTACGCGAACACGACGTCGTAGGCATGCGGCTCAAACCCCTGCGCGAGGGGGTCTTGACCGATGTCTAAGGTTTGGTAGGTGAGGATTGACTGCCAGGGGTGGAGGGTGGCTTGGGCTTGAGAGAAGAAGCCAGCCGAGATGTCGGTGAAGTGGTAGCTGGCAATGGCGTCCGGATGGGCTGTGGACGTCGTGTCGGGTCGCGGGCAGAGGGCTTCCAGTAACGGTAGGGTGGCTCCGCCCGTGCCGGCGCCAATCTCGAGGATGCGCAGCCCCGGTCGCTTGAAGGCCAGATGGGAAAGATAGGTGTGCAGCTGGGGATAACAGCGCGAGGCCGACCAGTCGGTGGCGTAGAGTCGTCGCAGGAGATCCTCGTGCTCGAGGAGGAGGGCGATGGCGGCGGTCTCGCCCAGCAGCAGGGGGCGGAGGTGCGCCTGGATGAGGTCGAGGGTCTGCGCTTCGGCACCCGAGGGCTGGTCCATGGGCTCCGCTGGTATATCGGGGCGGGCAGCTCCCCGGTGGGCGAGCTCCTTCAACCAGGCAAAGTACCGCCGATGCTGGGGCGCCACCTCGTCGTCCGTGACACTCGACACGCCGGCTCGCGCCATCTGCTGCGTGCGAGCGTTCAAGTAGCGAGTGAGCCGGCCAAATGCCCCTTCCTCTGCTGCTTCCTCCCCAGATCCCACAGGCTGCCTGTCCAATGCTCCTGAGTCAACATCAACATCGCACCTCCATTGGATCTCCTCGAAGCACAGTGATGGGGCGGCATCGGTCTCCGCCTTCTCCGCCTTCTCCGCCGTCCCCTTCAGGCGGCCCGCCCGCAACTCCAGACAAACCTCCCGCTCGCCGTCGGCATTCCGCTGCCAGGCCACCACCGCCATCTCCGTCTGGTCTCGCCCCGCCCCTGGCTCAATCCGAGCCCCAAACTCCAGCTCCTCCCCGGGCGCCCGCCGGATCCCCGCCGAGACCGCCAACGCACCCACGTGGACAGGAAACATGACGCTGCGACCGCAGGCCCGACTAAAGAGCAGCAAGGTGGAATGGATCACGGCATCTAAGGTGGCCGGATGAATGGTGTGCGGCTGCAGGTGCTGGTCGGGCATGGATTCCGCCATATGCGGGATGACAATCGTCCCCGTCGCGGCCCTCTCATGGCCGCGGAAGCGGGTGATCCGGGCAAAGGAGGGGCCCCAGTAGTGGCCGCCGCTGCGGAGGCCCGCGTAGAGGGATTGAGGATTCCAGGGGTGGAGCGTGCCGTCCGTGAGGAGGGGGGTCAAGGTCTCCCCCATGGCATCCGATTGCTGCTGCTGTTCGGTAGGCGCCAGAACCTCCACCCGGATCCACCCCCGACAGTGGTGGGTGGCACTCCCAGAGGAAGTGACCGACGACATGCGGAACTCTTCCCACGCGGTGACGGGATCACCGGCATCAGCATTGGGATCGTCGGAGTTGCGGAAACTCAGCAGCAGCTCGATCTCGTCGCCGGTCGGGGGGATTTCCAGCAGTTTGGTGAAAGAGACATCGCGGAATAGGTACCGGGTGATCGACGGGGGGCGGGGGTGGCAGCGCGCCTGGGTCACCTGCCGCTTGGCTTCGAGGGCCATGGCGAGATATCCAGCGCCCGGGAAGATGATGGCCCCGTCCACCCGGTGGTCGCAGAGCCACGGGAGACTGTGGGTGCTCAGGAGATGGCGGAACCGGGGTTCCAGGAGGGTGTCGTCGGGGCAGCGGAGGCCGCAGAGGTCGTGGTAGGCATGGGGTCGGAGGCGATGGCGGCGGCTGAGACGGGATTCCGCCCAGTAGCTGCGGGAATGGTCCCACGTGTAGCCCGGTAGGTTGGTGAGGACATCCGGAGGGGACACGGGGTCGGAGGAGTGGTGGAGGGGTGCTGCTGTCGTTGGGTCGAGACAGGACCCGTGTTCGAGGACGGAGCCCACGGCTCGGAGGAGGGACAGGTCGGCGGGTCGATTGCGGGTAAGAGTCGGGGTATACGAGTGGGATTGACCGTCCGAGAGACCTAGGGTCTCATGCACATACGCGCTCAGTGCCCCATGGGGTCCGATTTCCAGGTAGTGATGATGCGTATCGGGCATCTCCACCGTGAGCTGCTGCGATAACGCGGTCAAGGCCCCGTGGAAGTCCACCTTGGACACCATGTTGTCGACCCAGTACCATGCATCGAATCCATGGGGTTTCCGCTGTGCGGTGACCGAGGAGAAAAATGGGATGGGATGGTGGACGGGGACGACGGGGGGCAATTCCCCAAGAGCGCAGCGGTAGACCCCGGCCACGCGCTGCATGTGATGGGAGTGATAGGCCGTGTCTACCCTCAGCCGGGTGAAGGGCACGGGGGGCTCCAGGGTCGACAAGGTCGCCTGTAATTCCTCGACCGCGGTTACATCGCCAGAGACCGTGACGCTGGTGGGACTGTTGGCGCACGCCACGACCAGCAACCCGGTGGTCACGGAAGCCAGATAGGGCTGCACCGCTTCCTCTCCCAGCCCGACGGCCAGCATGGCCCCCTTCGTCAAGGTCCCCGATTGACTGGGCTGCGCGACCAGGCCCCGCTCGTAGGAGACGCGAAGGGCTGTCTCGTGACTGATCGCGCCCACCGTATATGCCGCGGCAATCTCGCCACTGGAATGGCCCAGCACGGCCGCGGGTTGCAGACCCACGTGGCGCAGGGTCTGTACCAGCGCGATTTGCAGGGCCGTGGTGGCCGGCTGCCCGATGGTGCTGTCGCTCAGCCGCGAGGCCTCCTTCGTCCGGCCCAATTCCTCCAGGAGATCCCATCGCGCCCCCAGGCGCGTGAGAATGACCCGGGAAGTCTGCACCGACTGGTGGAAGGTCGAGACCGGGAGGAGTTCGCGCCCCATGGCATACCACTGCGCTCCCTGTCCGGTGAAGAGAAACACGAGGCGGCTGTGCCGTGGGGAGCGGGTCAAGTCCTGGCTGTGTCCCCCCTGCAGGCCTGCCGAAACCTCCTCCGGGGTGGCTCCGACCCAGGTGAACCGCCAGGGCAGAAGGGACCGTCGATGGACCAGCGTGTAGGCCAGGTCCCGAAGAGACAGGCTGGCGCCCTGCTCACGAAGCCAGTCCTGAACTCGACTCATCTTGGCTTGTAGCGACGCCCGCGAGTGCGCGGACAGAACGAAGAGCCGTGGCACAGGCGGGTTCGGGCTGTCCACGCCCTTCGTGACCGCACTGGCTTCACTGCAAGCCGGTGCGCCGTCCACGATCACATGGGCATTCGTTCCTCCATATGCGAACGAGTTTACACTGGCTCGCCGAATCGCATGGCTGGGGAACGGGGTCATCTGGGTGCCTGAAATGGCAATCCGACTCTGATAGGGCACCAGCTGCGAGCGGAGGTGCTGGACGCTCGGCGTGGGCGGAATCCACCCTTTCTCCAGCACGAGGATGGCTTTGATCAGACCCGCGAGTCCGCTGGCGCTTTCCGTGTGTCCCACATTGGCCTTGATCGATCCGACATGCAGCGGCTCGCTCGTCGTTCGCCCCGCGCAAAAGGCCGCGTGGAGGGCCTCGATCTCGGTGACATCCCCCTTCACCGTCCCCGTGCCATGGGCTTCCACATATGCAGTGCCGCCGGTGGCCAGTCCGGTGGACCGGTATATCGACTCGATCAGACCTCTTTGAGCGTGCATACTGGGAGCTGTAATGCCCTGGGTGCGACCATCCTGACCCACGGCGGTGCCACGGATGATACCCCGGATGGGATCCCTATCGCGCATCGCATCGTCCAGACGCTTCAGAACGACCATCGTCACCCCTTCGCCGCGGCCATACCCGGACCCCTCCGCATCAAAGGCCAAACTCCGTCCCTGGGGATTGAGGAAGTGCAGTTGGTGCATGGGCACCATCGTATCGGGGTTCAGCATCAGACTCGTCCCCCCCGCCAGCGCGAGGGTCGTCTCCCCGAGTTGCAGGCTCTGACAGGCCTGATGCAGGGCAACGAGACTCCCCGAGCAGCCCGTGTCCAGGGTGACCGAGGGCCCACGCAGGTCGAACACGTAGGAGATGCGACTGGAGGCGATGGCCGGTCCCAGGCCCGTCATCGCATATTTCGGCAGGGAGAGGGGATCTTTGTACAGCATGTTCTCGTAGTCGCGCGTGAAGGTCGCCACGAAGACCCCCGTGTCGCTCCCCCGAAGCTGCTCGAGTCTCAGGCCGGCATTCTCGAGGGCCTCGTACGCCACCTCCAGGGCATGGCGGTGCTGGGGGTCCATGGCCTGTGCCTCGAGGGCCGAGATGCCGAAGAAATCGGCGTCGAAGGCCGCGACATCGCCGGCGAGGAAGTGTCCGCCACGATGCCGGTAGGAGCCCGGCGCCTGCCGACTCGCGTGGTCAAAGGATTCCCACGCGAACCGGTCGGATGGCACATCGCTCCACGTATCCTGCCCGGTGGACAGCAGGCGCCAAAGCCCTTCCGTGTCAGCTACATCCCCGGAGAGACGACAGCCGATTCCAATCACGGCGATGGGGATAGGAGGGGATGGCGGTGTTTTCATCGAGGCAAAGATGAGTCGGTATGTCCCACCACCCAGTGGGAGGGAGCTGTGGTGCTTTTACGTTCGATGGGCACTGCCCTATCGCGACTGGCCGACCTAAGCCCGCTACTACTTTCGAAACCGGCACAAGTTCAGCCGAGGCAGAGAGTAGGGGAGTATCTACGACCGCCGCATGGCCCCCATCCTGGAAGCGAAGGATGAGTGGGAAGTAACCCGGTGGCCCCGGCCAGCACTCTGGACCCCCTCGTGGCGGATCCATCGGCCCTCGACTGGTCATGCTCCGCCGGGCTGCGGCCCCCAGCCCTCGGCTTCCTTCGTCCTGAAGACATTAGCCAAAGCATTGCCCCTCGCCAGCGTCCGCTCGCTCGATGTTTTTAGCCGACAAGTCAACGCCTGCTCTTCACTTGCCTTCCCTTGCGATACCTCCATCCGCTGTTCAGCACAGATTCCCGCCTTCACCATGACCCAAACGCTGAAAAGCAAGACCGCCGGCTACGTGCTGCAAAGAGACCTCCAAGCCTCCATCCGGTGGGTACCAAGCATGCAGCCCTCTTGCCACCCGTTCTCCCTACTCACCGTCTACCAGGCTCTACTTCCAGCATTGGATGTGGCGGCGCCAACTGGGCTACCTCCTGCATCCCCAGATTCCGATCAAGGATGGGTATCGGGTGGCCGATGTGGCCTGTGGAACGGGGTACGTGCTGCTATAACACACGGAAGGGTATCTGAAAGGGGGAAATCAACTGAACCAATGTGACCTTCCAGGATCTGGCTGATTGACCTGGCCCGGGAGCACCCGGGGGTCCAATGCGACGGCTACGACATCTCGACCGAACAGTATCCCGCTGCGGGCTGGCTGCCGCCCAACGTGCGACTGGAGACGTTGGATCTGCTGAAGCCCATCCCGGAGGCCCTGCGCGGACAGTACGATATCGTCCACGTGGGCTTGGTGGTTTTGGTGGTGGAGAACGACGATCCGACGACCGTCCTAGAGAATCTACTCGCCTTGCTAAGTATGCGTCGATTCCCCTCTATTGTATTCGTTGAGAGGCCACCGTCATGCTAATGCCTGCCTACCACGGGGAAACAGAACCCGGGGGCTATCTGCAATGGGACGAATCGGACTTTGGGGGTCTGGAGACCAGTTCGCCCGACGCGTCCATCCCTCACGAGGCGCTGGACGAGGTCAAGCAACGGGTGTTGGGTAGTTTACTCGCGGCCAAGCAGGTAGATTTCCAGTGCGTGCCCGTTTTCCTCTCCATCGATCTGTCCCATGCACTAAAAGCTGACTGGCATGCAGTTGGGTGCGCCACCTGGGCCAGTACTTCCGGGACCGGGGGGCGACGGTGGTGGATGACCAATGGCTCCCCATTGCCGATGATATCGCCCTCCCCTGGACCTTGCAGCACTTGATGGCCTTTGCCGAGTTTGTTCGGCGCATTGATCAACCGGTGGGCACCGCGCGGGAGTGGTGGGAAGTCTATGAGAGGGCGGCGGACGAGGCTGCCCGGGGAGGGTCGATGCGCATGGCCATGGCCAGTGTCGTCGGCCGGAAACCGGCGGAGTAACGGCCCAAGGGTTCTGCTGTGATTAGTCCATCTCGTGTGCCGTGTCCGATTCAATCTAATAATTGGGGGCCGTAAGCGCTAATGCAAGCCTGGGGGGCCCCCGGAGATTACTGCCATCCCGCTCCAATCGAACCGATCCGCGGATTTCCGTGCCCCCATCGGGGTCCGATCCAAGGCTTAGCTGGCTTAGCGAGCTTGGCTGGGGGCAGTTTCCTTGAGTAGATAGATGTGTTGACCCCAATAATCCCTCGTTTGGGGGCCAGAACCGGTCGTAGTGTTGGCCTGTATGTTCAGCCCCTCTGCTGCCCCAATGCATGCAATGTAACCATCCCCCCTGCCTCTATCCCAACGGTCCCTATCCCCTCGGCCACCAGGTGACCATAAAATTATCTGTCCCCCATTCTTCTCCTCCTCCTCCTCCTCTCCGCAGTCACTCAACATCCTCGTTTTCTCGCACAGAACCCCCCTCCAAAACAGCACCACCATGGCTCCCACCATCCTCATCGTTCCCGGCTTCTGGGAAGGGACTCAGGTGTTCCAACCCCTCATCTCCCTCCTGGAATCGGCCTCCCTCAAGACGGCCATTGCCCCCCTTCGTAGCACGGGTACCACCTCCCCCGGGAACCCCACCATGGCGGACGATATTGCCGCCGTGCGCGCCGTGCTGGCCGCTCACGTCAGCGAGCAGAATGAGGAGGTCATCCTGGTCCTGCACTCGGCTGGGGGGTTCATCGGCAGTGCCGCGCTCGAGGGCCTCAGCCGCACCGCGCGCCAGCAACAGGGTCTGGCGGGTGGGGTCGTCAAAATCGTCTTCGTCAGCGGGGCAGTGTTCCCCGAGGGCTTTGAGCACCAGCCGCTGCCCTTTGCGGTGGTTCAGGTATGTCCCCTTACCCGGCGGACAAGTAATGGCATGATGGATTGACGGTATGGTATCAGGACGGGGGCTCGTATCCCGCCAACCCGGAGGTCTTGCTCTTCGACGACGTGGCCGAACCGGAGAAGGCAAAGTGGCTGGCCGAGTTACGCCCCCAGCCGGCCGAGGGTTGGGATGGAGTGGTGTCCTACGCGGGCTGGAAGGAGGTTCCCAGTGTGTATCTGGTGTGCGAGGGCGATCGCGCGTTGCCGGTGCCCTTGCAGGAGCAGTTGGCCGGGTTGGCGGGCAGTCGGATTGAGCGCTGCAGTGCCGGGCATATGCCCCAGGTCAGCCAGCCGGAGCGGGTGGCCGAGGTCATTCTGGCGGAAATTTAAAGAATATGGCAAGGAAAGCCGGGTGTATAGTCAACTGGACATAAATGGAGACGCCCTGGTAGTTATTCTATGGATCACATGAACGATATTTTATACACAGCATGAGTTGATAACCCACGCTCAGTTATCCCTAAACGTCTTGGCTTTCAGCGTGATGTTACTGCCTTGACTGTGGAAATTCCTAGTATGTTGGTTAGCATATGGTATCAGGGCTTTGATAATGCGAGTATGGATATATACAACGCAGGCTGAATGGCGGCGCTGACACACTGCGGAGCACGCCTTTTAAACGCCATTGTGAAAACATTCTACTGGCTCACAAGATAGAGAATTAGAATCTATCCTGTAATATATTAATCTTCATGTAGACTCCTATGCCGCCCTGTTTCAATACTGAGAGCGCTCACTTCAGGGCTGACACTAGACTTCGTGCGGCACCTCCTACCGACCCTTATTTCTTCAATTCAAGGGGGGATCTGGATAGGAAGTCTAAGACGACTATGAGACAGGGGGTGGTAAAAAAGCCCAGGGTGGTAGTAAGAAAACTCCATGGAGAACGATATGAGGGCAGAGGCATACGCGGGTAGACTACCAGGCAAGACTGGACATATATATATTTGGTGTATCCGTAACGAACCCCCGTTCCACCCACATTTATTCCCTCCCGCAACATCCGCTGCCTCACCGCGTCAACACCTTCCACTCGGTCGAGGTTTTCACATTGATCCCCTTCATGGGCACCAGCACCTGGGTACGCGATCCGACACTGTCGCGCTCTAATGCCTCGATATCCGCATCCACCGTGGCCTCGGACAACGGCTGGAAATCATCATGCCCCCCAAAATTCCCCGACTGACGACCCGTGCCCGTCCCGGCCCCGGTCCCGCGACTCCCGGTCACGGATTTGCCCGACGTCGTCAACGAGCCATAGACCACCGCGAACAGCGGCCGCAGCGTGGGGAGACACGCGGCCGTGATCCCCAGGCACGGTTCCGCCGTCGACCAGATGGCGACATTGGCCAGCGCCCAGGTCGCATCCACGCTGTTCCGTTCGGAGATCATGGTCCCCAAGCGCACCAGTCCGAAGACGCACGACAGTGAACCGAGCAGGAAGATACCCACCAGGGAGACGCGCTGCATGCGGGACAGGTGCAGGCGCCACACCGACGGGATCGGGAGGACCAGGATGGCGATGTCGGTGGCGCAGTTCATGGACGAGCCGATGACGAAGAAGAGCCAAGAGTTGATGCAGTGGCCCGGGGTCGCGGGCGCCCAGGCTTTCTCGACTGGGTGGCATTGGAAGATGATCACCAGGAGGACCATGATCGCCCAGCACACCGAAAAGGTGCCCAGGGCGTAGGCGGTCATCCGGAAGTGGCGGACCTTGCCGAAGATGCGGATGTAGAGCAGGAGAATGGAGCTTTTGATCAGGGGGATGGAGAGGGTCCAAATGATTTCTGAGGCCCAGTAGGCCTGCCGAATGGGGTGGATTAGATGCGCCAAGGAGGGATCCGATGGGATATGGGTGCTGGGAGACTCACTTGACCTTCGATGAGCAGTTCCCCGGGATGCTCGGCCTCCAGGTAGGTGAGATGTTGACCCAGGCCATGTTGGACGGCGATGATGGTCGCGATGGCCATTCCCCAGCCAAACGGCAGGGCGAGAAAGATGAGCCAGTCATCGAGCCCAAAGGTGTTGCTCTTGAGGCTGCGGGCGAGCACGCGTAGACCCACGGCTACCGTGGCAATGATGGCCACCGTCAGATTGCCGGCAATGATGCTCGGCCCGCGACTCGCGGCACTCAACTCAGTCGACATGGCCACGTCCGCTCGAATTGGTCTCGGTGGTCTCTCTCTCTCTCTCTCTCTCTCTCTCTCTATGTGTCGACGTGCTTGAGATAGTGTGGTCTTGGTACAGGGCACCCACCCGCGTCTTCATGTTATAAGACGGCCTGCAGCGCACGCCGTCCCATGTCTCTGCAGCAGGCGGCCCCCCATCCCAGGCTGGGGGCGGACATGCAAGGCGCCTGACAAGCAGCCCGTAAACATTTGGGGGTGGAAAGCCAGTGGATGGGAGTCGGAGCAGGGTACGCTTTCGGGCAGTTCCAGATTGATTGCGGTTGGGGGTGAGATGAGAGGACAACCGATGAGGGGTTGTCACCGTCTGCATGGTTGCAGGACAGTCGTGCCGTCATGCACTGCAAGCCCTAGGCGAACCCTCGGAGGGATTGTGCACCCACATGCAAGCGAAGCTCCACCATTGACCTATGAATACTCTGCGCTCAGACTCTTGGGGGCCAGGAATTTCGCCGAGGGGGTCCGACATGCGTCGCTAGCGTTGCTTAGCCCCCGTTAGTCTCGCTGGACTCCGGAACGGCCCCCAAACCGCCTCGTTCGAATTCCATTTCCAGATTCCCGCCAACCAGCGCCAGGGATGGTGGCCTACGGCGTGCCCGTGCTTGGCGAACACCTGCCCATCGATCCTGGCCGATCCTGGGTGCTCAGGGGGGAGGAGCTCCGATTGCCTCCGCCGGCAGAGGGCTGGGTTATATACCGTGCGTGAATGGCAGCCACTCAGGATGGTGTGTTGCATTGCCTCCCTGCACCCTCCCATCTCTCCCCTCCCCCCCCTCCTTTGGTTGACCTCTCTTGTGGGGGTTATCATCACGCATCAAGCTTTTCAGTGACCATGAGATCAGCCCTTCTCGTCACGGCGGCCCTATCCCTGCAGGGGGCTGCGGTAGCCTCGGTCTTCCAGGATCTGTCGCAGGGGTTTCTGGACCCCTACTTCAGCGTCTCGTCCAATGGGTCGGCCATCTGCGTCTCGGGTCTGATCGCCGTGCCCGTCAACGCGACGAATACGAAGCTGCTGCTGGCTGAGCCTGTCAACCAAACCCAGGTGACGGAGATCATCCAAGAGAACTTCCAGGCCTCCTCCACCCTCTCCACCACCACGGACGGCGGCTCCCTGCAGATCAATGCGGTCTACAACATTGATGCCACCCTGTGTGTGCCCGCCGCAGCGCCCAGCACCAGCACCATCCAGGTGCTCACCCATGGCGTTGGCCTGGACAAGTCCTACTGGGACATTGCCGCGGACTACAGCTATGTCGACGCCGCCGCCAGCGCGGGCCACGCCACGCTGGCCTACAACCGCCTGGGAGTGGGCCAGTCCAGCCATCCGGATGCCATCCAGGTCGTCCAGGCCCCGGTGGACGTCAGCGTCCTGCACGGGCTCACGACCCTCCTGCGCACCGGCCACGTGGGCAGCCATGCGTATGCCACGGTGATCGGGACCGGCCATTCGTACGGATCGATCGTGCAGCTGGCACAGAACGTGAACTTCCCGTCCGACGTGAATGCCACCATCCTCACGGGCTTCACAACTACCTTCACCTATCTGCCCTACACCGTCTTTGCCAACAACCCGGCCATCGCCCGCCAGGCGGATCCGGCCCGGTTCGGCAATCTCTCCAACGGCTACCTCGTCACCGACACCCGCATCTCCTTCCAGCTGCCGTTCTTCCGCTCGCCCTACTTTGATCCGAAGAGTCAGTGCCCGCCCGGCCCCCTTTTCTGTACCTCTCCTTGGATCATGAACCTAACATCAACCTCTATCACTAGTTTTCGAGCTCCAATTCCAAGCCCGCAACACCTACACCGTTGGCCAACAACTCACCCTGTCCGGGATTTACGCCGTGGCATCTAGCTACCGTGGCCCTGTCGCCGTCGTGGCCGGCGAGTACGACTTCGCTTTCGGCGGGGGTGCTGTGACGGAGAGCCTGCTGGCTTCGACCCTGGAGACCCTGTATCCCGAGGCGGCCGCGGGGTCCACGTCCTACGTCGTCCCCAACTCGGGGCATGTCATCAATGCGCATTACTCGGCCCAGCAGCAATTCAGCCAGATCAATGCGTTTTTGGAGTGCAATGGCTTTTAATGACGTGCATACCGGGCCGACGGTTAGTCTGCTGAGTGGGGTTGTGGTGGACGGAAAGTAATATACCAGCTGTTTCGATGAAGCAGGAGTCGACGATCACGCCTCTTCCGAGGAGTATATAGTCCGCTGATATCTCCTGTGCGGAACTTGTTCCTTGTATACATCGTCTCTTGAGTGCGATACAACAGGTCTCATCTTCCATGTTAACGTTCCAGCGCTAGAGACCACTAATGTACACTACTAGATGCGAAATATATTTTGGAAACGAATACAGGCCTGGTGTGCATCTCTCTTCCCGTGAACTGCCGAGCTCTCATAAGTTACCGGAAACTAAATATTCCTCTAAGGTTATGGACATCACGACGAGAGCATGAATTGGATCAGGTACAGCCTGAATACCAGAATTCCTTATTATATCTCCTTATACCTTTCACTTGAATAGGCGGGTTTACCTGCTCTTCACCATTGTAGCTATACGCCGACTATGACGAAGATAAGATTGCCAGGTCTTACTCCAGGACTGTCTCGGCTGCTAGGGAATGCGTTAGAAAGGAACATACAAGAGAGACTGGGTCTAGAGAATTTCACGATCGTACGTATAGGCCAGGCATCAAAAGTCATTCTTATTCTTGATCGCTCATATCACATACAGTAACTCATCTGGCTACACCCTGGATAGCGATGGTCAGGCGGTGCAACGCGGTGCTGTATTGAGTTTTGCCTTGCTTCCACGATAGCCATGTTGAATGGCTTGGATGAAAAAAGACTGGCCCTAGCACCGATGCACGACCATCCGAGAATCTGGCAACGAGGCCTTCCCATCCGCTCAACCGGGTGGCCATAAACGCATCCCACTTCGTTAATGCCAGGTACCATCCGACAGGTCATCGCGAGCCCGGTCACAGTTGGACATGCCGGTATGCGTGTAGCACAACCCTGCCATTCCCGACGCCCACATGGCCCCGGACTCCCACATGATGATGGCCATATCCCAGAGCTCCACAGCCTTCTGCCCGTGGGGGTAGGCCAACTCCGCCGCAAGCACGGCACCCACATATTCGCTCTCCAGGGGCAGGATATCCGACACGCCTCGCACGTAGGCCAGAACCGGTTGGATCAGGAGGTCGATGACCGTCCGCGTTTCCGGCAACGGGTTGGAGGCCAGAAGTAATTCGAGCCGCTTCTCCGCATTGATCAGTGCCTGCTCCGCATACTGAGGTTTCGTGCCGGACGCGCGGAAGTGCTCCAGCGACGGCCGCCCGTTCGGGGCGATGGGGAGGATGCCGGCCCCAACTCCGTCCCGGTAACTGAAGTCGGTCCGGCCGAGGAGGGTGACGGGGCGATGGCGGCAATTGGCGAGCTGCCACCAGTGGGTGCAGAGAATGCAGAGCGCCGCCGGGTTATAAGGATCGTTGTCTCGATACCAGATCATCGCCCCCACCATGCGGGCGTACACTTCGGCCAGGGGCTCCTGGTCCAGCGACCCCCGTGTCAGCGAGGGGATGATGTTGCTGATTTCACCACACGACACATCCGCGCCGAGGTCGATCCAGTCGTGCAAGACGCACCCCAGGCCAGCCATGGCGGCCATGTCTTCGCCACCACCCGCATCGTAATAGACGTGGCAGAAGACGGCATCGGCGAGCTTGTAACGGGCCAGCCGGTGGAGGTCCTCCCACACAACGATACACGGGCGGGACGAAACCATGTTCGTATCCTCCAGGATGGCCTTCTGGCGGAGGCAGGCATAATCGCAGCCCTTGACAATCCGGATGTCCGTGATGTGTGGCCCGGCGGCCACCGAGGCATCGGCCACGGCCGCCACCTCGGCGAAGGCCGACGACAGCTTCTCCGCCAGCGCCGGGCTGTTCTTGCCGATGGAGTAATCGAGCACGAAGGCGGAATCCATGATCGCCCACAGGCCGGAGATCGACCCGCCGTAGACCCCACGGTTGTAACCCACGGCCATCGAGAAGATGCTGGTGTTGAGGAGGGAACCTTCGCAATCCTCGCGCGCGAGGACGTCGATGGCCGCCGGATCGGTGGAGAGCGCCACGCCGCTCAACTTCGGCGGCAGCGGCTTGCGGACGGAGCACCAGGTCGGCATGCGAATTTCGCGGACCTCCGCAAACCCGAGGCGCTCTGGGACCCCGGTGGCGATGACTTTGTTGCGGGCGGCCAGCAGGACCGAGGCGTCCGCGAGCAACCCCACCGCACAGTCCACGGCGTCAGCCACGCGGGCGTTGCGGATCCATGAGACATTGATGGCGGCCTCCAGGACCCCGGCCGTCCGGGGCGTGTCAACCCGCCGGGGAAGGGCAACGGTCGTGGTCAGCGTGTTGCTCGCCGCGTCGTATGCCTGCTCGAATTTGCTGGACCCCGGCGCGACGGGGCCGATGCCGTGCGTCTGGAGCGACCAGGCCGGTGCGCCCAACGGGCTGTGCATGGTGGCGCCTTCGCCGAGCACATGGCTGGCCTTCCAGGTCGAAGACAGACGGAAGGTGGCGGCCGGATCCGGGGCTGAAGCCTCGTCGGTGCGATCCCCCCAGTGCGACACGACGGGCAGGCCATCGAACGCGGGAGACCGGCTGAGACCTCCGCTGACCACCAGGCCCGGGACCAGGTCCGACAAGGGCTGCCCGGCTGGCGGTTGGGCGGAGGATACCGTCATCTCCTTCACACGACCGAGGATCTGGTCGACCATGGCGTTGCACTCGCTCGCAGGCTTGTCCTTGTGCGTCGCGCGTTGATGGCCAGGCATCAGCGGAGAGAGCTCAGCGGGGTTGCAGATAAAGTCCGTCGAGTCTCGACAGACCATCCGGAGGCCGAAGGACGGCTGCTCGGCTGCTCGAGGGTCCTCGAGCCCGCCGCGGCGAACCAGCTCGGGGAGGTCATCGGTCCGGGCGATGTAAGGCATGTTGGACGGATTAAGGTGGAGGCAATGAGTTGGGCTCCTAGGTAGCAAGGACTGTTCTCACTCCAAGGAAAGATGTTGTTGATTCTTCCTCGTCCTCGGTTCAAGGCCCTCATATTTATAGCCCTGCCTGCCCGATGGGAGCCAACGCGATATTCACTGATCAACGCATCACTCAGCGCGGAATTCTGTCATAGATTCGAAAAACCAGGGTACCTCGCGCATTCCGCGACAGCGTTGGCGTCCTGGAGTGCAGTCACCTAACCACCCGTCTCTGGTGATCCCGATCCACCCCTTATAGCCCGAAATGGAATTGGATAGCCTCAAAACGGCGACCGACATACGGATCACCGTTCCCCATCACCTGGCTGGTTGAAAATGGCTACCTCTCAAGATAGCTGTGTACTGGCGGTCTCGGGAATGTGTCTATCGCCCCCAGAACTGGACAATGTATGCGATACACTCGTGGAGCTGACAGGATGATCGCTTGAGGACTCGTATCTGTCGGCAGGCTAGTGGATCGCCTGCCCCTTCCACTTGGGGCCTTCATCCAGCCTCCGTCTCTGTATATATCATGCAGCTACGCTCTGGATTAGGAAACGACCATCATCTTTCTTCTGGAATAGTCCACTTGCGCACATCATTACCGGCGAAGTTCATCTCAATCTGGCACCATGCTTAAGGTTTGCGGAGTGTGGGTATATGTATGTTTGAGAGACCTCGGGAATGTCAGTGTTCGGATTCTGTTGAGCTCCTGGTCGATCCTCCCTTGTCATTGCAGGACCCATCATCACCCCCCACTGCGTATGTCTGCTGGACTAGCCTACCCCTTCCCTTTGGCTGGTTGAGTGAAGGGAAAAGGTTGATTGAAGGGCTGAGATACAGCCAGACTGGCATTAAAACATGCCCGCAAGCCACTTGACGAAGAAAGGAAGACTGTCAGGTGTATGCATCTAGGGTTCCGCCCACTGTGACCTACATGACAGTCCGCCGGCCAGGAATGTTGCGGCGCCCCGTTTTTGGCATCTTGCATGGATGGCATGTGACGTGCAAACTTTAAGTGATTTGGTGGGAATCGCCTCTGGCCTTGTAGGCCTCTGTGATCGTCCCGAGGGGATCTAGTCAGGGGCAGCGGATGCATGCAAGGAGGCTGGAGTCCGGAGCAGGCACCCCAGTCGGGAAACTAGCTGGAGACCTCCTTGGACCACCTGCCTCGGCCAAACGGGCATGGCCTGGCAAGTGGGCCATGGGCCCCGCAGCTATGCTGGATGCTTGGGTCGACCTCTGTCCATCATGGCACCTTGACATGTGGGGGCAGCTCGAGGATTACTGGAGCTGGTGTGACCCAGGCTTGGCAATGCAAGTGGCCAGAATAAACTGAATCAGGGGCTCGGAGCGATTCGGCGCCTGTTGTCTCTCCTAAACTGATGTACAACTCCTTGTTATACCGCTATTCCGTTGGGATTTCTGGATGCTTCTAGTCTGGGCCCGTCTATCTTGGGTGCATCCCACCGATGCCAAGAAATATATTTCATCAAACTGCGTGATTTTCCAAGGCTCAGTAGAACATGTCATAGCTGCTACCGCTATCCCTTTCCCAGCCATGGCTATAGAAAAGCAGAAGTCCGTCCCGTAGGGTTGGGATTGGCCGGTTCCAGTCGGAAAAGGGCTCCCTCCCCCCCCCCCCCCCCCCCTTCCTATACAGCTATTTCGACCCGACAACAGCTTTCAGCCTAGGACTGGTGCGTCAGATCATCAATGCTGTCAAAAATGGTACAGTTATCTTCCTTTTGGCACACAGTCGTCCGACCAAGGTTCTTATCCACGGGCCCGGTGGGGCCGCTGGTGTAGTGGCACTCGCCCACGATGCAATACTGGCCAGTCTCAATGTCATTGAGGAGCCCATCGGGGTACTCCTCGTCACCCCAGTAGCCCAGCCAGCTGAGCCAGTCGGCGGTTTCAGTGCCCTCCTCGGTGGCGCCGGTGCCCGCGCCCCCGGCGATACTGAACTCCTCCGTGTCCACATCATACCAATAGCCGCGGTAGTTGAGGGTCATGTCCCACAGGTAGCCCGCGTCGGTAGTGTCACTCACAATGCCCAACGCGATGGTGTAGTCCTGAGTGCCCGCCGTGACATAGTTAGCGTGTCCACCGTAGGCAATGTAGGTGAGGGGGCGGTCGCCCGAGAAGTCCACCACGTCCCAGTAGTAGGCCGACCCCGCGCTGTGCTGAGAGCAGTAGATGGCGTATGGCTCTTCGTCGACGAACCGGATCTGATGGTGCACCGGTGACTCTGGTTAGCACTGGAGGGCATATGCAGCTAAGTTGGCAATACGCACCATGACGTGCTCCCAGTCTCCAACGTGGTCGTCAAAGTGGATGTCCAGGACCCTGTAGGAAAAAGCTCTGTTAGCAAAGGCTCTGTTCGTGGCATCCGAATAGGGAATAGGAGGCCTCACTCTCCACCGTAGTTGTAGGAGTAGAAGTAGAAGTAGAACACGTCGGTCGTGGTACTATTCTTCTCGGCGGCAATGATCAGTCCCGGGGCGGCGCTGAGGCCATCGCTGTCGGGAATTCCATAGTCGGATGCGAGCCACGCCGGGGTGCTCTTCGAGGGGTCCAGAATCGGGCCGTCAGAGGCTGTGAGATAGACATCCGACGCCAAGGAGTCAAGGGTGTCCAGGGTCACTGAATCGTTGGCCCCGGTGGCGGTGTAATTCACTTCGGGCTCGACGTTGGCCAGGTGAACCGTGATATCGGACGGCCACCACTTCTCGCCGCTGTAGAGGTAGGACAGGGGTGCGTAGGTGATGGCATACTCCGGCAGCGCCTCCCGCTTGTGAAGAGTGGGCTTGCCCTGCTTGCGCGGGGCGGCCGCTGCCAGGCCCGCGAGGGCGAGGAAGGTGGACACTTGGCAGATGGAGGGCATACTGACGCCGGCCTTGCTCAAAGGGAACTGCGTGTGATGAGCCAGCTGGACCGGCCATTGCGGTCATACTTATAGGTGCCCTCAATCCCCGCAAACGCTGCACCAGCCCGGAGAAAACCAGGAATGATGATGAAATTTCCTGAACCTGCTCAACGGGGGAAGCCTACCCCGACCGGTGATCCGTCGCGCATCCGCTGTTTGCCCGAGGGGATGACGGTTCTCGGGAAGAGCATCTTCAGGGCAGGATCCATATGCCACCCGCTGTCAGGAACGGAGGAGAGGCACGAGGAGCGGGGACTGGCTGACAAGAAGCATGTCGGCAGTTGACCCGGACGGCCACGAGACGAGCCCTATCATATCGGACCAATTAGAACCGTGGGTCGGACATCGTGTCGGCACGGCACGGCTGTTGAGGGGGCATGTGCGTAGTTGATCGGTCCGCATGACTTTCTGCATGACTGTCCCCTCATTATTGAACCAGGGGGGTATAGAGTAGGGCTTGACCATTCAGTTCCGGTCAGGGGACCAAATTCTCACTGCTTGCACGCGCTAGATGAGTGCGTGGCTGCCTTGCCCACCATCAGATACCGGACACTTCATGGCATGGTGCGAAGCTTCATGGCGTATAAATCAGACCACATCATGGTGCCTGTGATACCCGGTATCCCGCATGGGTAAGCGCACGAAGGATAGTCCAGCGCAACGACGTTGTGTCGTAGTTTCGGAAGACCATATGAGGTTCGCTGTGCCGGATCTCGCGTTTGACCTGGCCATACAGTGAGTGGACTCCAGCGGCTGTAAACATGATAATATGGTTGGCACCTTTTTAGTGGGAATCTCCGCCGCAGAAGTAGCATTCCATCTCTAAGCAGAGTAGGTCCGACCGTGGCAAACTCACCAGAGCATTGGATGTCGGGCAAGTGTCCCCAAATCGTCAACAAGGGAGACTGTGCCACCATCTGGCGCAAGGTCTCGATAAGCTTTCTACCATATGCTTGATAATATGACGCACGCGCCCAAGTCGCAAGTCCGATGATAATTCTGCAATGCCTGCTTCCCGCTTACCGAGAGGGCAATTGGCGGGGATCCACCACTGAGCTCATGGGAAAGTTCTTGCACCGCTCCCAACATTCTACATCCAGACAATGGATTCCTGGACGGGAAGCGGTTTCATCAAGGCGTTATATGAGCCACTTTAGGGGCTCCTCAAATCGTGTTCCACGTATGAGCCATTCGCTTATACTGGATGAGAAGAAGCCATTTCAAGGCGAGTCGCTATAAGAGTGTGTAGTACATTAATTATTCCTGCTTCTCGAAGAATCGCCAGCCTTTGGGTAGCCTGTCACAGTCAATGGGCACAATTGTAAAATTGGCTTCATATCCTCGCCCAGGTTCAGGATGGTTCCACGGCAACAGGGGTTCCTCCCGGACCAACGAATGCCGACGGCAGTCCGACAGAGGTCTGGTGGAACCCGAGGATCCCTGTTCACATTCCGTCTGTTAATATAAGGCAAGACACATCCGCTCCTCAAGCGCCAGACTCAGTAGGAAAATGCGTCTTCCATCATCTCGCGGTTCGTTCCACACAATTCTGCGTCCCCATTATCGATGCCCACGGCACTCCTTGATCTCCCTCCTCAACTCGAGGCCATGCACGACCAAGTCGGACCAAATATCGATCCCGGTTCAACGCCAATCTCTCCAACCCAACTTTACCCCGGAAGAAATGTCTTACGAGGGGCCTGTGCCACAGATCCCCCATCACCCTCACCTTCCACAACTACACCTCTTGGGGCCTTCCCATTTTTCGGACAACGTATGGGAATGAAGGTCTTTGGAATCTCTACCGGCAAAGTCTCTACCAGGAAAACTATCGAGCCCTAGAAATCATCAAACAAGGAAAGAAACTGTTTTCTCACTTGTATTGCCCCGTCGTTAAGGATACTTCGTTGGACGGTGCTTGCAAAAAAACGATCCGAGAACGGTTCGTGCAATGGGTCGCGGACACGACCGAGGAGAGAGACGGCACCGGGGCTTTGCGAATGAAAAAGGCCAAGACACCCCCCTATATAGCCTGCCTGATGGTGGACGAGTACTGTCTGCAGAGATTTACCGAGGCACGCCATGCGCGACGGGAACACCAAGCGCCCATTATCGTCCTGGGATAAGGATTGGACCCTGGAGAAGTACAAGGGCTGGCATCGCCCGGATTGGGCAGATGGAGAGATTCACAAAGAGATTGACGAATATCAGGACCCAGAAGATGTTTACGTGCCAGACGACAGTGAACTCATATTCTTTGAGGAGATCGAGGGGTCCAGAGCACCGGTGCTAGGGTGGATGTTTGCAGAGATGAGCTCGATGGCACCCTTGTATGATGACCTTGCCACCAACGAGAGCTATGATGCCTTTTACCGGGCTTATGCCCGACCCCCGAGGGTATATCCGGATCAGGACGACGATGAGTGGAAGTTGTCAAGGACTACGCTGGAATGGTCGGGATCAGGCAGAGGAATCGCATTGTATATCGAGAGCTGAAGATTCTCGGGCCGCCCTTTCCCCTTTCCCGTCCCCCAAATCACTCGAAAATGTCAGCTGCTAAAGGTATCCCTCTCACAGCAGGCAATGAGAAAGCTACTTCGGTGCTTTGAGTGTGAGTAAATGGGAGGTGCAGGGAAAATGGTGTATCCAATCTTCCCGCCATACCCGCTGGCCCGATACTTTAACCAGCAATGAATCACATAGGCCACCCAGCCACAGACTATGGTTGAAGCGACCGGCTACATCTGGTATTATCAATTACGCATCTCTGTTGCCTAGATCTACGTCGCCTCCGGCTCTGACTACCAAGTCCGACCCTACGGGGGGAATACGAGGCTAGCGCGTGGGGTTGCAGAATCCGAAGCCCGTCTTATCACCGAATCTGAATCCCAGAACCCGATATGTCCGCCCGGCAATACCAGGGTTGGCCATAGATTCAACTACTATATATACAACGAGCCATCGTCTGCGTCACAATCATCCATCACCGACAACTACAGTCTCATCAACCGACAAAATGCTCAGGGTACTCTATAACCAACTGTTCGTCACCCCCGCCCTCCCCTCCACCCCGACGCCCTTCAACCACCGCACCGTCATCATCACCGGCGCCAACACTGGCCTGGGTCTCGCGGCAGCACATCATATCGCGACCGGTCCGGTCAGCAAGCTCATCCTCGCAGTCCGCAATACGGAAGCGGGTGCCGCTGCCCGCGACGCCCTCCTGAGCGCCCATGCCCACCTCGACCCCCAAGCCATCGAGGTATGGCCCCTGGACCTCGCGTCTTACGACTCGGTGCGCGCCTTCGCCGCGCGCGCAACCTCCACTCTAGACCGCCTGGATGTGGTCCTCTGCAACGCGGGTCTGGCTACGTACCAGTATTCAACCGCCGAGGCCCATGAACGCACCATCACGGTGAATGTGATTTCCACCTTCTTGCTGGCAGTATTATTGTTGCCGAAGTTGCGGGCGACGGGGGAGTTGAGCAGGAAGCAGCCGGGACCACAAGAACCAGAACAACGGCCGGTTGTGTCCATTGTCGCGAGCGAGGTTCATGCCTTTGCGCGGTTTCCGGAGCGTCGAGCGCCAGAGGAGAAAGGCGTCGGAATCTTTGAGGCACTCGATGACCCGGACCATTACTACGGGACAATGGGGGAGCGGTATCATGCGTCGAAGCTGTTGGATGTATTGCTGGCACGGGCGCTGGCCGACCGGGTAGCCGGGGACCAGGTGGTGGTGAACTGTTTGAACCCCGGGCTCTGCCGGTCACAATTGTCGCGCGAGATGGATACGGCCCTCGTCCGGGGGGTCTTGCACCTGTTGGGGCGGACGCTGGAGGTGGGAGGAAGAACGTTGGTAGCGGCAGCGGCGGCCGGGCGAGAGAGTCATGGGCAGTACATGTCGAATGGGGAGCTGGCTCCGCATGAATTGTCGAGCTTTGTGACGAGTGACGATGGCAGAAAGACGCAGCAGAGGGTGTGGGAGGAGTTGAGCCAGATCTTGGAGAAGATTCAACCGGGTGTGATGCAGAATGTGCGATGATGAATCAATGACTCATGAATGTATGAATAGGTTAGATGTATAGTAATACCCCGTTCCACTCCATGTTACCCAATTTCCAAGATTCTTGTTTCGCCAGTCGATTCTATTTCAGGTTGCGCCTGTATCTGCGGTCGGGTTGTTGCTCCTTGGACATCTGTCACTGAGATCGTCATGTAAGGCGAGCAGCAGGTCTGACTTTGCTCGAGTGACCCTGTATAGGAGCGAGTAGAGGACGCCAGACTCGTGTCTCAAGCTCTTGGCCTTCCCGTCACATCAGATCCCCCATGCCGAGCGCAGACGCGTCGCGTAGTCGGTTTATTTCCTGTGCCACATTCCGGAGAGCACAACAATTGCTTGCTCATACAAGTAGTCAGTGACTGGTTTCATGTGTTGGCCAGGAGAAAGCTTCCGGTCCACCATCGAATATGTCGAGTAGGTGAGACCGCCGATTGCATTGCATCCCACCCCGGGATCACTCCCTCAGTCATGCTCATTGGGTATGTTTCAGCGTTGCCGGTGAATTGTTCCATGGCCGCATGGTGAGTCTGATTTGCGACCGTAGAGATGCGGGAGATACATCGGCACGTCCACCACGACTCGTGACTGTTGATCCAACAGGCCCTTTAGTACCAGTTTTATCCGAGACACTATGCATCCGAGCACTCAAGTCGGGTTTGGATGTGCATGAGTGAGGCCCTGAGCCCCTTTTGTCGTCCACTCCGAAATGATAGTATTCGTGCTCCCGGGACACGATTACATATAACGGTCGCAACCCATAGGGCCGCTGCCACTCCAACAATGGAAGTATGCCACCCTCGTAGTAATAGTAGTGGGAGTAGGAGTAGTATCTACTTTACGTAATTCGGGTTTGAATCCTCCGTTTATGCAGTTCAGAAAACTCCAACCATCACGTTGCAGCACCCATGCTCCATCCATCGGCGCACAGGCAAGCAATGGGCAGCACTACGTGATTCCCTTCCAGTCACTGGTCGCCCTGCGCCCAAACCCCCATGCATTTGGCCAGATGGAAATGCGGTAATCACAAGAAGGTTTCCAATCCACTGGGCGAGAGTCTGATTCAAGACATGTGTCCGTGCCCACCTGTCACCTCGCCACTTCATCCAGCGGGGTGTCAAAACCTTGTGCTCCCGGACCCGACTGCACCAGCCTGGTTCTAAAAATAACCCGGCACCCCAGCTAAGATTCGCGACCGATCCGATGGCTGCGTGGATCGAATTAAGATTTTCCAAGCCGCATCCGACCGCGGGGAATTTGATGTCGATCTGGCCAACCAGTGTCCCCCGCTGGGTAGGAGAATACTTACCCCCACCCTTTGCTGCCACCGTCTTCATGGCCAAAGCATCGGGGTAGGCTAGCTCCCCCCGTTGGACCGGTCGAGGAGAGGTACTGAACCAGTCGAGCACCTATTTTCTCATCCAGTCACGACGGGGGACGCCTGGCGGGCAATACGAGGGGGGGGTGGCCGTGTTCTGGATGCCCGTTGATTGGACGGACCACGGCAGGACACGACCGAATTCCCCGGGCGGAGATCACAGCCGCTTGCCCCAACTGCCGGGGTCGCCTGGGGACGATGGGGATCCCCTCCATCGAGGCTCCCAGGTGGATTCGTGATGGGTCTTGGCCGGGGCTCGTCCAGAGCACTCTGACCCCCAGTTGACAGCTACATAGGAGAGATCCATCGCGACATGACGTCACGTGGGACCGGAGGTTTTTCCCATCGTCTCTATCAAACGGCTAACCCTCTCCGGCCATGGGGCTCAGCAAGGACGGTTTTTGCCGACAGCATCCAGTGTATGTTGCAACAACCCATGGATCTCCTAGCACGACGAGGAATGGTTCTCGTTCAGCCAGGCCTCCATCGTGGCTAAGCTTCAAACCGTGAGGGGTTTACGGACGCCGTGCCAGCAAAGTCGCCTACATCCCACTGGCCAAGTTCCAGAGAAGTAACTCTAATATCCTAGTCTCCGTACCACCGCCAGGCCTACAGCCAGAGGGCCGTCGGGATTTCTCCATCTCACGTCACAATCCGGTCAGCGTTGACCCAGAATAGATCGCCTGACGACCGCTTCCATGGCACTGGTCAGCGCACTCGATGGCATTGCTCGTATATCGCGGAGGAGCCAATCGACGATGTCATGGCTGGGCGAGCCCATCATGGGTCAACTGCTGGCCTGGCTGTGTTTTCAGTCTATAAGTAGCCTCGCACCTCCCTCTCTTCATCTCCCATCCCAGTTTACAGACAACGATACTACAACACCATCCAATCAGCTCAAATCCGATCCAGTACCCAGTCTCCAAGATGAAGCTTGCTTTGCTCCCTACCCTTCTCTCCACTTCGGTGTTGGGCCTCAACATTGGCCGCGGCCATGGCAATGCGCAGATCACCTTTATCGGCGCCGCGGGGGCCCAATTTACCCAGGACTTTCCCATTGACGGATCCACGGTCAAGATCAGTCAGTCCCCCATCCCCTATACCCTCCCCACATCATTGCTAACCTTCCTAGCCAACCCTCTGAGTATCTCCCAGATCTACGACGGCACAAAAGGCACCGTCTGCACCTTCAACGGCATCGATCACAGCGTGACCACCGTGACCGGCGTGGGCCAGGTCGATGTTGGCCCTCCGCAGACTCAAGTCCAGGGTTCCTGCCACTGGGGCTCCACGGCCCGAGGCTACCCAGACCACCCGGGTCAAGTGGTGATCACCTTTGAGGGCGCCGCCAATGCGCAGTTCCAGCAAACCTTCCCTACCAATGGAGCCAGCACCTCCATCAGTACGTGCCCCCTTGTCCTCTGTATGAATAAAACTAATGTAGCGATGCAGCCAACCCGTTGAGCATTTCCCACATCATCTCCGGAACTAATGGCGTGCACTGCACCTTTAACGGTATTGACCACAGTGTCACCACCGTCAGTGGTGCCCAGACGGTGGATGTTGGTCCTCCGCAGACCCAGGTCTCCGGTGCCTGCTATGTGGATTGAGGGCATACCTTGGCGGTGGGAGTCGTCCCTAGGGGTAATCGTAATAGTCGGTTCGTGTTGGTATTGACTGAGTGATTATGGTTATTGGCATGTTGATATTGTAATTTGGACGTATAATGAGGTATAATGCAGCTCAGAGTTACACTAGATGCTTATGCGGGTGGCTGAGGTACACGCCCGTGACACTTGAAGTCGTACCGAGTTCGTACAGGTAGTACTGCCCTTGAAATCTCCCAGATGGTCTACATATTTCTACGGCCTGTCGAAACTAAAAGAACAAAGTAAAAGAAACGAATGACTCAAATTCAACACTCAAGGATCAAATCAGCAACAAATCATCACTATAAACAAATCAGACGTCTGCTATGTACTCTCATCGTCGCCCCCCTGGTTGGCCAACAGGAAGACTCCGTTCATTCACAATTCCCATCATCTCTTCCGACTGCGGGGACTCGGGGCATTGGCACCCGGCCCGGCAGGGAGGGACCTCATCCCCACGCTTAGACGTAGGTGATGGTGACGGAGGAGTCGCTGTCAATGGTGACATCGGTCACAACCTGGCCGGACTCGTCCTCGATCTCAATGATGGTGGCGTCCTCAAGACCGACAGTGCTGCCGCCAGCCACGGCCGCAACGGCACCCGTGAAGGTGACGGTGCCGAAGTCGACCAGGTTGACGAGAGAACCACCCTCCTCGAAGTCTAGTCTGGAGTTAGCCCATATCCCAAGCGTCCGGAAGGGAAATCCCACTACTCACCCTCAACGATCCACTCGGCGTTCTGGCCACCGAGGTTGGAGCTGGAGGACAGCGTCTTGCTGACCTTCTGGCCGGTGCTCTTGTTCTCGATGATGGCAATGCCGCTGGTGGAGGAGTAGGACTCGACAATGGCGACGATCTCATCGCCGGCGGAGATGTCGATGCCGCTGAAGTCGTAGGCGTAGTCGGGGTACCACTCATACCAGGCGTCGAAGGAGACCTCGCCGTCCTCGATGGTGAAGTCCACCCCGGTCTGGAGGATGGCGTTGCCGTAGGTGTCACCGTCGATGCCGACCCAGGCGGAGGCGGCCTGGCTGCCGGAGCCCGAGCCGGTGGGCTCGGGGACGGTGAAGGTACCGGTCACGGCAGTGTAGGTGGCGGCGGCGGACGGGGGCTCGACCAGGACGGCACCGGACCAGTTGGAGCTGTACTCGACGTTGGTCTGGTTCTTGACGGTCGAGGGGCGGTCGACCGACTGCAGGGGGCGAGAGCTCTTGGTGGAGGCGCGAGCCTTGAGGCGGGCTTCCAGGCCACGCTCGGGGGCAGCAGTGGCAACGCCGGCGAGGACGGCAGCAGCGAGGGCAGCGGTGAACTTCATCGTGGCTGGTGGGGGAGTGGATTGGCAAGGAGGCCGAAAGAGTTGGGAAGAGTGAGGAACTGGAGAGTTGGGAAGCTGGAGAGAACAGTGTTGGCTGATGAAGAAAGAATCGACTGAACAGCGATATCCAGGCGATACTTATAGGACAGTTCTCGCCTGGTATTCTCCTCACCACGATGCGACTGTGAATGGCATCATTTTTCCTCATATCTTCCCCCGATGAACACCATCAGCATGCAAGTGCGCTGTTACCGCGATGAACGTGTTGTAAATGGCGACATGTCAGTGTGGGATGTGAAGATGCATCGGACTCCGATGGACTTTCATATACAATCAAATGGAGATCCGGACTAGTAGGCCGAGGGTTACATCCACTGCCGGCCGTCAGTTGATCTCCGACAGGTTATTTCTGGCCTGGGAGGAGCACGTCTTCGGGGATACAAATCGCAAAACACATGGACTGGCTGGACCGAATCGCGCGTTCCTCACCGGCCCTGCATTAATTTACCCGTGAGGGGTTGATTGGAGCTAATGAATCGGAGCTATGGCCATGGGAGGTACTGCAGAATTGCTTGTACGATCCTCCAGAGATCATTCCGCATATACCATGGGCAAATACATGGTACAGTAGCAGGTAGGCCACCAAGTGAAGCTGTCTACAGAAGGGGGTGAGTAACCCACAGCTCAGGGTTGGCAGACGCCGATGGATGGGCTTGCGATAGCTGCGGAAATGTGCCTGAATCGTTTCCGCTGACTGCCGTGCAGGTACGGGACTGATAGCCGCGGCATCCATCCCCTCCACCGGACAGTGAAGAGAGTGGGGTCATGCTCGTTTGCGTGATTTTGGTTCCGTTGACTCGATTCTACCGCAGGCTGCTCGGCCACCTGTTATGGATGTGTGCCAGATCAGTGTGTCTCTCGGTACGGAGTATCGAATTCAGATTGCCGGTAGGTAGTGTCAGCCATCTTTACAAAGGGTGGGTGAGAATGATATCCGTTTCAACAGCGTCCGTGCAAGGCCATCTGTCAGGGTCCAAGAAAGGGGCGGTTACAGTGCCAGTCCTTCCAATGACACGATGAGCAGGGCGGGTGGCGTCATAAGCCACGGATCACGGAGCCCCGGTTCCTGCGCCGTTCCTAGCCTGACTTGTTGCCAGTCCTCGACGGTGCCAACCGGCTAGATGCGCCGTCAGACGGCGAACTTATACCAGAGTAGGAAGCACGGAGGGGACAGGGAGTGGGTTTCGCAGCGGTACTGCAAAGAAGGGGTTCGGCACGCCATCAAACGAGCAATGCTGGTGTCATTTGTGGAAGGTGGTGAAATGGTGCAAGAGATGTGCTCGATTTTGGTCAAGGCCGCACTGAACCGGGGCAGCCACAACGGGTGGCATGTCATCCTCAGGGACAGCATCCATCAGCACGGTCGCACAATGCTCCATGGTCGTCCTTCTTCCCCGTCAGACACATAGACCACAAGGCCAAGTTGATTAAACGGTTGGGATGCATGTTCAAACTGTTGCCTTGATGGCATGGGCCCCGAAGCCCCGGAGCCAGGCGGGTATGTCTCCGCTCCGATACCGGATGTCACCGGCTGTGCCCTAAACTTGACCAATATCAGCTACAACAACCACCTCTGAACGCAGGATAGGAGTATGGAAGCGCTTTAAGCAGCAGTAGATACGGAAATCAGGATGGATGTAGACATATCCGTGATGATGCGAGCTTGGCACCAAACAGACTCTTGAGGGTAAGCTCAGGCACCCCGGGGGATCGGCCTTGGCCACAATGGCCGCCAAGCGGAACCGCTGAACGCCCCCCTAAGAGGCTAAGGAGGCCGAAATGTTCCGGATGAGTGGAGTTGAAGGCATGGCGTGATCGGCAACCCCGCCGCGCAAATCGGCCTCCAAGTCCGTGGCGCCCGCGACCAGGATGGTTCCTATTTCTCACCTACGGAGTCACACCTACCATCATGACGGCTGACGATGAAGGCAACACTCCCCTCCTCAGAGAGCCCCCTTTGCCCGAGTACGGTGCTACCCATGGCGCGCTGCCACCCACCCGACAGTCCTTCAAGCGGAATCTAGGCACGGCCGAGGCATTCGGCATCATTATCAGCATCGTGATCGGGAGCGGAATCTTTACCTCCCCAGGGGCCATTGACACCAATGTCCCGTCACCCGGGGTGGCCCTCGTGGTCTGGCTGGTGGGAGGCATCTTAGCCTGGACCGGCGCCGCCACCCTGGCCGAACTGGGCACGGCGATCCCCGGAGAAGGTCCCGTATGCAATGATCTCCTTCATTCTCCGCACCTGGCTAATCAATACTACTTCAGGAGGCGTCCAACCGTATCTCCAGTACATCTATGGGGATGTATTCGGATTTCTGGCCGCATGGACCTGGGTCATTGCCATCGTGCCGGCCTCGCTGGCGATCGCCAGTATCGTGTTTGTCGAGAGCATCTACTCGGCCATCGGGGTCACGGATCAATCTGACCAAATGTCCCACAAGCTGCTGTCCATGCTGGTGCTCCTATTGATTGGCATGGCAAATTCAGTGAGTACGCAGTTCACCACTCGTCTCAACAAATTCTTTGTCATGACCAAGTTCGTGGCTATCCTGGCAATCGTACTGGCAGGCTTGGGGGTCGTCGTATCCCACCTCGCCGGCTGGAATCAAGTCACTGAGCCAGGGTCGTCAGACTGGCTGAGGCGATCTTGGTTCGGGTCGCGGAACACGGTCGGGCCAGATGGACGCGAGATCGAGTGGAGCAACCTCAATGGCTGGGAGATGCTCGGCCATTGTTCGGCGGCTCTCTATGGTGCCTTATGGGCCTACTCTGGGTGGGATAAGGTATGCAATGGGTGTCATCTTGAGTTTGGATGCATCGACTAATGGCATGTGAACACAGGCAATCTATATCAGCGCGGAACTGTCTGCCCCGGCGCGTCAACTACCACTTACCATCAACACCGCCATTCCGGTCGTCATCCTCAGTTTCATCGCAGTGAATGTCGCGTACTATATCCTTCTGCCATGGAGAGTCGTGTCCACGACTGACAGTGTAGCTGTGGTGAGTTTTCCCCCGCATAGGTGCGATGTTGGGATGCTAACTCGGTCGCAGACATTGTTCAATCACCTCCTGGGCCCTGTCTTCGGCCTCGCAGCGGCAGTCCTCATCTGCCTCGTTGTCGCAGGCTCCTTACTAGGCTGCTCCTTCGTGGCCAGCCGCATGGTCGTCGCAGCAGCCAATTCAAACTGGCTGCCCGGATTCCTCGGTCGGATTGGATCGGTATCCGGCCAGTCGCCATCGACAGCGGATGCCCCCGTCAATGCCATCCTCTTCAACACCGCTTGCACCATGATCTTCATTTTCTTCGGGAACTTCCGCGCCCTGGTCACCTTCAATGGTTTGGCCGAGTATACCTTCTTCTTCCTGACGATGATCGGTGCGATCATCCTCCGCGCTCGTGAGCCAGAGCTTCTTCGGCCGTATAAGCCGTTCATCTTCGCCCCTATCTTGTTTGCGGTCGTCAGTGGATTTGTAGTCACACGGGGGGCCATCTTTGCGCCTTTGCAGGCTGTTGTGCTCGTTGCCGTTTGGGGCATAGGGTTGGGCTTCTATGGGGTGAGAAGGCAATTCGGCAAGAGATGGGCCACGGGCATTGAGCCTGTAAACTAGACATGAATCAGTGGTATTTCACCTGTAGGTGTCGGAGTAGTACAACATCACCGGGAGAAACCTTGCATCAATAGGAAGATAAGCGACTCTTTTTAGAGTATGAAGCTACAGATTGAATTGCCATTGTCAATATATTATTTTGCCTCGGGTGCTCGCACCAATGCTGCCTGAAATATACACAATTTATGATAGAAGTGAATACAGATTCCAGCCCTGGGTATTTCTTTGATGGTCTGGATAGAGTGATGGAACGTAACCTAGTGTTTCAGATGTTACCAAGCAAAGGGTTATCATAAGCGCTGAATTTGTCGCGTACGAAAGGGATATGGAATATTCTCTCTCAAGAATGACTCTAATCCAGACTATTCACTATACTAAGATGTGATAGGATAGCTTAAGAATAGCCTAGCTATCGGGATCAAGGTCCTTGGGGTGACGTACTAGGGTAGTCATAGAGATCAAAAGATCATCAGTAGTAGTTCCGAACCTCCCTATTTTCTACAAGGTGATATGCCTTAGTGTTAGACTACTGATCTTTCAAGGATCAGTTTGTGATAGGATAGTTTAAGAATGGCCTAGATATTGGGATCAAGGTCCTTGGAGTGACATGCTAGAGTGGTCATAGAGATCATAAGATCATTGGTAGCAGTTCCGAACCTCCCTGTTTTTTATAAGGTAATATTCCTTAGTGTTAGACTACTGATCTTTAAAGAATCAGTCTATTTCATAGATATAGACTATCTTTATTATTATTAGTAGAATCCTAAATATTTAGTAGCCAGTTCTTTACTTAGTTAATAGATCTTCTACTTTAATAAGTAGATCTTATCATATTCTGATTCTTCCTTTTCGATTATTTAAGGAAGATGCCACCTCTTAAAGATTATAAAGAAATAGAAGTAGATAGTAATCAAACTAATTTAGAATTATTATTAAATACCGTTTCTATCATTGAAAAAATCTAATAATTAAAAGATTATGTTTATCGGTTGGACTCTTCGCCCGATTCCTCGACTTATTATTCACCTTTTCACTCTATTATTATATCAAGATTCAATGGTTCATGAACGATCTCAGTGAACAAAAAAAAATGGCGAAGTTCATGACTATCCAGCATAGAAGACATGGTGACAGCCCATTTTATATCAAGTAAACTTTGGTTAGCCCGGGGTTATAGTCAGCATGCTCCTTAAGACGAAAACAATGAATAATTATTCCAGCGTCAAGGCGCGCCCGACAATCTTATTATTCTCTCCCAACTACAAACAATGATACAGCGACATGACAGTCACAAGTAGGTAGCCTAGTTATAATAGCACTCCCACTTTGCATTCGCCGGCATCTTTTATCTTTAGAAAAAATTATTGTTCCTTCCTCATAGTCTTGAACCTAAAGAAATGAGATCTTGCCATCCGCATTTTCAACGCGATTATGTTGCAGTTTGAGCCTTCCCAGCCAACTAACTGCGGCTATAATCCAGTGACTCTGATTAGACTCATGAGAGTCGGAAAAGAAAAGAAAAAAAACCAATTTATGAGCTTTCTTTTATATTTTTATTCAGCAAGACTTGCTTGACGAATACGATGAGCGAATTAGCCTTGGCCAGGTTTTATCACACCTTGCTCCGTTCCCTCACTTGCCATCTGAGCAGAAAGACGCCTTAAGAGAAGTTTTGTTGAATTTGCGAAGTACTTGGTGGACAATCTTCCTCTTATCCTGTAACTTCCAGTCATTCGTGGGCCCAGCACGCTTACCGTCCTTAGTAAAAGCGTTGGCAGGTAAAACTCCTCAACCTACTGCAGCTCTTTCCCGGTCGACAACCGCCGATGTTGCCATTAGAACTCCTCAAAAATTCTGTAAGCTATCCGCTTTAAATCTGCCTGAATATCGTCAGCTAGGATAAGATTCAAATCGCCCATAATATGCGCATTTACAAGTCTCTATTCGCCTTCTTCGCTGGTAAGTTACATAAGAGAGTGAGATATAATGTACGCGACTTCCAAGGAAGCCATATTATCACGCTCCTCAAGCAACAACTTGCCATTATTATTCTTCAAATTAGGCCCATGCCGCTTATATCATCTCTGGCCTTCTTGGGCATTGAATTCCTGACTGATGATACATCAGTTCCATTACGTATAAGACAGGCTTGTCGCGACTTTGAGACACGCTGAGTGCCAAAGGTGGCTTCTGGAGTTCTAGAATGCGAAAGAGCCGGGGTGAGTTAAGGGTTTTTACTGCCAACGCTTTTACTGGGAAAGAGTAAGTGACTCGCATCAGGTGTAGTACCTAGGAGCTTACATGGTAAGAAAAAGTTATCTATCAAGTACTTGGCGAAAATACTAGGCAGTCATGTAATGCATTTATCTCTTCAGCTGACCGGATACAAAATCTGGTAAGGTGGGATAAAACTTGCTCTAGACCGGTCTCTTCCCTCTCACCGAGTAGCTCTTGATAAATAAAAGACAAAAAGAAGTCCAGAAACTCATCCTTTTCAGAAATTTCATTCTACATAAGTCTAATGAGTGTCACTGGTTTGTAGCCGATATCAATTGCCTAACAAGGTTCAAAGTGCCGGATGATTTCACCAGAATTTCAAATCGGGAGGCCACATTCTTCGACCTTCAATGGTTGAGATGAAGGAATGATAACCCCTCCCAGAGATGGACAGTGCCGGTGAAGCCGATATAGACGCTCTATTGAAGCTAATAAAATATTCAGGCAGGTTGCCCATCAGCATACTATTTGCACATCATTATTAGTTGCTCTGAAGTCGAATATTGTTATTGTTGTTATAATAATGAGGGATTGGAATTTGAGAAGGGGTTACCATTCGGATCCAGGTTAACTATTCCCAGAGCACCAGTAATGTTCTGGTAAGATGGCCTTTAAGTGGCCTTGGCCCATCCAAAGTGGCAACACTACTTTCTTGGCGCTTGGCTGACCGAGTGGGATGCTGACTAATATCAATCTGAGAAGTCTGCCACAGGCACGCTCTTAGCGATATGCCCCGCGTCTAACTTTCATTCATCAAATTGCGCGAATGGGAACTGGACAACAGAGATGATGGACGCTCTTTGTGATCATTTACTTTAAAAATAAACCTGTTTATACCTTCATGATGTTCACTGGTTCAATACATCTGTTAGACACAGCTAATGTTAACCTCATTCGGAACATCCACGAGTGGTAGCAACAAATGACTCTGGTTCGCTCCTCCCAAATGGATGTGATGCCTTCCCACGTTGTAGGTAGGGAGTGCACCCCGCAATTGAGGAAATTCCGCAAGTGTCATATTGTGACCTGACACCTTCAGAAATATCTTCTCTCCCGCATCGAAAGCAATACCAGTCTGCCAGATTCCAATATCCATCTTCACGATCTTACCGCGTGGTACCGGGGTCCTATGGCCGTAATAGTGCTCAGGCCAGTGTGGTTTTGACAGCTTCGAATCTATGTCGCAGTAGCTAGCACGTAATACTCCGCTTGGTCCCAGGTATATAAGCGGATTAACCTTTTCGACGTGGGCAGCGGTGACTTGTAAATCTTCAAGGGGGATATTGATATTTTCCAGGAGACGACCCGCTTTGTCCGCTTTTCGCAGCTGCACAAACACATCCATGTCGTCATGGTCTGGACAGGACATATAAAGCACTGCCCTGGCACATCCTACGACATAGGTCTTCTTTGTAAATGTGTATTGAAAGCACAGTTCCTCAATATCCGATCCTACTTGAAGACTTGTAACGTCAGACCGGTATGAGATGCTGCTGCTGGCTTCCTGGTGCGGTACGACCGGCGATAATGAGCCATTCTCATTGAGAAAAAGCTTCTTATATTCAGTTGACGGTACCGGCCAGTCTTCAAACGGGACATTAATAATCGGATCCTGGATATGAATCAGAAATGTCGAATCTAAAACATCCGGGATATCCTAGTACCTTGTTGAACTGTAGAAGAGAGATTCTAACCCTTGGTGTTTCCTCCCAGCCATTCTCAATTCCCTTCGTGTATCTATCAAAGAATAGCTGCAGCTCATCATTTGTACTCGGTTGATATAGGTCATGCCATTCTTGGGTAGAGTGGACTCGAAGCCTACAACTAATTGTTAACCATAAAACTGCAGGGCAAGGAGATGGAGTACTGTACCATTTTTTGTCGTGTTGTATTTCCTCGAACCCTCTGAAAGAACCCATCGTGTGTAGGAATGTGGAATAACTCGCCAAGACGTAGACAGGTACTTTAATCCGTCCAACTTGTGCTCTTTTGTCTTCCCAATACTCATTCATCTGAGGATAATGGTTGAGCATGGCTATAACATCTTCCTGCTGATTACGACCTTTCTGTATATTAGTACAAGCATTTAGTGGGCAGAATAAACTCTAACCTATAAATCCATCTGCTAAAAATTCCCAGAAGGCTGTCTGAGGGACGCCGCCTCGGCATAGCAGCTCACGGTAGACGTCGCTGGCCCCCTCCAACGGCGCAATGCATTTCAAGTGAGGCGGACACTCAGCGGCAATGAACCACTGTGCCATAGCAAGCCACGAGTTTCCGACAAGCGCAATACTGCCGTTGCACCATGGCAATTCAGCAATTCGCTCGACAACGTCGTAGCCGTCTCGGCCATCAACAGTCCCAAACCAACTGGTCACCGCCAGATTAAAATCCGTAGTCAGTAATAGATAGATATATTGACATACTTGATATCACCGTCGGAATCATATACCCCTCTTGGATCCACATTCACAATTGCGTACCCTCGTGCTGTCCACTCGGCCGGGTCGGGAGCCTCAAATTTCTCGAATCCTGATAGTCTATTTTGCGGGACACCTACACGGCCTGGAACTATATCCAAACGGAAATGTCCTATAAGATGGTTAGTAGCGCGCAATCCAAGCTATGGAGGGGCCAGGACCTCTCCCGCTTTTACCATATGGACTCCAAGCAATTAGTGCAGGGACTGGTTCCACACTGCAAGCTGGACGAAAAATATCTGCCCTCACCTGGGAACCGTCTCGCAGGCATACTTTTGCGTCCTTTTCGAAGGTGGTGGCGATACGAAATGGTGCTCTGTCATGGCTTTTCTTGTAACCTTCAGGGAGGGTGCTCACGCACGTCTCAGGCCCGTCATAACAGCTATCCGATATTTCTGGTAGGTTTACTTGCCGTTTAAGCGGGGTTGGGGACGGCCCAATTGGGGGAGGCATGACGACGATAAAGAGTTACTTGATCGAGTAAAAATATAGGTGGTATACGGTCTCGTTTAATGGTTACGTGTTGCCTTTATATATGCTAGGTTTGAGCGTGGTTGTACAATCAAACCTTTTTCCGTAATCCCGAAGCAACAGTTGATGTGGGTCATAAAGAGGGCGATCTTAGCCATATCGTCCCTAGTTGCACGGGTATACGGGTTATCGTTTCAGCTGACGGAAATTCATGTGTTGAGATTTTGGAAAGCGTTCAAGATATGTGCTGTCGTCCAGACTCTTTCTGTATAAATTCCCTTTGTCATGATCGCAGCGCTTCAAGAACTGGCGGGCTTTCCGTTACAGAACGAATTTAGGTTAGTGCGATAATTCTCTCATTAGACCGTTCATTTCATCCGACAGATCAGCATTCTGAGCAGCTACCATACTACCACGATGTTGTAGCTGATTTCCGCACTTCTTTTCGCTGATAAACTCAGCCGCTTCTCCGTACGGCAGTCTCGAAGATAGTGCTTATGAAATCTCAAATTTCGCTATAAGTTATATATATTAAGCCTTCCGCTGTCAGACCTGCTCCAGATCTAGGTGACATTGGAACGGACACCACTGACGCCATCTTGCTGCCGCTCCTGCTGGTAAATACTTGTTAGTAATAAATAGTAACAGCCACGGAGAGTTTATTATCTTATATAATAGTTACAGGAGAGGTAGAGTATGTTACATAAGCCTCGCTACAACCCCCCCCCTCCCCTTCTGTTATATATATATAGCCGTGGGAACACCTACACGAGCCATTCGGAGGAGCCAGCTATGTCAGGTCCATGAAAGCCGCACATTAACAGAGAGTTTGACATTCAGTCCATGTACACGGAGCATCAGCTATTTTTCCATCCACCAGCACATCAAGCGCGTCGGTATTGCCTCATGATCTGCCTGAGCCGATCCAGGGGCAAGGCCTCGACGGACACTCCTGCAAGGCACAGATACGGCAGATACCGTAGTTGGCCTGCACTAGCGCCACGATCGTGTAGGCTCCGAGAACACGCCGGCGGCTACTCCCCGTGCCCCCCTCACTCCGTGACAGATCATGCCCGCGTCCCTGCCGACCTTACCCTCTCAGACTGGCTCACCCCCTCGCACGCTCTCCAAGCCATGCACACCGTGCTCAAGCTTGACAGCAAAAGATGCGCAATTGTGCAGATCCGCCTTCCGCGTCTCTCCCACCACGGGCAACACCAGCCACCTCAGCGGACCATCGCCCCCCCTCTACTTTGGCCGCATAACGATGGATGCCCGGGTGCGCAGCGCCGACGCCATAGGTTCCGGTACGAACAATGGGGGAGGCAAGCATCCCTGATCTCTTGCAGAGATTGGGCGCCCGTCAGCTCTTCGGCGCCGTGAAAGCGCTGGTGGCGCAATCGGCGCGTGGAATCATGCACGTGACGCACGTGTTGATGTCCCCCGGAGCTGAAAATCTCCTACGTATGAACTATGACCCCTGGGACGCCCGTGGAGGAGTTTAGTATCAAGGAGTTGACGGATGCGCATCCGCCGCGACTCCTGGCCGTCGGACAGCTGGACGATCATAATTAAGGGAGCAGGGTTGGGGGAGAGATTCTTCAGACCATTAACGGGGGAAGGGGATGTGCAGTTGGGAGCATCAGACTGAAATAAGTTAGCTGTCAGCCGCATGGCGATGCCGGACTGATATTGGCTAAGGATCTCTGCTGCCTGGGCCAGGCTGCCAGCAAGTACTATACACCATAACCGGGGGTCTATCGCATTGGGTTCAATATGGTGCTTCTAATCCATTGCATCCTCGTCCGAGGTATCGTACCAAACCTCGTCAATCGGCGCATGCACCCGCCCCTTCCCGGTGACCGTGACCATCTCTTTGAAGTCCTCGTAAAAGGTGTCCCACAGGGAGATACACCCCCTCCATCCCATCTCCGGTGGAAACCCTCGAATGCGGTGGGGATCGTGCAGGAGCTCGGCCACGATCCGGTCTCGGAAGTCATGTAACCGGAAGGCAATCGTCTCCAATAGCAGGGGCTCCGCCTTAACCGTCATCAGCACCTCGTAAATATCGTCGTAGCCGTTTGCCAGCTCGATGATCGCCATGACATCCTTGAGCTTGAGGGACGCCATGCGGTTCTCCCTGGCATCCGGATGGAGCAGCACCAGGCCCGAGAGCTGATAGATGGCCCGGGTCAGTCGGTGGCGCTCTGACGGGGAGAGCTGCGTGGGAGGGGGTCCGAAGAATTGGTGGTGTCGACTTCGTACTGCGGTCATGTCAGGAACCGTGACCGACTCCAACCACCATCCGCGAGGTCAACATACGATAAGCGCGCGTTTGGAGACAGGCCACAAATTTCTGGTCGAACAGATTCACGGATCGCTCGGCCGCGGCGGCGTTGCGTACCAACTGCACCACGTCTCGTGCGGTCAAGGTCGCCTTTGGGTGAGGCCCGCCCTGGTCGGCGAGAAACACCCGCGCATAGGGTGGGCATTCAATACTGCGGGGGCCAACCTGCCGATAGATCCAGTTGGCGTTTTGCTGCCAGATCTGTTGATGTCGAGAACACGTCGCGGCGAAGTTCAACACATCCACCAACGCGGGGAGGGAGGTAAAGAGATGAGAGATGATTTCGGCCGGAAGGGCCGACAGGTAGCATCGATCAGGAGTCTCCATGAGGTGAGAGAGCAGGGGAGATTCACCCTGAGACGGTTGATGGGATTGGTGTAGGGGCTCTTTGGGATGGGAGCGGGGGGGGGATGGGGTGGCCCCATATAGGCAGCCATCAGCATTGATATTGGACCGTGGGGGCGAACTACTAACCATCGAGACCCTCTCAGTGCCAGTGGCTGAGGTGAGATTGGCCAAATCCTCCCTTCTGGCCCCAATTTCATACCGATTCGGGCAGAGGGGATGACAGCTCGGGAAACTAGCCCGCTTCCAGCAGGAGGCTAAGAGAACTAGGAGGACACTAGACCCGGGCAGGGTTCTTTTGGCCCCGAGCCTGAGCCCTTGAGCGGCTCTATTCGGAACCATGACATGCAGCATGGCGGATCCGCCTCCGCCCAGGGCTGAGACAAGCTCTGGCAGCCTTGGCCCCTGAGTCTGGGCAGTCAATCTGGCGCATCGTATCACATCTTAACAGCATTTCCTGGCCGGCCACATCCAGCATAACCTTTGGTGGACTTGCTGTGGTTGCTTGGACCGCGGCAAGGCTGTACAAGCTTCCCCATATTGGAATGGGACCTCGGTTCGAGAGGAAGGACCCTTCGAAAGGAGCCCAACAGCCATGGGGGAAACTGCGACGCAGCCATAGACTAGCAGGGATCATCGAAGCGAGATTAAGAGGGCGCTGACAGGATGCCATGGTCCATGGAGTGCCCCGAGATTATCCAACAGTCCAAATTAGTTGTTAGCAAGGCCCCCAACACGACACAGCATCGTGGACCGTGATTGAGCAGGCACTGGCATGGGTATGGCTTGCTATCTATGTCTCGGCCCCCAGGCTCATATGGAGTGCCCAACACCATCCGGACGAGTCGAGGGAAGCTTGCCCCGGTCGCCAGATGGATAGGTGACATATAAAGTTGGCGAGTTTCTCCCCTCTTGGGAGAAGGGCAAGACTCGTGGCAGACCATCATCGTTCTCATCATGTCTTACTCTGCTTCTCCCAGCAAGAAGCTGGCCCTCTACCTCTTTTGTCTCTTCTGGCTCTATTCTTCCCAATTCGCCTTTGCGGCCCCCCACAACACCGAGGACCACCAGGCCCATGCGGTGGCTCGTCGTACCCACAAGGCGTCCTCTACCCCCAAGAATCCCTTCAAGACCCCGTTCGACACCGACAGCGGCGCCAGCAGCAGCGACAGCAGTGATGAAGATATAGCGCCCACGGATGATGGCCCGACCTCGGATCGCAGCCCCGGTCTCGGCATTGAATTCGAAGCCAGTGGCTTTATCTTCAAATCCGGTACATGCAAACTGAAAGGCACTTTGGCCTCCAAGGGCAAAGCGATCAGTGGCCATACCAATACATACTGGAGCCTGACCGTGGATACGACGGGGGAGGTCGAGGGCAAGCTCGCCGGGGAGTATATTCTCAACGGGAAGAACATCAAGCTCGGGGCCGGGACAGCTGCGACCGCCGCCGAGAATGTGCAGAAGGATCTGGTAAGGCCAAGTCAGACTGCACCGACGGACATCTTACAGCCGACTGACATGCAAATAGGTCAAGTGGAACCCGCATGCCACGATGTCGGGCAATAGCTTCGACCTCCTGGACCCCGTGAGCAGCGAGTGCAAGACCTGGAAGGTCGCAGACCCCTCGTCCAGCGGCGGCTATAAGTCACTGCTCTGGCAGGTGCAAGCCACGGCGCCCATGCCCCTTGCCGCGATATACACGCTATTCGAGCTCGCCAAGGGTCCGGATCGCAAGCACGATCCTCTGCTGGCCGAGCACACGCGACATTTGAATCGGATGGTCTGGGTGAATTCGAAGTTCTTCCAAAACGCCCCGCAGGGGAATCAGGCGACCGGGGTCACCAAGAATACGCTCGCCTTTTTCTCCCTCATCCTGTCCTATGTGAAGCCCAGCAGCACGGCGGGGGACAGTCTCAAATTTCGCAGTCCGATTATGCCGCGGACGGATTTTGTCACCCTCTATAATGCGGTGAAGTCGAACATCAAGGGGGAGAATTTGTATGAGCTGGTGCTGGCTTTGCTGTGCTTCAAGAATGATGGCGAGGAAGTCGAGTAAGTTCGGCCGGGCCGGAGTGACATTTTGGGTCTAACTGATCATCACCAGGCTCGATACCATCTGGTGCGATGGAACCGTCAAGGCGCCCAAGCTCTTATCCAGCAAGGACGATCAACTGACCTTCCAGATCGACGGCCACAGCCAATTGTCCGGGTTCCCGGACAAGACGTCCTTCACATTACAGGAATGGATGGACGGTCTCCAAGGCACCGGGACGATGACCGCGAAAGTCAACCAGGCCCTCAAGAAGGCCGACGCGAAATCCACCCGGACGGACAAGAGTCCTGTCGACTTGATGGCCGTCTTCGATCGGTGGTATGACGGCCAGATTGGCGCGTACGGCTCCACTCAGGAGCACCTCTATGCTAATAACAAACAATCCGTCCCGCTGTTTGAGTTTCGGAACCTGGAGGGAATCAAGGACGATAAGTTCAAGACGCGCGTGTCGGAGATCGAGGAGCGGGTGATTTACTACCATAAGCATCATGCTACTTGACGGATCCGAGTTGTGTGATTTATTGATGGTTGTCTTCAAGGATACTGTATGTATATAAAGAGGATTGGGTTCGTAGGAGAGACTGTTCGAGGATTATGGCTCCGACTGCCTTGACCTGCCGGGGATTAAACTGGTTTGGAGTTTCAAATTTATGCATTATCTAGTAGCAGATTACATCGCACCTATCGCGTCTCCTCAATATACACATCTATAGACAAAGTCTCTAGACCCCCGGTTCTCCATGGGCAGCCGTGCCCTTCTCACTGCCACCATCCTCCACCTGCATACCCTCCTCGCTGCTCGCCACACTGGCCAGCTGCCACTCGCGAATGGCATGGCCCTTCCACATGAGCAGCATGACGAACAAGAACGAGAAGATGGCAAAGAAGGCCATCATGCCATACACCCAGCCCACCTCGACAGCCTCCACCCAGGGGTCAATGTAGAAGCTGATAGTCAGGCCATAGACAATCCGGTAGGCCCCGATCACGATACCTGCTTCAGCCGGGTACCGCGTGAAGCACTCGACCACGTAGTTGACTGTGACCGGTACACTGGCGAGGGAACCGATCGTGACAATGAACACGGCCAGTGCGAGGACCATGTAGTGCAGCTGGTACTGCAGGGTAGCGCCGAAGATCCCCAGCCCGATGGGATTGAGAATCAGACTAGGAATCCAGAGCACATGCAGCCGATACTCGGGCTTCCAGGCGCCGTGGTTGAAACGGCGGGCCAGGGCCAGCGGCAGCCGGTCATTGTAGTAGTGGCCGAAGATCTGCACGATGATGATGCCGATCCAGTGACAGAAGGTGAAGGCGGCATTCTGCTTCAGGGAGAAGCCGTAGCCGCCTTTTTCGGGGGATCGCTGTAGCCAGACGGGCACTAGGGCGTTCATGCCCACGTAGAAGCCAAAGGAGATGAGGGTGAAGGTACCCATGATGATGGTCACAGGACAGATCCCGATGAGGATAGGGGCTACAGCGATTTTCATCTGACAGGGTCAGCATGGGTTGCAGAGGAAGGGGGTGATCGTACTGACGGTGGCCGACCAGGTGGTGGGCTGCACCACGCGCTGGCCGAAGAAGAAGGTTGCCCATCGGTTGGCCAGCCAGTTGGTGGGAATAGTCGGATTCCGCTGGGGATTCTCACGGTCGTATCCCGTCTCCTCGAGGCAGAGGAAGATCAGAATGGCCGTAGCACCCAGCAGACCGACGGACCACCAGAACTCGACCGGGAAGAAGGCATTGGCGGAGATAAAGGCCGAAAAGGTGGGCCCGGCGATAGTGCCAAACAGAAAGGCCATGTGCAGGGCTGTAAACGCACGGCCACGCTGATGCAGGAACAGCAGATCAGTGATTACCCGGGGCCCCAGGACGGTGGGGACGGCGCCGAAGAAGCCGGAAAACAAACGCGACATGATAAAGGCGATGTATTCATCTGGGTGGGTCATAAGGGCGCCCCAGATCTGGCAGATCATGGCGCAGAGCACGCACCAGAAGATGACGGAGCTGCGGCCGAGCCGGTGGGCGATGGGGGCGAAGAAGAAGGGGCCGAACGCCATGCCGGCGAGGGCTGCGGAGTTCTGCGACGATCTGCTATCAGGACAAGGGCACATCCGGGTCACGAGACCGCACCTACCGCGTAAGACTCTTGAACCGTGGTCTTGCCATAGATCTTGGCCTGTTGGGCGAGATTCAGTTGACCGGAGAGAGGGGCAATGGCGCCAGAGAAGGAGGCCAGACAGAGAGTCGCCAGGATGACATATTTGCGGCGATGCGTCCAATTCTGCGAGATGCCCGAAATCAGGGGATGGAAGGGATGGAATGGGGGGGGGCTACTGCTTACGAGCGGGTCCGCCGGGTCGGCACTGGGTCGGGGTACCAGCACCACGCCGGGCGGGGGTGGCCCCGATCTGTCGCCATCCAGGGTCGTGGTGATGCCTTTTGCTTTCATGCTGCTGCGTGCACTGCCGGAGAACATGTCAGGAGAAGAGAACGACTGGCCTGAAACTCTGAAGAGGTTTTTCTGGTGTTTGTCGATCCCTTGCCGAACGCGTCACCCCCGGGGTTAAACCCACTGGGGAAATTAGTTCCGGCTGATCGCCTGTCGGGATTGGCTGAGAGCAGCCAGCGATACCCAGCTCTATACACCAGGCGTTTGAGCCAGACCCTTCATTGACTCATTCTTATCGAGTCGAATGGGTCCGTGGGCATATCAGGAGCCCGATCTCTTATCTAGGGACATAAGCGAGACGGCATGAGAGGTAGGGACGTGATTAGCACTAGCACAACCACAGTGTCACCTGTCTTTCTCGGCGCAGAGTATATATATTCTCCATCATATCAATCCCGCAGCAATGGGGGAATCTCCCACGGCCCCACTACCTCTGCCCACCGCTGCATCAGCTGCAGCATCCGGCCCTCGCTCCCCGCACTGCCCACCACCATCAATCCCTGCGGTTGTCCCATGCCCCCTTTCCCTTCCAACCGGCTCATCGGCAGCATCGCCGTGGGATAGCCCGCTAGAGCAGCCACGGCGCAAGTGGCACAATCCCCCGGGCCAATGATCAGGTCGATCTGGTGTTTCGCCAGGGTCGCATCGATCCCCTCCGGACCCGCGAGCCGGTGACCATAGGCTTTGATGACAGCCGCAGACTCGTCCGTCAGGGAGGAGTGCAGCGTGTCGATCAGATCTTTTTGATCGGAGTGTGCTGATATACTTAGTGCTGATCCACTCATCGAGGAGACGACTTACGCTCCGGCATAGCAATAGCGGCATTCTGCTCGTTGTACTCGACGAGCTCTTGCACCGAAGTCACCCTCGGGGCATCCAGCAGGGAGCAGAAAGTTTCAAACAGGCGAGGGAATTCATGGACTGCCAATTAGCGCACATATCCTCGCAATGACTGCAAGATACTCACATGCCACCGAATGACTGACACTCTTGCCCTCATACTGAAGCTCTTCCATCGTGGGGACTTCCACTGGATAGACCACTCGCCCGCCCCGCCGGGTGATCTCGTTCCGAGCCCATTCATATTTATCGAGCTGGGTGGTCAGCCAAGATCTAGCTCTGAGCCATGATACTCACAATCTGCTTCTCAACATCCTCATTCCGCTCTTTCTGGAACTGAAACACATTCCATACGATCGGATCGACGACCCCCACCGCAATGTCCGCCCAGGTGGCTGGCTGCGGACGGGTGCCATTGAGCACCTGCATCAGCAAGGCTAGATCGTCCGGACATTTGGCCATTCCGCCCAGCCGATCGAAATCCCGACTCAGACTGAACACCCCCTCCATGGGGATGGTCCCCCGTGTGGCGGTAAGAGAGTACAGCCCCGCCCGATTGGCGGGCATGCAGACCGACCCCGAGGTCTCGGTGCCAATGGACAACGGGGCAAACCCCGCCGACACGCCCACCCCGGACCCGGATGATGAGCCCCCGGGACCAGATCGACCGATGAAGAGGTCATCGGGTCGAAAGCCGCCCTCGATATACGCCGACTGGGTGATACCATTGACCGCCGACCAGCCCGCGGTCATGCAAAAGGCCTTGAGACCACAAAACTCGGTCATGCTGGCTTTCCCGAGGATGATGAGTCCCTGATCAAGGAGGAGCTCGATCACAGCGGCATTCTGTTTCCCGTAGGTATCCCGAAAGGCGACTGCCCCCGCGGTGGTGGGCAGACCGAGCGACTTGGCGGTGATGATGGCATCTTTGACGATGATGGGGATGCCATGCAACGGACTGCGGATCCGGCCCTCAGTACGTTCCCGGTCGCGATCGGCCGCTTGCTCCAGAGCGGTCTCGGGGTTGACAGAAATCAATGCTCGGAGTCCCAGTCCATCACGATTATGTTTGTCGATCTGAGCTAGGTAGGCGTTGACGATGTCCACGCTGGTGATGCTGCCGGCTTGCAGCAGTTGCCCCAGCTGGGCGGCGGTCGCGGTTAATACGTTTACAGCTGCCATGGCAGTCGTCGAGCTCCCCAGAAAGATGTATCGGAAAGGCTACTCGGCCATGCCAATTGGACCCTGGATATGGGCACGTGCGGGATAAATAGACGATGTCCATCCTACCAGGCACCAGTCGCAGCAAACGCCACGCTCAGATAGCATGGCGCGATGTTCCGTCAATAGCCACCTCGGCCCTTATCACGCCGTCAGATTTTAGCGCCCAGGCAGGGTTTGCCGATGCAACCAATTAACATACTTGGCATCTATTCCTATCAGAGACTGCAGCCTAGGACAGGCCAGTAGCTTAAGGCCAGGTTGTCTTAGATCTCGGATCCAGGCCGTGGTGCGACGGAGATTTCATAATCGTTTGCTCAAAAGAACAGAACTCATAACGTCGCAAAAGCGGTAAATTCAAACGCTAAATGACTCAATGCACACACAAACCACTTCAGTCCTCTCTCCCAAGCTTCGGAGCCCCCACGCGAATGGTCTCCACCGAATCCAGCCGCTCGCGATATTCATCCATCAGGAGCCGAGCAGCAGGCGCGGAGGCCACAAACTCCTGTACGCGTCGATCGGGGAAGACGTAGTGCAGCGCAACATACACGGCACCGCTGATGAACGTACCGCTCAGGAAGCAGATATAGTACAAATGTGTTAGACTGATGGGAACGTGAATCGCCGGGTTCACATAGGCCACGAAGCCGGGCAGCGACGGGACTGTGCCGCAGATCCACTGCCACTTATTAGAATCGGAGTTAGGGCCAGATCTGGGCACCTACCGCGACAATCGCCCGCCAGTTCACCCCATATGTATACCAGTAGATGCTGCTGGCGTCTCCGACAAACAAATCCGGGACCTTGACCTTCTGCTGATTGACCCCCAGGTACGACGCGATCATCAACCCGATCATGGGCGCCACGAACACCGAGTAGCTGCTGAGGACGGTAACAAACACCGTGGCCGTGTTGACCAGCTTCCACGGATTCGCTGCAATGGAGATGAGGGCCGTCAAGTACGCGCCCCGACGGATGTTGATGTATCTGGGAAAGGTCGCCGCGAGATCAAATCCTGGTTCAATCAGCCAAGTCTCCAGAACAAGTGCTTACAACTAACCGCCAGAGAGAGCGTTTCCGGGCACATTGACCCCCAGCTGCGAGATGATCAACGCGGCCCCTCCGAAGAAGGCCGCGGCGCGCGAGCGGGAGCCCCCCGTGGCGATGACGGCACTCAACAGGTTAGGCAGATTCCAGTATGCCTCGCCATAGCGATTCTGAGTCGCAGCCGTGACCAAAATGCCAATGACGCCGCAGATGATGGCGTACAGGGCCGCACTGACCAGCTGCCCGTAGATGGCATCGCGGGGCCGTCGCGCAAATCGGGCGTAGTCGTTCTGGTTCAGGATGCCAGCACAGATGCTACCAATCGTGCTGATGATCCCAAAGGCGATCATCCATCCCGAGCCATACGTCCCGGAGGACAGAGTATCACCGAAGCCGTGGTCGCCCATGGTAGCGAGGGACCAGATCAGCAGGACGATCTCGAACACAATGACAATGGCGGCGGACACATAGAATAGCGACTGCAGCTTATGCGGTCGGACATAGATTACGGGCAAGGAGAGGACCATGAAGATGATGTAGCCCACAAATTCGGCCGTCGTCATGCCGGTGGTCGCGGACATATGGTTGGGGATGCGCTCCTCGAGGGAGGGCCAGATGGCCTGCAGGCAGACGTAGACACACTCGCCTCCGATCCAGGCCTGGAAGGCGTCTGTCATGTCATGTCAATTCGGGTCGATGTGTACAGGTCGTCACTCACTTACACCAAACTGGACAGTCAGCGCGAGTCATCAGTGCTCCATAGGGTACACCTACTGAGGGAGAGGAAGATGCGGTTCCAGATGACAAACTGGCTACCGTACATGCCCCAGACATATCGGTTCACGACGGGGAATCCTACTGGTGGTTACCGTCAATATGCGATCGCCGGACTGTCCCCATGGTAGTGCTTACAGTGGTAGTATGCCCCGGGAAGCGAGTTGAGGACGATGAAGATGGTGGCCAGAAGGTTCCCCACCACGATGGCGACGATGGCCTGCCACCATGACAGCCCCAGGGCAATCAGGGAGCTGCCGGTCATGTAGGTCGAGATGTTGGAGTTGATGAGAATCCCTGTCGCTGGTTAGCCTGCCCGCGCAAGGCCCAATGCTCACCAACAGTAGTTGTTAAAGGTCCAGAACCCCCACCGACGACGATCGGCCTGGATGGGCTCAATGTCGCTGTTGATCCATCGGTCGGGAATGGTCTCGCCCTCCTGGGGAACCTCGAGCCATTCGAGGAGCGTCATGATGTGATGCTGGTCGACGAGGCGATGCTCCCTCCGCGTGTCCTCCATCCCTTGGTATATAAGCCGGATGATAAGCGCTATCTCGGCCGGGCGATCGATCCATGGTCCAGCCCGCAGCTGACAGGCCGTAAGCGGGGTTGCAGCCAGTCCCATCCCAAATGTACCGGCCAGCAGGGAAGTCTAGGCACCCGCGTTCAGGGGTGGGGTAGATAAGCGGTACAAAGGCCCTGTATTCCCGTAGCAGATTGACCGGTCTCTGACGGATTGATACTCACGGAACAAGATGGGATTCTACCGGATCGGCGTGGATGTGGGCGGCACCAACACTGATGCCGCCATCCTTGATACGACCCCCGCTCTGATCGACCAGCCCTTGCGTGGTGTGTGCGCCTCCAGCAAAACCCCCACCACCGCCGATGTCACCTCGGGCATCTACACGGCCATTGTCGATGTCCTGGCCAAGGCCCAGGTTCCCCGCCAGGACGTCCGCAGTGTGGCCATTGGCACCACCCATTTTGTCAACGCCGTCGTCGAGGCCGATCCCCGTCGATTGAGCCGAGTGGCCGTGGTTCGCCTGTGTGGGCCATATACCCGAGCGGTACTATCCAAAGAATCCTTGATATTATCTGCCTCCATGATTACTGACATTGTGAAGATCCCACCCTTTGCTGACTTTCCTCCCCACCTCCGAGATATTGTTGGAGGGCCCGTCCACTACCTGGATGGAGGTACGTCCCGACCAAGTCGACACTTATTCGAGGCCACTAACGTCCGCAGGTCTGGAAATTGATGGACGGGAGATCGCTCCCATCTCCCCTAGGCAAATTGAGGAAACGGTCCGCGAGATTGTAAATGCAGGCATCACGACCGTCGCCGTCGTCGGGGTGTTTTCTCCTCTCGACCATCAGGGAGCCCATGAGAAAACTTGCAAGAAGATGATGCTGCAGCATAATCCAAACCTATCGGTGGTGTGCTCCGCCGACATCGGGAGCGTCGGGCTCCTGGAACGAGAAAACGCCACCATTCTCAATGCCTCCATCCTCGCCTTGGCCAACAAGACCATTCGGGCTTTCTGTCAGGCCATGCAGGATCTCCAGCTCGACTGCCCGTTGTACCTGACCCAAAACGACGGCACTCTGACCAGCGCAGCCACCGCAGCCGAGCGGCCCATCCAGACCTTTGCCAGTGGCCCGACCAACAGTCTCACGGGAGCAGCCTTTCTGGCTGGATTAGACCGGCGGGATCGCAGCACCGCCCCGGACACCCAGGTGCTGGTCGTGGATATCGGAGGCACCACGAGCGACGTCTGCGCTCTTCTCCCGTCTGGATTCCCGCGCAAAGCGCCCAATTTCGTCGAGGTGGGCGGAGTGCGCACGGCGTTCCCCATCCCCGAAGTGCTCTCGGTAGGGCTGGGCGGAGGGAGTCGCATCCGGGTGGACTCGACGGAGGACGGGGTCACGGTCGGTCCAGACTCGGTCGGGTACCGTCTAACGAAAGATGCCTTGGTCTTTGGAGGCGACATCATGACCACCACGGACATTGTGGTCGCGTCCGGTAAGGCCGATCTCGGAGATCCGTCAAAAGTGCAGCATATCCCTGCTCCTGTTCTATCTCAAGCACGCGCCGGCATGAAGAGGATCCTTGAGCGTGCTATCGACGACATGAAGGTGTCCGATCAGCCCGTGACCCTGCTACTGGTCGGGGGAGGGTCCATCATCTGCATTGACGCGCTTGACGGCGTAGCCGAATGTATCCTCCCTCCGCATCATGACTCCGCCAACGCGGTTGGAGCGGCCATTGCCAAGGTCTCGGGCGAGGTCGACATCATTGAGATCCTCGAGGGTCGAGATGAACGAGCAGTGGTGGAGGCGGCCAAGCAGCAAGCCCTCCAGGCCGCCATTGCCCGCGGGGCCGATCCAGACGATGTCACCATCGTGGAGGTGGTCAAGATTCCGCTGCAGTATGTCACGAACAAGGCCATCCGGCTTGTCGTCAAGGCTGTTGGCAAGCTTGCCACGCCTGCCGCTGGTACCTCAACCAACAGTCACCCTATATCATGGGTCTCCGCCGAAGTCGATGAGCCGGCGAGCGAGACCCCGGCTGCGACTATGGTGGGCAGCACTCCACCCTCCTTGCTCACCAAACACACGGCCTTTCTGGATCTCGATGCCTATGTCCCCGAAGTAAAAGACAATGTCTGGTATCTGTCGGCCGTTGATCTGGAATTCATCGCGACCGGGACCGGTGTGCTAGGCACTGGGGGTGGCGGGCCGTCGTACCTGCAGTATCTCCAGTGTCTGGACTGGCTGCAAGGAACTGAGGCCAAGGGACGCATGAGGGTGGTATCCCCGGACAGCGCCCACGACACCGATGTATGCGTGTTTGGGTCCTGGTACGGCGCGCCCAGCGTGTCTGGCGAGCGGCTCCCGGCCAAGACGGAGCTCACCACGGCCATTGACCATGCCGTTCGTCTGTCAGGACATTCACACTTTGAAGTGATTATCGCCGACGAGATTGGCGGGGGTAATGGCATGTCGACGTTCCCTACCAGCGCGTACTACGATATCCCGGTCCTAGATGGGGATCTGATGGGACGGGCCTATCCCAGCATGGAGCATGGTAAGCTGCCTGGCCCTTGACGATACGGAGACTGACCATGCTGGTAGGAACGCCTTACGTCTATGGACACCCCATCACACCGTGTGTTACTGCGGATGCTAAAGGCAATGTTAGCGTAGTTTTGGTAGGGCTCCATCTCTTTGGCGAAGAACCGCTGCTCATGCAACCCAGCAAGCCGAGTCCAATCGCCGGGTGGAGGAGCTGCTCCGAAGCCATTGTGTGAACCTGGGGATCTCGACCGCCGTCGCAGCGGTACCACTGACCTGCGATGTTGTCAAGAAATATTGTATCCCCAACACCGTCTCGCAGGCGTGGTACCTGGGTCGGGCTATCCATCGCGCCCGCCGATCCAAAACGGATGTTGTCAAAGCGATTGTGCGTGAGCCTCCTTAATCTCACACCGAACAGATCACTCACCTCCGCTGCTCTAGTTCGAGACGACTCCCGGGAAACTGCTGTACAGTGGCAAGATCATCGACGTGAAGCGAGATGTCAGCCGCGGGTACACGATGGGCCAGTGCACCATCGCTCCACTGTCCATCGAAGAAAAGGAGGATACGGCCAGCAATGGCGCGGCAGAGACGCGTCATCTGGTGATTCCATTTCAGAACGAGTTCCTGTACGCTGCGTATATTGACCCCGTCAATCCCGACGCGTCCAAGCAAGAGGTGATTTGCACCGTGCCCGACCTCATCTCGGTTCTGGGTCCGGATGGCGAGGCGATTGGGTCGCAGGAGCTGCGGTATGGCCTGCGCGTGAATGTTATTGGCATCGCAGCGCATCCGCTGTGGACGGGGGATGAACGTGGCCTGCGGGTTGGAGGGCCCCAGGGCTTTGGCCTGGACATGGAATGGACGAGTCTGGGACCGTACCAGGCGCCGCGGAGTGTGATTGCCGAGTTTACCCAATAGACTAGACCGTAGATTGATAGGCCTTTGGCCCAGGAAATACATATGTGCATATATTGTTCAGTCGAAGCTTGACCCAGCTATTCGGTGATACTTGTGCAACTCCGGACCCGAGCGAATTCAGGCCGGTGGCAACTCCGGATATAACCTCCAATAGGCGTCCAAGCCGTTGCCGAGTACGACCTGATAGGCGCAGGGGCATTCATGACACCGATCATCTGACACTCGGTGTGACCTTGGCTAACTCTATTCCCTGGCTTCGTGGAAGGCTGGCGTGTCGATCCGCTCCCTTGCAGGCCGTGCCACTTGGGGACCCCAGACGACCACCTCCCCAATAAGTATAGAACCCAGACTACTACCCCGTTTCATCTTGGGCAATATTGACATGCTCCCGTGCTAGCAACATGGCCACCACCTTTGCATCCCTACCGATCATTGATGTGTCCTCTCTCCAGGACCAACCCCCACAGGAGCTACCTGAGCTCAGCCAGCGTCTCTACCATGTCTTCACCACGACCGGCTTCGCCTACTTGGTGAATCACCCACTGAGCTTCAACCATGACGAGCTGTTTGCCATGGCGCGGGAGTTCTTCTCGCTGGCACTGGAGGAGAAGATGCAGCTGGGCAAGACGTCGTTTCGGCCGCAGAACAGCAACGCCTACCGGGGGTAAGCCATCCCCATCGACTAGGGATTAGATAGCTGACTCTCTAGATATTTCCCAACCCAGCCCCTTGAGGGTTCCGACAACCTGAAAGAAGGCTTCGAGATTGGTCCTCCATCTACATCCCGCACTTCCACCTCCTCGCACCAAATCAACCTCTCCGAGCCCAACGTCTGGCCTACCCGGTTCCACTCCCGACGAAACCTCGAGCAACTGTACACCGAGCTTCAAGCCCTCGCATCGAAGCTCCTTTCTCTGCTCGCGCTATCACTCGGTCAGCCGGCAGACCTGTTCGATTCCTATCTCGTCGACTCCCTCAGCACCCTGCGTCTCCTTCACTACCCAGTCGTCGAACCCTCCCCTAACTCCGATGTCGACTCCGCTCTTGGCTCGAGCCCCGACTCCATCTCCAACGTGAAACTAAGCTGCAACCCCCACACCGACAGCGGCATCCTTACCCTTCTCCATCAAGATCCCACTGGCGGCCTCGAAGTCCGCGACGCCTCGGGTAACTGGATCCCCGCACCGTATATCCCGGGTTCATTGGTGGTCAATATCGGGGATCTGATGGCCAAAGTTTCCGGGGGGAGGTTTGTAGCGACGATGCATCGGGTGCGGGCACCACAGGGGCACAGTGGTACTGCCGGTGGCTTAGGGCGGATTAGTGTGCCGTTTTTCTTTGAGCCCGGGGAGAGGTGTCTGATTCGGTCGGTGAATGGAGATGGGGATGCGGTGGTGTATGGGGATCATGTGCGGGCCAAGATGCAGACGTGGGTGGAGTATCAAGCTGTTGAGAGTTAACTTTTGTCCCTATACGAGAAATCGTCTTCAGTCTTCAGATTCTGCCAATGCGCGTTTCTAGTATTACCATCCGGTTGTCTAGGTTGATTAAATTATAATCTCTGCTGGGTCGAATGCCTGCGAACTGATGCTTTCCGACTGACCTCCTTCGAAGTGGGTATTTTCGATCATTCACTTCAATCTTGCTAGGCAAGCTGAATCCGAATTGGAATCTCACTCGTCTTGGAAGGCGACCAAATTCAACGACGTAGCCCACAGCCTAGCTTCACTCTCCGGGCCAAGGGAGCCATTCCCAAGTGCAAGCATCTCCGATACATCGACAACACGGTATTGTTTACGACGCGCGCTAGCGCTGAGTAACTCTAGGTTTGCTCCTACTAGGTCTGTTGCTAGCCCGTTCGCTTCTCAATGGTCTAGAAGTTTCACCAACTCAGCTTCTCATTGGCTTTTATTTTTTTTATAGATCACGTGACCTTTGTTCTGCCCTTTCCTTCCGTTGTTTTTTTTCCCTTCTAGCTTACTTTTTAGCCCTGCCTGAGGCCCTACATGAGGTCCCGCGTGTCTCTATATAAGAGTCTATAAGTTAAATAAGTTGTATAACTTGCAGGACTTGCGTACATTATTCATGTAATTTAGAGAAGTTGTCTACTTTAGTAAGAAAATGCGCTTCGGAATGCCTTGAGCTGTGTGCGAGACCGTAGGTCGTGGCCGCAGGCCACGACCTAGTATGTTCTCTACTCCGTATTGTTTTTGCAAAACCACTGGAACGAATTGCAAGCCGGGAGCAGCAGCCTAACCGCACAAGGCCTCCGGCTCGCGACTTTCCGATACTGGTAGGAGCGATCTGGAAGGATGTCGCGGCGCAGCCCGTTTAAATAAACCGGTGCAATTGATCCTGCAAGACTTGGTATCAGGGGATATCTTCGAACATCTCCGGGATAAGGCTACATACATAGCCCTTCTCCCGACTATGCCGAGCAGCTCTGGGGAAGACCGGGGTTAACACGTCTCGTGGCGGTCGAACTGGCGGTGATTGCGGACTTATCTTCCGCCATCGAGGGAGACCCTTCCATGGACGATGCAGTAAGATCCATGGACTGACCCGGGAATCTGGGGGCCTGGGGTGGGATCTCGGGGTTAAGATGCGGTCGGCCCTAACTCCGGGATGATGGCGCGCAGTGCCTGCCATCTGCATCCGTGATTGGTGATGGCAATCGGTCCGGGGCAATGGCGCGAGACATTAATTTATGCCCACGAGCAAGACATCGGGGATAGGCGGAAGGGGACGAAAGGGGAAGTGAAAGACGCATCGAGACAGTGTCTATATATGCATCTAGCACCCCCGCAACATGCCGGTCGTTTAACCAACTCCATCGCAAAATCCACAGCACCATCATGGCCTCCTACCTGGTTACTGGCAGTTCCAGAGGAATCGGCCATGAACTCGTGCGCCAACTGGCCGCACAGCCCGCCTCCGAAGTCAGCACCATCTTTGCAACCTCGCGCTCCGTCAATGCGCCCCTGCAAGAGCTGGCGGGCCAGCATCCGGGGCGCTTCATTCTAGTTCCCATTGACGTGACCGACCGAGACAGTATCAATAAAGCCGTGGAGAGAGTGGAGAGCATCGTAGGTGACAAGGGACTGGATGTGCTTATCAATAATGCCGGCGTCGTGGAATGGGGCTGGCTCAAGGATATGTAAGACCCTCAGGTGTCGACCTCAGTCTTTGGCTAACCCACTAGGTCTGATCTGAACGACACCTTCAACGTCAATGTAACCGGGCCCCATATCATGGTCCAGGCCTTCCTGCCACTCTTGCGCAAGGGCTCCATGAAGAAGATTGTCAACATGTAAATCATCCCAAACCGCGAAGTATCCCTAGGCTGACCCCCTCAGTTCCAGCAGTGTCGGCTCCATCGCCAAGCAGCCCGTCTACCGCCAGGTGCCCGCCCCTTCCTACAAGATCACCAAGGCCGCGTTGAACATGATGACGGTGCTGTACGCGCAGGAACTGGCCGACGAGGGATTTACTGTGTTTTGCGTGAGCCCGGGGGTGAGTACCATCAATATTATTTCGACATGTTCTAATTCATGGCAGTGGTTGAGAACGAACGACGCCAACGCACATGCCGATTTGTCAGTCGGGACTGGAGTCGAGGGAGTCTTGGGCATGGTGCGCAACGCGGGCGTCGAGGTCAATGGCAAGTTCTTGAATATTCATGTCCCGGGCTGGGAGAACAATCCTGGTTTCAATCAGTATGATGGGAAAGAGCTGCCTTGGTAGGAGATGGTTGCCGTCGGTGTATTTAGCAGTGCGAAGCAGGTAGAATAAGTTCTGTTGAATGTACAGATAAAAGTCACTTTCCACAGAAACATCAGACTGGGAAACGAGCAGTGGACATTTGCAAATTGGCTAAGCTTGCCCTTCATTAGGAAAAGCTAAGAGGCGATGGAGATGAAGTATGCCCGGGATCCATCGGTCTCAACTTAGATACCAGTGGTATTACGCCGCGTTTAGCAGCCCCTGAGCTTGTGGGTCCGATGTTACATAGGCTAGCACTGCACATGTCCAGCTCTTGTTTCAGTCGTACACTGCGGGCTGCTGAGCCACATGGTATCTTCCGAAACCATCTGGCACGTGGTCAGTATTAAGAATGATTTAGAATTGCATGAAGCTGGAGCAATAATCACCTGGGCCGAAGCACAGTGCTCCTGTGGAATGGCCGTGCATTCCGAGGGGCCTAAGACGGAGCGCTTCTTCTGTTCAGTGGTCGGTTGGAAAAGATTCAGCAAATCGCTCGCCCCATGGCCGAAGCTCCTCCTGCTGGTTCTCCAGGTGAACAATATGAGAACGGGATAGTCGAAGCGAAGAGTTGATTAAGGGGGGGTGCGAGGACGATGGGAGACATAGAGCGGAAAAACAAAATATGGCTGTGCCACGTCAGCCCGGTGAAAGGGGCATCAATGATACTGTCTTCCCACATCATAATTGATGTGTCATTTAGGGTCTTTTTTAATCAATGCCCTTTGTTTCCCTGGCTATTCCGGCTAGATCCCCCGTCTGTCGAAGCAAGATCGTACTTGTTGACCAACCGTTGTCTGTCCCGCATTAGCCCTAGAATGGACGACCATTCTAGGCTGCCACTATTGGCTGTCAATCGGCCATCCAAGGGGATGGAGGATTATCTACTCCGTACTCCGTATCTCCTATCCATCCCGGTAGAACTTGGCGACGATCTGCCGGTCAGTGCTCCACCTCGTCGGCCTGGCTGGGGAGGCTGCCTCCACCCGGTCGGGTATTTCAGCCGGTTTTCCTTCACCGAACAACTGAAAGGCATCGGAGCCGACCATTTCCACGTCCGTTCTAGAATTTTCTCTCGATGGAGTACGCCGTACACAGTACGGAGTAGAGCATCCGATTCCCGTCGCCTTGGTTGAACGAGTGGACATACGGTGGAGTCGACCTTACCATCACTATTGTCATCATCAGGCCTCCACGTGGAAAATCCCGCACCGCGTTCTGACTACATGTGACATCGAGGCATCAATATAACCGAGGCGGATCTCCGGCCTGTGAATGATGCAGCTTCCCCTCATTCCATCCCGACTACTGCAGCCATTTGGCACTCGATTCCCGGCAGCCATGCTAAGCGAGCGCTTACCGGAACCCTCTTCCACCAGACCAGACATCTCAACCAAATCCCCCAATCACCCCAATCCGCGACCGTGACCGCCTCTCATGGTGGAAACATCCTCAGCCAACAAGTCAGCAACATCCGGGCCATCCGGGCCATCCGAGCAGGACTCCACCGTGCGGTCATCGCACGCGATCTCGCCCCGGATCCCCTCACGCTAAGTCGGCCCTAAACACGAGAACCGTCCACTACGCCGGCCGGGCGGCCCTCTCACTGGTCCATGATGGCGGCCCAACGAGCCGGCGCAGAATCAAGCCCGGGGATAGTGTTGGTCCGCCGGCTTCTCACTGGCGGGTTCGGCCAAAACCTCCAAGCCACGGATCCCGCCATACTGCGCCTTGTTTACGGTGAAGCCAAACCCCGGTAGCCTGCAGCTCATCCCATCCACCCATAACAATATTAAATACACAGCTCATTCCCCAACTGCTTGACTCCGTACCTCCTCCCTCTCTCCCTCCGCACGGCCCCTTTCCCCCCTTCCCGTCACCATGTACATCCCCTCGGTGCTCCTACTGGCCGCCAGCCTGGTCCACGGCGCTGCGGCGCTGCCCACCCCCGACTCGATCCCGATTCCCCCCAGTCAGGATCCCTGGTACACTGCCCCGGAGGGCTTCGAGCACGCTGAACCGGGTGCCATCCTGCGCGTGCGGTCCGCCCCGGGCAACCTCACCACCGTGGTTGGCAACGCGTCTGCCGCCTACAACATCCTCTACCGGACGACGGACAGTCAATACAAGCCCTCCTGGGCCGTGACCACGCTGCTCCTCCCCTCCACCGCCGCCGCCGCCGCCGTCAACCAGAGCGCCCTCCTCTCCTACCAAATCGCCTACGACTCGTTCGACATCAATGCCAGCCCCAGCTACGCCCTCTACTCCAACCCCCCAGCTGACATCGCCATCGCCCTCAACCGCGGCTGGTTCGTCAACGTCCCGGACTACGAAGGCCCTCTCGCCTCTTTCACGGCCGGGGTGCAATCCGGCCACGCAACCCTCGACTCCGTGCGCTCCGTGCTGGCCTCAGGCTTCGGCCTCAACGAGGACGCCCGCTACGCCCTCTGGGGATACTCCGGTGGTTCCATCGCCAGCGAATGGGCCGCCGAACTGCAAGTGCAATACGCACCCGAACTCAACATCAGCGGCATCGCCATCGGCGGCGTCATCCCCAACGTAACCAGCGTGATGGACACCGTCAGCTCGACCCTCAGCGCGGGTCTGATCCCCCCAGCCACCCTCGGCCTCTCCAGCCAACACCCCGAAACCTACAACTACCTCATCAGCCAACTAAAGACGACCGGTCCCTACAACCGCACGGGCTTCCTCGCCGCGAAGGGAATGACCCTCGCGGAAGCGGAGATCGCCTACGCGGAGCAAGACATCTTCAACTACTTCCTCAACGGGTCGGCGACCTTCCAAACCCCGCTCGTGCAAAAGACTCTCGCCCAGGATGGATACATGGGGTATCACGGATTCCCGCAGATGCCGGTATTCGCGTACAAGGCGATTCACGACGAGGTGAGCCCGATTCAGGATACCGATCGGTTGGTGAAGCGGTATTGTGGCGTGGGGGTGAATATTTTGTATGAGCGGAATACGGTGGGGGGGCATTCGGCCGAGCAGGTCAATGGGGATGCGAGGGCGTGGGCTTGGTTGGGGAGTGTGTTGGAGGGGACGTATGCGCAGACGTATAAGACGGTGGGGTGTACCATTCGGAATGTCAGTTGGAATACTACGACGTCGCCGTTGTGAGGGCTCCTGGTGATGGTGAGAGGATGCTGTGGGCGGGATGACGGTGTATGCACCGTCGATGTTAATGTACAGTAATGGACGGGGTGGAGGATGGATGGATGATGGTAATGTATATACATGGTAATCTAACGACTCTCTTTAATCTACCATAACAACTGAATGTGATGAATGTATTTAAATGTGGTCATAAATACTCTATCTACTCTTGAGGATATACTGGATGGATGTTGAATGTAAATCTATAATCTATACTGTATCAACAGGGGGTCAACTAGAACAGAGAAGAATCCGCCTTGATCAGATCGGCCGTGCGCTCGGCCGCCGCATACAAGGTGCTGACCAGGTGGCCGCACACCTGGAAGGGCAGCACCGACGCATCCACCACGCGCACGTTGCTGGTGCCGTACACCAGGTTCTTGTGGTTCACCACACCACCCTTCTCTTGGGGCATCATGATGGCAGTTCCAACAGGGTGGAAGTTCGAGCGGTCTGCAGAGTTTGTTAGCAGCTAGTAGGTATCAATCAGGAACAGAATCAGCCAACGTACACTGCGTGAAGAGCCACTCGGTCCACTCCTCCTCCGAGGCATCCGCCGGCACCTCCGAGAACCCAGGGGTGGTCTCCTCCGTCACAATGCTGGACAGAGGCGCCGACTGGAACGTCTTGCGGATGTACTTGGACACCTCGATCTGGCTGTCCAGATCCCAGTCGAACTTGTAGTAGTTGGGGTTGATGGTGGGGTAGACGGTCGGGTCGGCCGAGCTGATGTGGATGTTACCACGGGCAAAGGGCAACAGGGCCCAGTACTGGGCGCTCAGGCTGTCGGTGCCACCGGGGTAGTACAGGATCTCGGCGATCGGGATCTGGCTCTTGAAGATCAGGTCGTACTGCTGCTGGAACAGGGCCTCCAACACCTGGGCCGACATGGTGCCGCCGCTCACCTCGGCCGTCTCCTTGGCCCACTGCTTCAGTTGCTTGCGGACCGAGGCAGCCACGGTGGACGTCTCGTTGCCGTAGACGTCAGTAACGTTGGGGTAGATCACCACCTTGGGACCCGTGAGACCGGGGGTCGTGGCAGCGTACATGCCCGTGTTGGTCTGGTCCTGGAGGTTCTCGCCAACGGTGGGGAGATCGACCTTGACGGTGATGTTGTATTTGTCGAGGATGGCAGGGTTGCCGATACCGGACAGTTCCAGGATGGCGGGGGACTTGAGGGCACCAGCCGAGACGATGACCTCCTCGCTGGCGCCGATCACGCTAACGGTGCCGTTGGCGGAGGTGATCTCCACACCAGCCGCAGTGATGTTGCCGGCGGACTCGTCACGCCACACGAGGCGGTTGACAAAGGTGTCGAGCAGCACGTGGAGGTTGGGACGGGATTGGATGGGCCAGTAGTAGGCACGGGCGGCATCCTCACGCACGTACGCGGTGTAGTTGATGGTGGAGGGGAAGAGGTTGAGACCACGCATCTTGCCACCGTTGATATCCTCGGAATATGGGACGCCGAGTCCCTGGAAGGTCTCGTTCAGCAGGCTGGTGAGGTTGTTGGCCGGGATGTCGGGCCAGCCCACGGACAGCGGTCCGTCCTCGCCGTTGACTTCGGCGTCGTAGGTAACACCGGCCGCGCGCTGGCTGGCAGTGGGGTAGGTCAGGTTCTCGCTCTTCAGGTAGTAGGGGAGCAGGCTGTCCCAGGACCATCCCTCGTTACCGATGGCCTCCCAGGCATCGATCTGGGCGTCCTCGGCGCGGGTGTACGCCATTCCTAGCAGACATTAGTGGCCGATGGATTGATACACACCTTCACAGACATACCGTTGATGGCACTGGTTCCCGCAAGAGCCTTGCCGGCGCGCAGCGTCTGGACCAGGTCGCCGGCATAGGGCTGGCTGACGGTCTCATACTGCCAGTCGATGTCGGTGCCAAAGGCCAGTCCGTAACCATCCACATCGGTGACGTTGTAGTTGTTGAGGACGGAGCCACCGGCCTCGATGATGAGAACCGACACATCAGGGTTTTCCGAGAGACGGTTGGCGATGACGAGACCACTGGTACCTCCGCCCACGACGATATAATCGTAGGTGGGGGCTGCCAGGGCCGTCGACAGGGCGCCGAGGAGGGTCAAGCTGCGAATCATCGTGGTGGCTGCGCTCGCTCCGTGATGTCTGCCTGGCATCAACATTCGAGGGGCTCCCTTGGCCCTTTATATGTCCCTCGACAGTGGACTCCATACTCGTACTGTTGAGCGAATTCCCACCCCTTGAAGTCTGCCTAATCGCTTGATCATCTTCCGTCAGCGAATCGGTGTCCACTGGACTCTGGCCGGCCGTACCGGTGACCTCGTCGAAATCTCTGGATATTGGCAGTGATCCTGGACCCAATTAAGCTTGCCGTGCCGTGGTCGGACAGGATCCACCTGAGCACATCGGCATGCCGATGATGCATCGGCCTGAGACAGCCCAAGCCACTAAGGTCGTCTAGCCGCGAAACTTCTTGGTGCCGCGCCTGCCTAGTGTTAGGACCTGCGGAAGTATGCGTGTCCAATATAGCAGCCTATGCGGATACGAGGTTGGCAGCCAGGAAGGGATAATCGTGGCAGATGCTTGCTACTCTTCACTAATTATGACTTCCCTGAGCTGCAATTGAGTCCGGGTGAACGTCGGCCTGGGACCCCTGACAAGACCCTGAATGGGTCAGGGCCGATCGTGTGGCTCGAACTAAACGGGTCTTCCCGTGTGAATCCGCAAAATTTGCTCAAGAGGGGTTTCACGGTTTCACCCCATCACTTTGAGCACCACTCGGACGGTCTTGATGAATCCATCCGCCTGACTAAACGTTTGTCATCGGCCTGCTGGGTCCACCCATTGACGTGATCAAATCCATTCCCCTGCGCAAATCAGATCGTGCACGCAAAGTGGGACTATTTTGAGTGATTGCTCAGCGCAACTTCAAACTTCGGACTTCGGAGGATCGTATAGCCTAGCGTTGCTTGGCCGGTGGCGGTGGGACGGCCGGGCCAATCTACTATCAATCTGGTTATCTCGGTGAGCAATTCATCTCTTCTGGCACGATTAGTGAGAGTTTTATAAGCGACTTTAATTTCCCATCTCTTCATCTAGCAGAGACGTTGGCCTAGGGGCCGCCGGCAATGGCGCTATTGAAATCAGATAGCGTCAGATAACAAAGGCCCGCCGTTCGGAAAACCCTGATGCCGCAGGAAATTGTCCATATTGCGCAAATGGTGGGCCGTCGACCCAAGGATGTGAGGAAGTTAGTGCGGTGACCTTGTGGGATCCTTGACAGTATCGTTCGACGAGCATCCCAAGATGGAATCCTACAGACCCCCCTGTCATTAAGACGCTCAAATTTCGCTCGTCATCAAGTGCTTGGAACCTTCGGAGCATATAGTTGAGCGGCATTCCGTCACAAAGTCTCCACCAAGTAAGGGGCAATTTTGCTGTCAAAGACCCATCCGGTGAGATCCGTATGCGTTTGGCATCCGCCAGGATCAGACATGAAGAAATCCCTCCGGTGTTGCCTCTCGCGCTAGGCCTCGCCATGACACGCCTGATAACGGCGATGATGCGCCTGATAAGATGACCTGAGTTCCCCTGAGACGGTGCGAGTTAGCTCCACACTAGCTCGGATCGGGCATGGTGACATGCAGCCATCCCATCCAGCTCAGGTGACTGTCAAGGTGCCTGGTCAGGTCATGTGCAGCCTTGCGGCCTCTGCCTTCCCTCACGCCCTGCACGCGTCGTGGCTTGATGTATCAACAATCGCCTCGAATTAGACATCTTGACAATCGAAATTGCTGTATCCTCACCATGGCCATCCCGGAATATGCCCACCTGCCCACATTCGACATCACCCCCGCAGCTCTTCTAGGCTACGCCCACCGGCTGGTCGAGAAGGTTCGAGTGGAGGTTGATAAGCTAGTCGACTCCGTCTGCGTAGGGAGCGCCACCTTTGACAGTGTAGTACATCCTTTAGCAGATCTGGATAATGAATTCAAGTACGACGTTCAGTACATCGCACTATTTCAGTCTGTCGCCCCGTCGCCTGATCTTCGCAAAGCATCGTCAGAAGCAGTGAACCTGGTGAATCAGGCGTACCTGGCTCTGTTTCAAGATGAACCTCTCTTTGCTCTCGTCGACGCCGCGTATGGCAGAACCAATGATATCCCGGATGAAGAATCCACCCGGCTCTTGGCCCGGTTTCATCGCATGTTCGTGGATAACGGCCTCCAGCTGGTCGGGGCGAGCCGTGAGCGGTTCAAGTGGATCGCGAAGCGACGGCTTGAACTGCGAAATCAATTCATGGATAATATTGCCAGTGATCCTGGTAGCTTGTGGATTCCTACGGAGGCGCTGGAAGGACTGGATGATCATATGGTCAAGAACCTCGATGGTGATCAGCTTAAGCGCATTCGTCTCGACCGGCCGACAGTCAATGCCGTCTTGGGAAAATGCAGTGTGGCGCAAACCCGGCGAGATGTGTTTCTGAGCAGCCAGTCCATTTACCCAGACAATGTCGATTTGTTCCAGGAGACCATTCGTCTGCGAGATGAAGCAGCCCCCCTACTAGGGTTTCCGTCGTTCGCTGCGCAGCAGCTGCGACATCAGCTGGTCAAGTCCCCTAGTGCGGTCCATGACCTCCTCGAGAACCTTGCACACAAACTGCAGCCGATCGCGTCCCGGGAGCTGCAGGCGCTGCGGAGCTTGAGTGGCTCGGATTTGCATCTCTGGGACTTTGAATACTATCACCGCCGCCTGCTGCAAGAAAAGTACCAAGTCAACCACGATCTCATCTCGGAGTACTTTCCTGCGGAATACACGATTCAGCGAATGCTCAGCACGTTCGAGAGATTATTCGGTCTGTCCATCACTGAGGTTGAAGAAAAGTCCGACCGACACGTATGGCATCCGGAGGTGAGAGTGTTCACGGTCCGCGACCAGGACTCTTCCCTCCTGGGCTATCTCTATACCGACATCTACCCTCGGCCCGGCAAGTACAACCACGCGGCCAACTTCAACATCCACCCAGTACGTCGATCAAGATCGCAGAGCATTTTCGCTGTTCCCTAATCTTATGTCACAGGGATTCCGCAAGAAAGATGGGTCGCAATCGCCAGTCGCCACGGCCCTCGTGTGCAACGTATCGCCCGCTACGGCCGACCTTCCTGCACTTTTGCAGCACAGAGAAGTGATCACCCTCTTCCACGAGCTAGGTCACGGTCAGTCGCATCAACCGGCTCTATATCGCTAACTAACCAGGTTTGCAGGAATCCATGATCTTCTAGGCAAAGCCAAGTACGCTATATTCTCCGGCCATCGAACCGTGCGAGACTTTGTGGAGGCGCCGAGTCAGCTGCTCGAGTATTGGTGCTGGGTGCCAGAGTGCTTGCAGCAACTCAGCTGCCATTACTCTCACCTACCCGAGTACAGTGAGCGATGGTCGGATGCTGCAAAGGGTGCAAGGCCACCCAAGGAGATACCGGAGAGCCTCGTCCAGGGGCTCGCCGCCGTGAAGCAAGTCAATCAGGGGATCCTAACATTGAGACAGGTCGCGTTCAGCAAATTCGATATGCAGATCCATGACCACTGTGCCAGTTCCACCTCGACGCCCATTGCGGAAGTCTACAACTCCCTGCTTCAAGAGATGACCCTCCTTCAGGGCCCGGGAGGATGGGATTGGGGCCATGGATATGCCACCACTTCCCATTATATGTGGGGACAAGAAGCCAACTACTACTCCTACCTGTAGTAAGTTGGCTGCCTTGAGCACACGAGGCTCCTTCTAACCTGGGACAGCACGCGCACCCTGGCGGCGGATATCTGGGCGTTCAACTTCCGCAACGACCCCATGAGCGAAGAAGCTGGACTCCGCTATCGACGGATGATCCTGGCAAAAGGCGGCAGTGTAGACGAGTTCGAGCTTCTCCGGGAATTCTTGGGACGGGTTCCCTCAGCGGAGGCATATTTGCAAGATCTAGGTGTAGACCCGGCGTAGTAGGCGCGGACCTGCGGGTGGTTATCTGATTTATTCAGCCGTTGTAAGCTGAGCCACGTCATTGCCTGGCGGACTCTTTTGGCCTCTGAAGAGGAATTTCTCCGTGATGGGGGGCCAAATACGAGGCTGACCACACGGCCACCAAAGTCTCCGCGGTTGGACGGAGACTTTGCGGGAGGCTGCCGCGCGACAAATGTATAAAGCGCGGCAGTCGGGCGGTCCAACTGGGATAGCAACACGGCATTTCCACCATCATCCAGACCTGGTTTTTTTTTATCTGTTTCTCTCTCGATACTCAATTTAATTCCGACATGGTGGACAAGCAACAACTCACGGTGGCATTCTTCGGGGCGACGGGCGGGTGTGTGAAAGCATGCCTCGTGCTGGCCCTCCAGGCGGGCTACCACTGCACCGCGTGTATGTTTTTTTTTCGGTCCGTGCCTTATCAGGCCTAGTACTATTGACTGACACGAATGGATCCCAGTGGCTCGCACGCCTTCCAAACTCCAGGACCTACTCCTAAAGAACAAGGTCTCCGAGTCCACCATCGTCAACTACCTCACCATCACGGAGGGCAATGTCACCGACCTCAACGCCGTCCAGCAGACCCTAAACGCCAATGGCCGCCCCGTGGACCTGATCATCTCCGGCATTGGGGGCAAGCCGCGCTTCGACCGGGGCTTCAAACCCACTCTCGACAATCCGACCGTCTGCCAGGATGCAACCCGGACCATCCTGGCCGCCGCCCAGTCGTGTCCCCGCAAGCCCCGGCTCGTGGTCATCAGCACCACCGGCCTGAGCAACAAGCGCGACGTGCCCGTGATGATGATGCCATTGTACCACTGGCTGCTGAAGGTGCCCCACGAGGATAAGCAGGTGATGGAGAATCAGATTGTGGCTGAAGTGCAGAAGCCGGTGGCCGAGCGGGCGATTGACAACTATCTGATCATCCGGCCCTCCTTCTTGGTGGACGGCGACGGCGACGGTCTCGCCAAGCTCAAGATCGGCAGCGACACGAAACCAGCCATCGGCTATGCCATCTGTCGCTGTGACGTGGGTCTGTGGATCTTTGAGCATGCGATTCGGAAGGCGTGGGAATCGGACAGTCCTTATTGGGGGCAGATGGTGAGTCTCACGGCCTGAACCGATGGGCCAGATCCGGTGTTGTAGGGTTGGAAAGTGCGGATTGTTATTACCGCTCGAGCGTTTGTGTCCTATAGCATGGATTTATGGTATTCGTTGATTAACCTCCTTTCGCCCCGTAGTCAAGTAAAAGGTCCGCTGGGGTCCGTTTGTGCGTCCGTGTCCCATGTCCACTCGCAGAGCCCGTACACGAGGATGCAATCCAGCTGGGAGCCGTTCTGTGAATTTATCATTTGCGATGCGATCGGGTTCGTCACGTAGTTGGCCGGTGAAGGTTTCCAGGCTACCGCGGCGAACGGGAAGGGATCGGAAAGCACGGTTCGGACGGGGACGGATATTATGATTGCGGGCATTGCTTTTCAGGCCGCGACGATGGCGGTTTGTGGGGTTCTGGCTATTGACTTTACGAGGAAGCTTTCGTAGCCTGCCAGACCGTGGCTTTTGTGGCCATCTTGATTCGCTGTATATACCGGTGCGTCTCTCGGCGCCTTGGCCGTCACTAACTCCAGTCCAACACCGATCAGACTCCCTCAAATGGCAGGCGGATGAGGAAACCCGATGATGCAAGACGAGGTCCAGTTCATGGTTCTTGACGGGACGTAAGTCGCTCCAACAAGTAAGGCTTCTTTTTTTTATGCTTTGGTCTAACTCGGGGATTCCAGTATGGTGGCTATCGGTGCAATCCTCATGACTGTTGCGTTTCCCGATGCATTTTCCCCTTCTAGTACTAGCAATCGTGCTGTGCGCTGTCAACACCAGAAGATCGGCAGCCAGGTTGTAGAAGATGAGCTGCAGTTGACAGAGGATAGCAATCACGGAGTTCATTAGGTGTTGTGAGCTACAGCTCAGGGGGTTAAAGATGTTGGTTATATTCACTATCTAGACTACAGTTGCAAAGAAGAAGAAGAATACCTTAATAATAATGTTTAATATAATTAAAATATATAATCCTTACTTACTAGCCAACCAGGCACCTTAACATTAGGTGAAAGACTTAGAATAGATATAGGGTACGTTGAGCACACAGGCAACCCATATCAATCTAAGATCAAGTCTACCAAAAAAAGAAAAAATCTTTTCAACTCATCCATATTACCAGTTGTTCGAACATTGAGTCTGAGTCCTAATCGTCGGGGGGATTGTGACATTGACCAATGGGTGGCGCCTCGTCGCGAGGCACCCAGAATGCCCGGGCCGATCATTGGCCGGCTGTATCACGTGCTGGGCAGGTTATGGAACCGCGCTATTCCCGGATGGGGAACACATCAACATCTGGACTCGTCGAAAAGCAACAGGGTACACGATCAATTATTCTGTTTCCAGTACGAAGGGATATTCTTCTTGAGAGCTGCTGTAAGATTAGATGTCTACGTCATATTCCCATCTTGAGAGCACAGGCGCCACGCGGGAGAGATAGATCCAGGTGTCGGGGCATCTTGGTCGAGGAACTGATGTAAACAGTGGCTTGCCCGAGCCCTGCTTGGCGGCTGGCATGGGATCACAATCCTTTCATCCTTGGGGCAGTGCTAAGCTAGGAGAAGGCGAGTACCAGACCTGTTCCTTTCTTGGATATCAGCATTAAGCGTTTTGGAATGAGAGCTATTTATCGAGGCGAGGCTCAAGGTGCGAACACTGGAATGACATGTTGGGTGTGCCTTGCCACCAGTTGGTAGTGATGATTGTTGAATAAGGTCAGGCTGATTCCTGAGGTTATTCAGCTAGGTCGAGTCTGCCCCGTGGGATGATCAGCTGCCTCTGAAGCGTCGTTCATTCTTCTCACCACTCAGCAGGTCGGAGCCATCTTCCTAACGAGGCCTAAGAACATCCATCTGATATACGACGCACTGGTTCTCAAATCCGAAAGTGGATCCTTCCTCAGCGCGTCTCCCATATACGATATCGGGATGAAGGGATGCCAGACATGACCGACGATCCGGTTGCCGATAGAGAAGTATCACAACCCGTCCCATAGTAAATGCCGCTGAAGAAGAACCAAGGCTAGGGGCCATAACTGAAGCCTCATTGGGGGCTACCCTATGGAGACCAGTTAAGCTTCGAGATTCACGGCAGATGCTCATTTACACGAGGGTCGCAGCTTGCTCGATACCGCACAGCCGACTCGTGGTATGGAATGTGAGCCAACCAAACAGGATATGCCCCGTACCGACGCTTATATCGCACTACTAACTAGCGCTCAGTGTTGATCGTAGCCCTGAGCAGTAACTTCAGGCACCCCTGGTGGAAGATATCTGAGCCATAAGCAGAGCCGCTATGGTCACAGGGATTGACAACAGCGAGGTGCAATCATCCTGCGTCACCAAAACTGTGGAAGCAAGGGATGAGGTCTATAGCTGATAATTATTGAGGAATGTAAGTCAACTACTGCAGTTCCTTGATCTGTCTGCCCATGGCAATGTGAGGTCAAGATATAAACACCGCGCCATGTACTTGCCTGGAAGATACTCTGGCGAAGGAGATCCCCCCCGATTTGAAATTTCTCTACATCTAGCGCACCATCAACTCCAACATGAAGACTTATAGCCTCTTGGGCACAGTTGCCATCATTGGCTCATTCCCCTTCGCGTCGACGAAGACCCTCAACTTTGTCGCACATCAGGATGACGATCTGCTCTTCCTCAGTCCGGACCTGATCCGCGACATTCTTTCTGGCGAACCCATTCGCACCGTGTATCTGACCGCCGGCGACGCTGGTCTGGGATCGGACTACTGGCTGGGCCGCGAGCACGGCTCCCAGGCCGCCTATGCGCGCATGTCCGTCGCGAGCAACAACTGGATTCAATCCGACGCCGGCATCGATGGAAAGGCCATCACCCTCTATACCCTGCAAGATGACAATGACATCTCCCTGGCCTTTATGCACTTGCCCGACGGTAATTTGGACGGAACCGGCTTCGCAGCCGACGAGAATGACAGTCTGCAGAAGCTCTGGGATGGGTCAATTGATGAGATCCGGACGATTGATGGATCGGGGACTACATACACCCGAGATGAGCTGCTGCAAACCATTGCTGCCCTGATCGATGATTTCGAGCCCGACGAGGTCAAGACGGGTGACTATGTGAACGACTTTGGCGACGGCGACCACAGTGACCACTACGCCACCGGTTATTTCGTCGACAATGCCCTGCAAGCGTCCAACAGCAATGCCGGTCTAACTGGATACTACGGATATCCGATCCAGGACATGGATGTGAACCTGAACGACTCGGACATTGAAGACAAGACGAACATCTTCTACGAGTATGCCGCCTATGATACCGCCACCTGCAGCACTGCGGATAGCTGCTCGAGTCGGCCCGAATCCGCCTGGTTGCTGCGTGAGTACCAAGTTTAAGGCCAAGATGGACTGCCACCCCCAGCTACGATCACACGTTATGTCTTCTTCTTTCTCATCCTTATTGACGTTATTTTGTACTTTAACTTCACGACCTCTGGGATGTTGTATGACAGCCTGCTGTGTGTATTTAGAAATTGCATATCAAATTCTACGGACCCTAGGATAAACCTTTCACATACTTACTAGCCCTTGGGCCTGTAGTGAATATGCTCCGGCAAAGAAAGCATCCTGGTTTGTTTACAGACGATCACTTCTCAATTAGCTCAAAAGTACGAGTCAGTAGTCATGATCCGTGACAGGGGATACATTCCGGCCCGGGATTGAGGAATGCTCCCCCTTTCCATTGAAGAGCCACACATACCAACGGGAGATCATTTCCCCCTTTTCTAATATACTTAGTTTATTTATTATCTTTGTACTAATCTTGGGCATAAGCTTTCGTGCATGGCCCGGGTACCTTTTTGCTGGCATTTCGCGGCGAACCCGAGAGGCCGTACGAAGGATCATGTCTCCGGCCATTCCCATCGCTCAAAGTGAGATGAAGGTTCTTATTGAAGTTTGATCAATAAATCCGTAGCTTTTCATGAATAATGAGCCGGGATGATTTATTCAAGGTGGCTGCGACTCTATACTGCCTGGCCCCTTCGTGTTTCAGAGAATGAGTAATTCATTCAATGAGCCCTCGTTCTCTGTAATAGGTTAATAACTGGTTTTAACTCGACTTCCATGGAAGACATCAACACAGGGCGGACTCTTGGAGATAATCGAGGCGCACAGCGAATAGAGCACCTGGGAACCGCATCAATTAAATCTGGATGGCAATCAATACGTTGCCCTTTGTAGAGGCTTTCTGAAGGTATGTTATTCAATAAATGCGACTTAAGATAAAGAAAGCTGAGGGCCCAAAATGATGATCTAGACCTGCCAGTTGCCTTCCCATTCCAGGAAGAAGGAAGATATAGCGACTGAATATGATTGGTTAATGGAGACGGTGGCGTATGACGTTTGTTCCTCATGGTGGTCCAAGTCGATTCATTTCCTGCGTTCAATTAAACTCATGGTCTGCAATAGCGCAATCAAGGGCTTCGCGCAGTCTCCAGACGCCACAACCCGTCCAACAGGGTCTGTGATCGGCCTCATCCTCATCGCCTCAGACTTCACCCTGACCGGACTTGCCTTTATGGATCCGTTCTTCGGCCATCCTCCTCCGTTCTGGCGAGTTAATAGCACCACCGGCTATGCCGAACTGGTCACGCCGCCCCGGGAGCTGTTCTATCTCGACCTGCCCGCGGAAGAGGCCGAGTACTGGGTGTCTCAGCTCACGACCCAGAGCCTCAAAGCCTTGTTCGAAGGCGGCGAACACACATATGCCGGCTGGCAAGATGTGCCGGTCTGGTATATCGGCACCGTTGAGGATCGGGGATTACCGGTGCTGGCGCAGCGGATGCAGGTCGGGATGGCCAGGGAAATGGGGGGTCGCGTGGAGCACCGGGAGCTGCAGACGAGCCATTCCCCATTTCTGAGCCAGCCTGAGGCAACCGTCAAGATTATGCTCGAGGCGATTGAGGCGTTTACTGAGCAGGCAGCAGGAAGCACGTCTGCCATGGTTGGACGTGGCGATATAGCAGTGCCGAGGACCATGCTCTGGCAGCCGTTGACGTGGTTTAGATTTGGGCTACCAATGGCCTTTGGTCGTGTTATTGGGAGGGGTATTCTCCTGTTTGGTTGGGGGAGGCGATTGTGGAGGTCGACGTTTGGTTAGAGTGATATTCGAGGCCCGTAGCAGGACTGTGGATACGCTGATATGTCGCTATAATAAGTGTGTATATTTGAGGTTCCCTTCTCCACTCAATTGGATGCAATCTTAATTCTTTGAGTGGGTGCCGATACACTCGGATCGTCGATTCTGGCTGAAATCAAGATCGTGACTTTACCAAGCTTCAGTATGGCGCTTCAATACAGGAACATCCTTGCAATATTCAACAGCACAACCTGGGCTGCTACACGCATTTCCTGCGGTCTCCTCTGCCACTTCTCCCTCTGCCACCTGCCTCAATCATGCCCCCCAAAAGACGCCAAAGCGGGGCCACAAACACTCGGCTCTCCTCGGCGAAGACAGGTTCTCGGAAGCTCACCTTGTCCTGTTCGCGATGTAGAGCTTCTAAACTCCAAGTGTGACCGCAAGGAGCCATGTGTACGTGTGGTCCGTGATCATCAAACCATCCAGCTAACCCCCATCAGATGGCGTGTCTCAAGCGCGACATCGGCCATCTTTGTACCAAGGATGAGCGTCAGCCCAGAGCAAAACGGACCAAAGTGGCTCCTAGCAACGACGGCAGTGAATCACAACCACAAAATACCCAGCCTCATGCGAACCGCACCTCATCGCAGCCGAAAGATTCGGAGGCCAAAGAGGCAATGCATATTCTGGAAAAATACATCGACGATTCCCCCGTCGAGCGAACATCATGCTTGGTCGCGCCTGATCATCCCAACCTCTACTGGTCTACCCAACCACAAGCGTATCAGGCTGGCTTGTTCCGCGAAATCATCAACTCCCTGCCAGAGATTGATATCATCCACTTGCTCCACGAAGTATTCCTTATCCGTTGTCAAGGGCCTCTGGGAAATGTGATCCATACCCCGACCTTTGCAAGACAGTTGGAAATCTTCCGTGACTGCCTCCGTACTCCGCCGGGGGAATTTAGACTCATGGAGCTAATCGACAACATATCCATGGAAACAAATGCCCTGTCACCTTATGGCGGTGTGTATAGTTTTCTTCCACCCATCAGCAGATACTGACTTGGACAGCTCGTACTAGGCCTCGCCTTTCATCCGGCGCCTACTGTACTTGGCGGGTAATCGACCCCTCTTGCCCTTCAGGTGGAGCAGCTCCAAGGGTCTGATGTGCACGCTAAGACGTGGCGATCGCTTGCCCTGCGTTGCCTTCAAGGGTCTATGTCGCTGTTTGTTGGGTCGATTGCCAGCCTACAGGCGGCCGTCATGCTGTTGCTCGACGGGCAAGAGGATCCCGCTGCGTTGGATGTGATTCTGGTCAGTGCAATATCGGGAGCACGGAGACTCGGGCTACACTTTCTTGGGGAGGCGAAGCTGGCGGTTCCTCAGGGGGCTGGCTCAAAATTTGCAATGGAATCACACATCCGAACGGAGATTGGGATCCGCATATGGTGAGCCTGCACAACCATTTCCCTGCTTTTCTAACTCGTCAAGGTGGGCACTCGTCATGCGGGACTGGTCCCGCGGACAGGCATTGGGTTACTATAGCATCCATCTTACGCAGTTCAACACGCGGATGCCACTGCACATCAATGATGGCGATCTCCGTCTGCGGACCAAGCAAGTCGATACCGACGGTAATATCTCCGGGCGACCTCGTTCCGAGTTTACGATGCTTTCCTACACGGTGTGCGCGCTGGAGCTTGCCGTTCTTGTGCGCGAATCCCTCGATATTCGTGGCCCGGTTCAACAGCCACGAAATCGAGGCCAAGAAGCCAAGATGCGTCAGCATCTCAACCAACGATATGAAGAACTGGTAGCAGGACTGCTAGATCACTCCCGACCGGGGGGCAACATTGGCCTGAATGCCACCGGGCCCCTGGCAGCAATCCCGCTACAACGATGGATGCTACATCAACAGCTCCGGGGCCTATCTCTGCGACTACATCGAGGAAGCTTATCACCCCAGGGCGGTCGCATGTCGTGCCAACTGCTGGCGCAGAATATCATCGGCACTTATGCGCAGATCAAATCCCGCTGTACGGTGTGTCGTTCTCTGATCACCGGGAAAGCCCAGGTTTTCAATGCGGCCGCCGTGCTGGTCCTGGGATTGATGGTATCGCCGAGTCGCGAGGATTGTACGGGCTCTCAGTTAGCTCGAATGATGTCGCGGGACAAGGCTCGAGAAGCGATTGAGCTGCTACGGACGCAAAGCAAGGACAGCAAGGCCTCGACGCACATGGCCCGGGAAAAGGCTGCCCGGAGATGTATCCACGCGCTGGAAGCCTTGATGCAGCTGGAGGAGATCTCTGGGCCGGCGGCAGATGCAGATACGAATGGTCCGGATGGATCTCTCAAAATCAAGGTGATGGATGCTTTACAGGCACTTTCAAGCACGGATGCCGACATGGAACACACAAACAGCGAGTCAGTTGCCATCATGCCGTACCCAGTGGCGAGCGTAAAATTGTATGAACCCGACGTTCTCCCGGGCCCTTCTAATGATCCCAGCGGTAACTTCTGGGGGTTCCTCGATTGTGATCTCTTTCCTGAGCTACCTGGGAGGGATGCCTTGCCTCTGGCTCCCCCGCAGTAGGACTACCGCGGGTGGCCTTTTTCGCCGCCTTTGAGTCCGGAGGAGTTGAAGGCTGCCGAGATGGAATATTGGAGCCTTTAACATACTAGATTTCTCCTTGTTTTTTATGATTAATTGCATCGCGATTCCATCTACTTGCTCCAGCGTTACAAGCGTTACTCTGTCCCCTCCAGACAACCTTGGGTATCTAGACAATAATGCGAATGAATCTGTGCTAGAAGCACCACTATGATCAGCTGCCTTGACACACTAAGATCCTCTCACATCTATGGTGGTGCCCTGTGGATCGGACTCCGCCGAAAGTCCGGAGGACGACATCTCCGAGAGCTGAAGAATACCACTTTTACTCCCGTCATCCAACATACATCCACCCCATCAAATACAAATCTCCTACTTCCATTCCACATCCACTAGTCCATCCCCATCAACCCAACCCCATCTCAATCTAAGATGACTATGCGCACCCATGTCACCCCTACACCCTCCCCTCCCAATCCCAACTCCCCAAACAAACAACTTTCCAACCTACCTACGTTATGAGTAAGTTCCGGCCCCAATCCGTCAAAATCACCATATTACTCGAATATCTCCATTTAGAATACACCATCGCCCTCCGTTTCGGGACGGCCAAAGCACCGTCAAGATGTAAAATATACCATCAAGATCAGCCCCAATTGGTGTGCTCCCGCCCTCGTCGATCATAAGAATCATGACTTCATGGTGTTTGAAATGGCATGATTTTGTGTATCTAGTGGAGGTAGTGATGTTCGGGTTGTACAATCAAGTACCGTTATTGTATTTCAACTGATTTGACTGTCATGATTGGCAGTCTGAAATTTCTGCCTGAGTCTCAACCTCAGATAGATTTACAGAAATACCAGAGGTACCTTCATCCAGTACTACCCACTCTACCCAGCACCATAACCACCTAGCATCGAGCATCTATCCCATCAAGCCGTAACCACCCTCCAACTCTCCCGTCCCTTCAACCCCTCCCACCACGCCCGCACACGGGGAAACTTCCCCACCACCTCCGCAAACCCAAACGGCTCAATAAACACGCCATACGGCAAATGCGCCAAATCCGCCAAGGTAACCGCTTCCCCTGCCAGATACGGCTGCTTGGACAATACCCGCTCGTAACCCTCGAGAGTGAGTTCCAGCTGCGCGAAAAGGGCCTGGACGCGGGCTTCATCGGTGGGACCGTGGCCTTTCCGTTCTTTGAACACCTTCTCGTAGGCGATGCCCGAGACAAGCGGGTCGAAGTAGGATTGTTCGATGGAGAGGGCCTGTCATTCGTGTTATCTTCCATTCTCTGTTTCCAATAAAGGGAGGGGGGGGGGATCTACCTGCTGGTAATAGGCAAACGCCTTCAGATCCGTCTCCGGGGGGGCTAGCTCCGTGCCTTGCCCGCGGTACTTAGTGGCGATGTATTGGGCGATGGCGCGACTTTCTATCCGCGATTAGATTGTCTCACTGTAGTGGAGGGTATGGAGTACCGTAGATCTGGATGCCCGTCTCAGTATCCTGTAGTACCGGCACCTTGCCAAAGGGCTGCAGGTCATTGAGATACGAGGTGGCCTTTTGCGCGTTCTTGGTCAGGTCGATGGGGATGAATTCCGCGTCGAGACCCTTCTCGGCTAGGGCGATGCGCACGCGACGGGTGCAGGTTGAGAAGGGGAATCCGTAGAGCTTGAGGACCATGTTGATGGATTTGTATGAATATTTTCGATAATACTCGGAGAATGATTGAGATGGAAAGAAATGTGTTCGATGCGACCGAGGAAAGAGCATAAATGAGGGGGTTTGCACGCCATCGGAGCCGCCCCGCCGCGCGGAATTATTTCCGCAGAGACGCCTATAAACCAAGGAATGTATGGATGTGATTACAGATCAAGTGGATTCATATCTACGAGGTCGGAAGGTGGCCCACAGGGCCGGCAGAGCCAGCACGAAGTTGTCCATCTCTTTGCCGTCAAACGCCCGCTGCGTCTCATCCGCCAGGCGGATGTCGTACTCCAGCACCATCATCGATAACGCCATCCGCATCTCCATCCACGCAATCCCTTTGCCCACACAGTCAAACACCCCTGGGCCGGATTGGTTAGTATGTTGTGGAGCCCGCATCGGCAGAACTCACCTCGAGAAAACGGAATAAACGGCACATTGGCACTGTTCCCGATCGCCTCCCAGCGCTCCGGGATGAACTGGTCGGCCTGGTCGAAATACCGCTCGTCGCGGTGGATCGCAAAGGTGGGCACCGACACCACCACATCGCCGGGAATGTGGAGGTCGTCCACCTGCAGCCCTTGCGGCGGGGTGACGCGCGCGAGACCATCCGGCACCGAGGGTTTCAACCGGAGCGTCTCGTTGAGCACATAGGTCAGGTACTTGAGATCTTTGACCTCATCATAGGACCAGTCCGGGAGGCCGTGGGGGAACCGCTGGTCGAGCTCCTGTTGCAGCTTGGTTTGCGCGGCCGGGTGAGTCGCCAGATAAAAGACCGCGTTGGTCAAGGCCGTGGCCGCGGTGTCACTGCCGGCGACGATCACCAGCCAGGCATCGTCTTTCAACGCCATGTCCGTGGGCGGGGCGCTGGGATCGCCCTTGTCTTGGGCCTGGATCAACCAGCTAATGACATCCGTGGGGTCGCTGCCCTTGGTCATGGTCTGGCCCGGTTAGATACCATCGGGGGGGGATGCGTGGGAGGACGGAAGCACACCTTTCGTTTCTCATCGAGCACGGCGTGACAGAAATGGCGGAACGGATTGAGCACCTGGGACAGGCCGGGCACCTGCAGCAGCATCGGCGCCAACCACGGGATGGTGCCGGCCACCGCGATGTAGCGGGTGGTCTCGTCGATCTGCTGCAGCTCGGCACTCTTCTGCCCGGTTTGCAGCATCCCCAGGTCCGTGCCCAGGACAATGCGGCCCATGACATCGAATGCAAAGCAGATCATCCAGTTGGTGATGTCCATGGGTTGGCCATGCTGCTCCCGGATTTTGGTGACCAGTAACCGGCTTTGCTCCTGCAACGGGCCCTGATAGTGATGGATCGCTGGGAGATTCCGTTAGTGGCCGACCGGTCGGGCAATCAGGGCAGGCGAACCTTTGACGCCGAGATCCCACACGCGGCGACGCTGGTTGTGCAGTTTGATGTCTCGGAGACCAAACATGGTCTTCTTCGCGACCGTGTGGGTGACCTGGTCGTACCAGGGGCCCTTGGTACATCGGGTGGGGGGGCCATAGATGGCCCGGATGGCCGAGGGTCGGCAGATGGAGACCTCGCGGGGTCCTAGGGCACGGTCAGTGGGGTTGCGGGGATCGAGGGCTCAAGCGGTACCGATCCGGACCACGTCGCCATACTGCTGGTGCAGACGTTGGACGTGACGATGCATCTGCGCGTGCTTCATGGTTTGATGGGCCGCGTAGAAGCGCGAGATGCGGGCCCCGACGGGACCCGGCACCTTGCGCAGACGGTGGAAGAAGAGGCGGTACAGCACAATATTGCCAAAGAGGCCGGTCAACATGGTGCCATCTAGCAATAGGACCCGTAAGAGGGTTTGGGGCGTGGTGGTGGTGCCCAGGTAGGCCGGGGCCCATCCGACGAGAGAGACATTGGCGAGGGCAAAAAGGGCCAGCAAGGACACGAGATGCTTCTCAATCTCGCCTTGTCGAGCGACCACGGAGAAGAACACCCCGAGAGTGCCCACAGTCAGCAGTTGGGTCTCTGTCGACCCCATGATGGCGATTGGGACTTGACGGGGGGATTCTGACCTGGGAAGGAAAGGGCAGAGATCGGAGTTTTATAGCGCGAGGGACCAAGCCGAGGGCGGAGCGAAAGGGCTGATGGCCGATGGCTGGTCCCACCACAGCCGCGGACTGACAAGCTGACCGAGCCGGCCAATGGTGAGTGATACTGGCTGCGCTAGCCCGTGAAGACTTGAAGACACGCCGGGATAATTGCGTTTGGGGCCTGATTGATTGGCTTTCTCGATTAAAATGTGGGCTCGGATGTCAGTTGGCGGTGCGGCTCTGATCGGATCCTGGTCGGGCAGACAGCCCTGGCCTCGACCATCATCCCAGATTCGTGGTTGATCCATGATGCTGCCGGCTGTTGCCTACCAGCGATTCCGTCAGCTTGGGATGCTCACGATCGATTGGCCCGCAGCCTGCACGGTGAGGTGTACCGGGTGAAACTCTAAAAGCTCCCCATGTAACATAAGCGGCTGATCATGAAGTCCGATGTCATCGAAGAACCGTGGATCGAGGGCTGCCCCGCCGCTGATCTTCACCTGGCAGCCCGCCTGAATGGCAACGTCTCAGACCTACCTAGTAGATACCAGATACCTACTCCGGTCTATTGTAACAATAGAGAGTGCAGCAAAATGCTCGTCGCAGTGGTCCCCGCCTCCCCCCGAACAGCGCAGGAGACCATCCGAGCCCTCCTCGAGACTGACCAGTTGACCGCCCCGGTCGGGGTGCGTGCCATCTACCGCGACCTCGCCAAAGTACCCCCGGCATTCCGCGCGCATGCCGGCTTCCAGGCCGTCGCGGGCGATCTCAGCGACGCGGAGGCCCTCGATCTGGGTGGAGCGGACACCGTGTTCGCCATCACCCCGCCCCGGCATGATGGCAGCGACATGATGCAGTGGGCGACCGTCGCCTCGGAAAACACCCGGCGGGCCATTCAGCGGGCCGGGTCGGTGAAACGCCTGGTGCTACTCTCCAGCATGGGGGCCGAGCATGCCTCAGGAACCGTCCGTGTCCCTCCCATTGAGACAGGGCAGCCATGTACTTACCACCGCGCATAGGGCGAAATCCAGACCAACCATATTGCCGAGGAGATCCTGAAGGACGTCGTCCCCGAGGTGATCTTCATGCGAGGTGCCTATTTCATGGAGAACTGGGCCTCGGCCATTGCGACCGTCCAGTCGGAGCCGCCACATTTGTACTCTCCCATCACCCCTGTGGATTATGAGATTCCCATGGTCAGGACGAATGGTATTTCCAACGCATACAAGATCGTGACTAACCGTCTGTCCAGGTGGCCGTCACGGATGTCGGCAAGGCGTGCGCCACGTACCTGATGGCCGTCGACATTCCCAAGCATCCCTTTGTGATTGAAGTGCAAGGGCCCCGGGAATACGCAGTGAAGGATGTGCAAAACGCATTTGCAGAAGCGGCCGGACACGCCGTGGAGGTCCGACCGGTCGCAAAGGCTGATTTGGCGACGTTTTTCGGACAATTCCTCCCAGAAGCCTCGGTTGGTCCGTTTGTGGAGATGACTCTCAGTTTCTTGCCGGGCGGGTTCCTGGCCCAAAACGCCGGCAATGCATCGCCGGATCGAGTGTATCGGGGTCGGACGGAGTTGGCGGAGGCGATTGGGCGAATGTACAACTTGGGGTAGGTGAAGATGAGATGATGTTGCTAGTATTCTGTCTGCCGAGTACATTAATGGACTTCACTCGTCGCGTGCCAAGTGCTGAGCTCTTGCCTTCTTCACTGACTGGACTGGGCATCCATCCAACCCCTCTAGCCTCCTCTCACTTGCAATCTTCCTCGACACTGTATACTCATTCAAGTAGCAACCAGATGACTCGGCCTTTCCAGATCCCTCAGTTGCATGGCGTTAGTCGAAACGTACATCTGTTCGACGGGAACGGTGGATATCTGGGAGGTGAGCCATACCCGGAGCATCTCCTCCCAGGCGGGCCTCCACGCGACCTCACTGACGGGCGATCATCAGGCGGCTACCAAAATGACCCTCCCCAGTTGACCTCGGCACTCTTATGCGCCATGTGCGATCACTTCCTGGGATTCGAGTTCCCCCGGACTCGGTGGTATCTGTTTGCATTGGGCAATAACAACACGGTTGTGGAGCGTGTTGCCCGCAACAGCGTGTACATTCGACCTGGAAAATACGCCGTACTGGGCAGATATTATGTGTTACCTTGGATAATCCACCTGTATTAGCGATTAATAAGGCTGACCACTGCCTGATATAGCTGGCCAGCCTCTCGATGTCTGGGTGACAGACGAGCGACTCATCCGCCGAGTCCTAACGCCTCAACCCCCATCATCCCAGCTTCGAGCCAATGTGAGTGACTTCGACGATCCTCGGGACTGACTGACCTTGGGGTTCCTGGCGTAGCAAGCTCATTTCCGTGACAGTCTCCGGCGACGAGATGGGACATGCGCGATAAGTGGGCATGGTGGCGTCCCCGAGGAGCCATGGCTGGGAATTAACGCTGCTCACATCTACCCCGTCTCACAACTGGACTCCTGGAACTGGAATGGTTACTCTCGTTGGGTGATTGATACGACCGATCCTAGCTTGATCGCCCCAAATCGGCTTTTCTCGCCTGAAAACGGCCGGCTCCTCGATTCGTCGATCCATATCCTCTTCAACTACTTCAAGCTCGCGGTCAGTCCCGAGGTGAGACCGGGAATCTTCACAATTTCACTCTCAATAATGCAGGCTAATCTCCCATCTAGCATGGACATCGCGGAGTCGTTTTCACCCAGGACATCAGACACGTGGGCAACTGAGTCCTCAGTCCGAGGACACGACCGGCCCGCGATCGAAACCGGGCCGTCAGTGATGATCTTCTGAGGTGGCACTTTCACCAGGCCATCCTGACAAACATGAAAGGGACCGACGAAGACCCTTGGGACCTCGACTATGCTGGCGGAGATCCCATGGACATCATCCTCGCCCATGAAGAGGCAGCAGACATCATGGCGGCCGAGCTAGCGACCCGTCTAGGGGCCTACATGGAGGAGACTGTCACAGCAGAGGCACGCTGAGCTACTCTAGCTTAATCAGTAATCAATTTCCTTGCTTCTAGCTGTTCCGCCGGTTTGTACCGCTTGTAACCCGGGATATCCGCATGCGTGGTGACCGAGTCATAGATGCGCGAAACTGCGGATCGATAAGCCCCGGCCGATTCCGTAAAGGCCGAGACAGCCTCGTAGATCAGGACGAGCACCTAGCGCCGTAGAAGGCCGGCCAGAACCAGGCCACCGACCCCTCGCCCATAATGGTGACGGTTAAAGGCCGGGGTGGGCCCATAGGGATATTGCCAGTTCCAATGATTCCCCAGTTCCAGCTGGATGCTTGTTCTGGTTGGGAGCAAATCCCCGACCCTCCCCCACTTTGGCCCGTGTCGTGTATACCCCCAATTCCAAATCACCCCGTCTAGACCGGGTTCCTGGCCGACTCAAATGGAAGGCATGGGGGAGGGGAATTGATCACCCTAGATACATCCAAGGTGCGGCGACGAGGAAACTGCAACTTGCCCCTGAGCTGACATATTAATAAAACAGGGCTGGGATGTGTGTCGTCCATGAACCGCGGTGGCAGGGATGGTCTTGGACGGGACCTCGTGAGTGGCGTGATGCCATCCCCACGATGGAGCTAAAGGCTTAGTGGCAGCCCTAGTCGACGTGTCAGCCAGCCAGGCATCCATCCAGGAGTGGTGGTACCTGGTGGATGCGTGATTTATGAAGGACAGGGATTTGATCGTATGCCCCGGAAGACTTGTGGTTTCTGTGGACAGCCGTTTGAAACCTTGTGTCGTGCCTGTTATTCCTGTTATTGTCTATCGGCCGAACCCCGCCATTGCGGTCTGTCAAAGTGTCCCGTGTGTCAAACTCCCTCCCGCCCCGTTCAGCTCCCCCACATTCCGCATCTGAAATCTTGCCTCCCAGCCATCATGCCTCTGGTTTTCGGCATTGCTTTTAATGGAATTGTATCACTTCTACTTGCTAGCTAGGATCAATGAACTTACGATCGGGTGTCTGTCAATTCGATCTCCTGACGCTCCGGCGGTCCGGGAGACGGCGCAGGCACAGTCAAAGACAGGTCGCGTGAGTGGAGCTTCCATGGAGAATGAGAAATTAAGACCATGTCAACCGTCTCCATCCAGCCCAAACATCCCCTCTCATTGGCACGATCCCAACCCTCGAGGGATCTCGGGGGAGGCCGGCCTGCACCACAGACCAGGTTCATGAGCTTGGATTACCATAGGCCCTGGTCTGGAGGCAATGGATCCTCGAACCGTTGCCCTTCTGGGATAGACGGACAGATTAACTTTGATTAGCTGGTTTCCCCTGTGGCCTTACGCAGCCGGCCAGGGCCAGAAATTTTCGAACTCTTCCCGGGGTACAAAGTCGGTTGAAGTCTTCTGTCACACGGCGTGGCTGCAACTGGACGGATGACTCCGCGGGACAATCGCCTCTTCCACGCAGCAGTGTTGCTCGACCTGATGCATCATGGTGGTCTGGATACGGGCGGTTGACGACCATGCCTCCCGGGCATCGGTCATCGTGATCCCGACGATCGTGACCACGGTCATCGCCGTCATCCTCACCCTGCTGCGGCTGTACGTGCGCAAGTTCGTCATGCGGACGCTGGCTTGGGATGACTGGTTCAACGTGCTCGCCACGGTATGTGCCTGCCCCTACTGGACCGCTCTCGCTGATCCAAGTGACTAGTTGACCACCTTGGTCGCCATGGGGTTGATTCTCGCGGCCGTTTCGTACGGTTTGGGGCGTCCCATCGACAGCCTTGACATGGATCGAGCCGTCTACTGTGTCAAGCTGCTGCGCATGTGTCTCTTTCCATTGCTGTTCTCGACCATCTTCCTGAAAATCTCCATCAGTCTGCTCCTGATGAGACTTTTGTACGTTCACCACGTCCTTCCACGTCCCCGACTAACGAAGCCAGTCTCACAACCAACATCTGGAAGATCTTCTTCTGGTGCTTCATCGCCTTTAACACCATCACCAGTCTGCTCGATGCCGCTATCGTCCTGCCCCAGTGTAGTCCTGTGGCCCGGACATGGGACAAACGAGTAGACGGGACCTGTTGGCCCAAGCGAGCGATCAACGGAGCGGCCATCGCACAAGGCTGTAAGTACCCCCTTTCCCATACATATCCGACTGCTAAATAGTTCAGCAATCGCCGCCGGAACCGACATCGTACTCTCCATCCTCCCGATCGTGTTTCTCTGGAACGTCAAAATCCCCATCAAGGTGAAGGGGGCGATCTGCGGGCTCATGGCGCTGGGATTTGCGTACGTGTTTATATCTATACCTGCATCGAGTCTGTCTAACGTATGGATAGGAGTGCAGGATTTGCGCTCGCACGCACTATTCTCGTGTCTACCCTGACCGAGGCAACAGATCCGACCTGTACGTTTTATACCCCCGTACAATACCACATCTAACATATCTACAAAGGGGAATACGTCAACCTCTACATGTGCGCCTTGTAAGTCCCCCTCCCTCCCCCTCTACCTCTTAAAAAAAAAACAAAAAGTAATACTAACCAACCCAGCCTCGAATCCTCCCTCGGCGTCATCGCCGCCGCCGGGCCCTCCACACGCCCCCTCCTGCGCCCCAACTTCTGGAACAAAGAGTACTCGCGGTCTCGATCCCGGTCATTGCCATTACACACCGTCACGGCGAAAAAGAGCTCGCCGCGGGTATGGGGCGATACGCTCTTCGATACAAGGTTTGATGTCGAGGAACGACCGTGCGGATCGAGGGATAGTCAGATGGGGTTGTGGGCGCAGGTTGGGATGGCGATTGTCAAGAGGACGTCGATTGAGGTTGTTAGGGGGGAGGTTGTGGTGAGTCAGGGTGAGGGTGAGAAGGTGGTGGGGAGGGATTAGGAGGGTGTTGTTCATGATTTATTCGTTCGTTTATGGGATACAGAGGGGAGGGAGGGACTGGGTTCTTTATGGGTTGGTTGGTGGGAAGATAAAAGTTTGGTTGTGACGCTCTTTTTGGATACACGATCGTTGAGATATTTTTCTTTTGTCGAACTGGAGAGGATACACTGGGATAGATATAGATACTTAAGCAAATAGTCTCCTGCGATGGCACAATCATACAGGTCGTGTATAGTATGGTTGGACTCATTCGTCGCGCTACTAGCATCAACATATCATTAACCGAAAGATTCTACGGAATCAACTCTCCTTTCACACTTCTCCTTCTGCACGAGTCAGTCCCATCCAAACATGGCTCATAGCTTATTCTTCCTAACCGGCCTCGCAGGTGGCTTCAGCACCCTCCGCCACTCATCACTCAAAACCAAATGATCACGTTTCGTCATCTGCTTCCTCTTCTCACTCCACACCCGCTCAGCCTCTCCATACTGACCCACCACCTCATCCAACCAACCAGCACAATACCCCGCCGTCTCTACCACACTCTCAAACGGAAAGAAATGTCCCCGCTTCGGAATCGTAATCTCCTTCACCTTGTCGTTCCCTCCACTCCCCCCCACGCCCTGACCACAGCGTTTGGCTCCTTCGCGGAGTTGATCCAGACGGAGGTAGGTATACTCTCCGAGCAGGAATAGCGTCGACGGGCGCAGAAATGGTAGTTTATGCCACGTGCTCGACGGCTCGGGCTTATACACCGGAAGAGACGCGAGCAATGGATCCGCGTCGGCATGCGTGGACCGGTCAATCTGGATCCTTCCGTCCGGGGTACGGGCGTTGAAGTTCTCGCGCAGCTGGCCTAATACCTCATGATACTTCGTCGTAGTCAGAGTGACGGGTGGGTCAGAAGGGTTCGCCGTATCAGGAAGGTCAGGATGTAAGGCAGTAGGCAGATCCCGGAACCCGAACTCCGCCATGAGATCGAGACATCGCGGGTCCCACCGCTTGGAGGCTTTCCTGTGGGCGGCGTCGGCGGATGCGCGGTTGGGCCAGATGTCTTCCCGGTAGAGACACCAGTTGACGGGACCGGTGGGGTCGGAGTTGAAGCCCATGGGGGGTGCGGTGAGTTGGATGACGGGGTCCATGAGGATGAGGGATGTTAGGAGACGGGGGTGCATGAGGGCTAGGTTTGTTCTGCTGGATGTTAGTCGGGGTTGAAGTAGGGGGAGGGGGAGGGGGAGGGGGAGGGGTGTACAGAATGGTGCCGCCGAAGCTGTGGCCGATACCGACTAGAGGTCGGGGCATCTGGTCGCGGAAATGGTTGATCATTAAGAGGAGGTCACGGGGATGGTCCATCCACGATGCTAGGGGAAACATGTTTAGAGAGAGGGACGTGGTAGTCGGATTGGCTCACTCACAGTCCATGCTGAGCTTGTCTTCGTTAAGGACACTGCTCATTCCCATGTTTGCGACGTCGGCGATCCAGATTCCGCGGATGTGGAAGTTGGATTGTTTGGATCGCGTGAGGAGCTCGTCCCATAGTGGCTCGTAGAGTTCCTATCTCTCGTCAGGTATATTCGGTAGGGCTCGGGTATGGCTAACCTTGGGAAACCCCACGGCATGAGTGGCTATGATGGTGACTGCACCCGCTGGAACAGGGTCTGGTAGATCCCGTGGAGTATACTGCTTAACATGGAGATGGAGCTGATCCTCCTGGTCCACTGTACTGCCAGCATACTCTCGGACATAGCAGGCGGGAATGATATGGTCCGTGACGCTAAAGTTCGCGGGAGACATGGCGAACCTTCACGACGGGGGCGCTCGGACGGGGGTTCGGTTGTCGTAGTGGATGGGTTGAATCAAGCAGAGTTGCTAAATTGTAATCGTAAGAACCCAGCTGGACCCGGGGAAGCGGACGGAAGAATTGGGTCGGCGGTTAGGCCCCCCGCTTGTCTCCACGGGTCGCGGCCATGACCCGAGGTCCATCACGCACAGGCCTCTGCATGCTAGTCTAGTCCTTATGTGTGAAATGGCCCCAGGCTGAGTTGTGGCTCTTCTAGATTGCATGTCTCGGGGGTGTATGCACATGGTTCGCTGTACACGGTTGCTTGCACGCAGTTGATGCCACCGAGTTCCAAAAGAACGGCAACACACTGGAAGCTGTGGCCATCAGCGACTCAACCAATCATGGAGAAGGTCAAAGTGAGGAACTTGATATCAAAAGGAAAAATTCTTGTTTCGATTGTTGCTTGCCAGGGCAATATATAAAGAAGGAGGAAAAAAACAATGAGTGTGATTTGGTAGGGGGGGAGGGACAGGACGGGCCAAAAAAAGTATGACAAGAAGGGGATTCGAACCCCTGCCTCTTTCGAGACTGCAGTGCGACCCGGCTTGGAAACCGGGTAAGCGAGTAATCACTTGAATGCAGCACCTTAGACCGCTCGGTCATCTTGCCTGTTTATGGATGATTGAGCTTCTATTATTTTTATGTTCGACACTTTTACACACATGCCAGTACAACTATCATTCACCCACGGCAGTCAATGGCTATATGTTTTTGTCTTTACCATTTCATGATTGTTATTCATACTGTATGATTCACACACTTTTACCATCATGCTGCTTTGGTTCCGATCATCGCGACAAGATGAATTCGAAGGTCTGGATCTGCAGACTGTGGAGATAAGAATGAACTCTTACCCCGGATATATATTCGCTACATCCTGTCCAGCAACCTTAACCATCACCCGACAATGTCACGAACTACCTTTTTCATGCTAAATCGTCCTCAGGCATAGCTTAATCAGTCGATATGGTATCAAGATAGCAGCCAAATATCGATGGCGTGCGTGGTCAGTGCGATGGCGTTAGCCAGTGCCCAGCCAGCTAATTGGGCCTCGGCTGAGAATATCCATCAACTCTCCATGCGGGGAAACCAGGGATCGCTCATAATACTGCCCCCTTCTATTACGGAGCATTGCGACCCTCGTCATGAACGCAGAAGGAAGAATTCGCAAACGCATCCCCAAGTCATGTAAGCGCTGCCACCGACGCAAGCAGCGATGCGTTGGATATCCCACCTGCACGGGATGTGAATCCGCCAAACAGCCATGTCAACGATCCGAATCGGTTCCCTCGTGGCATTATGCCATGTCTAAGGGAGCGTTGGTGCGTCGCATAGAGGTACTGGAGGCGCAACTATCTGCGACGCAGCAGCAAATTGCCCAAGATGTGGATGAGCCGTCGGAGCAGCTTCCGACGGGCGCAAAAGTTCAGACTCATGAATCGCGACCTGAAATTGTTTCGTTGATGGCGTTGGGACTTGAAGGGAATGAGGGTCTCACGTATCTGGGTCCCTCCTCAGGCATGTCGATTGCGGAGGACCTCGGCCGCCTGGTGCAGAACGGAGCCTGGCTGAGATCGATCCCGATCTATGGCAGCCACCAGCAAACCCCAACTGCTAATGAAAATACGCGATCGACTACAGCCAGTATCACTCCAACAGATGCTGCCGGACTACGGCTCCTCAATGCCTACTTCAAGGATATGCACACACGCCTCCCGTTCTTAGACCGCACGGAGCTTCTAGACCTGCATGCAGTGCAGCAGAAGCCCCGGGCGGATTCGACAGACGCTGGTCAATTCATGCTCTTGATGGTATATGCTGTTGGCGCAGCTATCCTGCAGATGACTGAAACATATGACTCCACGCCGCCCAGCGCCTTCGTAGCAACGGCACTGCAACTGGAGCCCACAAGAAATTCGCAAACACACGCCAGTGTGGAGGCAATCATGCTCCTGGTGCTTTACCATCTGCGAACATCCTCCGCGTCGAGGGTCTGGTACTTGATAGGCCTGGCCATGCGCATCTGCATCGACCTCGGGCTGCACCGGGAGTCACAATATCGAAAGATGAGGCCATACGAGGGCCAGATGCGGCGTCGCTTGTTCTGGAGCGTCTACCTGGTCGAGCGATATGCTGCTTGGTCGCTAGGCCGACCATTCAGTATTCCAGAGGAAGATATTGATGTTCACTTCCCGGCCGATCTAGATGATTCCTGCACCAGTGACGAGCTGGTTGAACAGGCCCTACATAGTCTACTGGATCTTCATCAGCCAGTACATGGTAGCATGCGGAGATTCATCGCCTTGACCCAACTACAGCGGATAATGTCCCAAATCCATACTCGCATCTATCGAACAGACAGGAACATTTCAACGCTAGTCCCGGAGACCGTTCCTCTGATGGCGACATTAGAAGACTTTCAGCGATCTCTGCCACTGCTGGCATCCGACGAAGCCGACTTTGTCCACATGCATTGGCATAACTCTGTCCGCATGCTTATCCAACGGTTTGTGGGGATCCTACCACGCGAGGATCCGTTGATCGCCAGATGCCTCTATGCATCCGGGCAGATGTGCCAGTGCTTCAAACGGCTACGACAACGAGACTCGGGATATTCGTTCCTCCTGGTCAATTCCCTGTACATGGCTGGGTTGACGATATGGTGAGACTCCACCTCTCGGTTGTGTTGTTTTACTGACAGGCCAGCCTTTGCCTATTCCGAGCTCCACAACTGTGGACTGTTGGCGTGACGAATGATCTACGGGCCTGTTCATCGGTGCTCATTGTCATGGCCGAGAGAAATGCCAATTTGAAGAAGTACCGGGATGGCTTGGAGACGATCATCCACCGCGTGATGGAGTATGTGAATGATGCAGCAAATTCCCAGTCTGTTTGGATGGTGGTAAAGTCAGTAACTACGGGACAAACAGATTCGAATACCCCACCCGCCGAGATAAATGCCGGACAGACAACGGCCGGCGACTCTCAGTTCTCGAAGGAGTGGCTCGACCTTCAGTGTCCGTTTCCTCTAATTGAAGGACTACGATCCGGCCAAGAGAATTGCCAGGCTGGACCGGCAGATATATCCAATCCCTGGAATGCATTCAGCGATATCTTCCCCGAGGATCTTTGGTCAAATGATCTATTCAGTATGGATATGCCGGGTGGATTGAATTTATGGTTCCCAGCGGAGTAGACACAGTTAGGATTACGGAATCAAAATATCCTAGCCAACGGCAAAGGGCTACTCGGGAGCCGAGGCCTTAGAGAAAATAGAAAGAAAGTGTTTGATAATATGACCACTATTCTGAGAATAGGAGCTATGGCCACGTTGCTTGAAAGAGCACCAGAGGAAAACAGAACATGAGGCCATAAGCGATGAAAGTTCACCAATGCGCCGGAGACAAGGTATCCTCGATTTCCAGATCCTCCCGTCTAGATTTACTCTCCGGGTCAAAATAGGGCACCTCTCCCACTCCGACAGCGCGATTACCACTTCTCGGGCCGAACCCTTCGTGATCGCCCGTAGCGGTGTGGAACACACTGCGATTATCCCAGATAGCTACTCCAGTCAGTCTTCGAATCCTCAATATCATTCGGGTCATTCCACTTGAACCGCACCTGCAGGTCATGACCGTATGTGATTAGATCATGAAAGTATTGCAGCATATTGGCGCTCTCTCGGCGAGTCAGTCCATTGATCTTGGGAATGCACCTATCCCATCAGCATATACCCCATCCCACAAGCCATAAACATACCGATTGGGAAAATCGACTTCCATCCTGTAATCGGATTCGTCCGCACAATACCCACCCATCAGCACCCCCATCCCATTTGAAACACCCAAACCACAAGGGAGAAGATACCGGATGCACCGCCTCCAACTCCTCCCCCACATTCACCGGCGCCCCCCTCTCCCCCGTAAACATGCTAAACCCCCCACTCTTTGCCATCCTCCGAAACCCCTCCCCGACATGCGTCACCGTCAACCCCTCCAAAAACCCGCGATACGGTTTACTAATCCGATCATAAACCTCATACCCCGACGCCCACAAGGTATCCCCCCCGGTCATCGGCAACGTCACAAGCCTCAAACTGGAAAAATCCGCCGGCGCCTTCTCAAATGCAATAGCACTATGCCAAACGGCCGCCATACGAGTATACTCCGACCCTTTGTAGAGTTTCTTCCTCCCTTCCGAGTTGATGGTACTGATTTCGGGATCTGGGTCGCCGAATTCCCGCGCGTCGTTGGTAACGGGGTGAATGTGCAATCCGTGGTCCGCGGGACGGGTGGTCAGGTGGCCCATTTGGAGGATGAGGGGATTTTTGGTGCTCGTTTGTGAGGTTATTTTGGGCGCGGAAGAAGACGACGCCGCGTTCGGCTACTATTTCGGTGTGATGGTGAGGGTGGGGTTGGGTGAGGTGGGATGGGATGGAATTGGGGGAGGGAGGGGGAGGGTACCTAGGACGGCGAGGTCACGGATGCGTTGTTCGGCATTGGGGGCGTTGAGGATGTCGTCGACGATGTTGCAGCTGTTTTTGGAGAATTCGGTGCCGATGACGGGGGTGACGAGGATGGGGTTGAAGGGGTCGAGGGAGCCGGTGGAGTAGATGCGGGGATGGGGCATGGTGTGTAGTTGCTGGATGAGGGGATTGATGATGTGAGGTGATGTGTGTGAGATGGGATGGGATGGATTTATGTTGTGCCATGGGGCTAGTTGGGTCAGGTTGGTGGGATCGGCTTTCGGCGTTAGGGGAAGGGAGCTGGATCTGAAGCTATCGCCGACAAGGTGACAATTCAGTGGAAGTGGTGATTTTCTTGGAGTTTTGCGCTGCGGTCAAGAGTTTGCTTGATTTTTGTGTATCAACTGGGCTCCCTGGAGGTGATCCGATGTCCTGTTGTTGTCCAAGCGTGGCAGTTGAAATGCGGGCGTTGGAGGTATGCGATGTAATTGAGGGCAAAGCGGAGATGGCAACTAGCTGCGCTCGGCTCCTCGTCCTAGCTAAGGAACAACATCAGGCTTGTTGCATGTAGCCCCTTACGTCTAGTCAAGCACTGACTTCAGCGTCATTAGGTGATAAGGAATGTATACTCCATAACGCTATGCAAACATGATCTGATATCTGACAAAGCTCTAAACAGTCACACAGGAGGCTCAAATCGCTGAATAACACAAAGATCAAAAATACACAAGAGAAGGAAAGCTCGTGGCGACTCCGCGATTCGGTAATGTCATGCTGCAAATCATGTCGATCATCCCGGTGATCTGAACAAATTCCATGCCGCCATTGGACTTCATATTCCGATACGATCAAACCACATTGGTCGTATGTTCGCCAGAAGGCGTCCCTGGTGTCGGATTCCGAGTCACCGTCAGCGTCTCACTCGCGGCCATGGACGACGGCCGCGTCGAGGCCAGATCGCTGCGCGACTGCGTGGCGAACATCATGGAGGCACGATCGAACTTGGCTTCGCTCTTCGGCCGGGCAGTCTCGGCTAGAGGGAGCATGGAGTAGTCGGATCCGGCATCCGCGGCCGCCTTCCTGGCCTGGATTCGGTTGTTCTTGCGTTTCTCCCGGCAGCAGAGGAAGAAAGTCAGAGCGACGAAGATGAAGATCAGGATACTGAAGGTGATGATGGCGGCGATTTCTCCGCGGTGGTTGTACTCGCGTTGGGCAGCAGTGATGGTGCTCGTGGCAGAGGTCGTCGTGCTTGTGGTGGTGGAGGTGGTCGTGGTACTCTGAGTGGTGGTGGTGGCTGCGCTGGTGGTGGCTTGGGAGGTGGCAGACGTAGTCGAGCTGGTAGAGCCAGTCGTGCTCGTGCTGGATGTCGAGGTGGTGGAGGATGCAGTAGAGGTAGTTGTCGCAGAAGTGGTGGTGGAGTCGGAGGTGGTGGTAGTGGTGGCTTCCGTGGTGCTCGACTCTGTTGTACTCGTCGTGGTTTCGGTCGAGCTGGTGGTGTCCGACGTGGTGGTTGTCGTGTCGTCTGTGGTTGTTGCCCTCTTCTCAAAATTCACTGAGCGGTGATACCGTTTGCGCTGTTGGTAGTCATCGGCCTTAGGAGCAACGGTCGGTTGAGCGACGGCGGTGGTTTCGGGGGCCAGCCATGTCAGGTCAGCGGCAGGCTCCGGGTGGGCGATAACGGCTGAGGAGAGGGCCCCAAGCGCGAGCAGCAAGCGCATCTGCATGTTGATAGATGGTCGGGTATAGGCAGCAGCCAATTCGGAGGGAGGGAAGTTGGAGGAGGGAAAGAAGAGGCAGATGAGGGTAAGGGATGGTTTGCAGGACCCATCGGAGCAAACATCCCGACGGGCCCTCAAATATGAATGATGGCCTTGAATGACAGCCCGCGATGATAGGACTGCCGAAATCTCTGCCTCGTCGACAGTAGTTGCTGGCGTCGTCGTACGTGCCTCAACTAGGGCTGAGGCTTTCCCAGTTATTTTTATAGCGACGGGCCCGCTGATTGGCCCGGTGGTTCGGAGTGGAGCGGCGGCCACTCAAGCGGCCACGCGGCTTGAATCCACTGCCACTCGTCGTCACGGTTCGTCCGCATCATGGCGTCCTTTCTTATCATCCAGCGTTGGTCGGGGCCATATTGCTTTCGTCTTCATACCCGTCAAATCCCCCCTTCTGGTCCCGGGCATGAAGAGTGATGGCCGCGGTGGCTGCAGGATGCGGACAGTTGCTCACCACGAGGCCGGCATGGCGCGACTCCACCCGGCCGCTGATAAGGAAAAGTATTTAGCCCAAGCTTTGAAAATCTGGTTCCAACCGAGGCTGGGGCCCGCTAGACCGTTCGTTTTTGGCTCTCTGGCACACAGCCTGGAAATTTCAACGGCCGATCTTCTAGCGTCTGGTTTCTACCGGACCACGGCCGGTTCCCAGCCACACCGAACAGGCCATGCCTGGCAGTCTGCTCGTCATCGCAAGCTAGTGCCGGATATGGCTGGAAACTGGAAAGATAGTCATTTCCGACCCCGATGATGTTTGTTCCACTGGCGAGGGATTCTGAAACCCCTGCGCCACGGCAATTCCGGATGTCCAGTCAGACTGAGGTGGGTTAATTTCGCTGCAGCAGACGGTGCCCCTCACGACATCGACTAAATCTTCCGGCTGATGCGGTTCCTCTGTATCTTACGTGGACGGCCTTGACTAAGTGATGGTGGGTGGAAGGCACACCCACTTGGGATGGGATGTGCCCAAAGATCGACCCGTTCTGGCAATAATCCGGCAGTCTTAACCTTAAATAAAGCGACCCAGCTGGGCTAGTCTTTCAATTCACCTTCTAGAGACACGCAATTCCCGTTAAAGTCACTCCCTATGGGGGCACGCCGTGGGTTCCCATTCCCCGCCAACTGCTCACCCATTCCACAGCCCACCGTGAAAGGGTTCCCAGAACCTGAGATGGCCACGTACTCAGCCTCCCCGCGTGTGGCTCGTAGGAGTATTATTAGTACCTGGGTTTCAGGACCACCTGCCACGATCCATGCTGAAATTGCATGGTGATGTATTGTCGATAGTCAATCTCCTGCCCGGGCACCTCGGTGAAATCGAACCGGGACAGGAGGTTCGCCATAACCATGCGCATCTCCGCCCAGGCAAAGCTGCCGGATCAACACCCGATCTGCGTGAAATTGGCCAGACCACTTACTTTTTACCTATACACGAATGCTTTCCCGCCGAAAAGGGGTAATACGCATGCAGGCTAGGTCCGGTTAGCGCCAACTCTGCTGATCGGAGTATACATACTCGGGCGAGGGAACCTCGGGAGGTCTGTGCTTCAGCCAACGTTCGGGCCAAAATCGCAATGACTGCGGCCAGTATGCCGGATTCCGATGGAGGTCTCGATAGGAAGCTGACACGACCGTGTGTGGTGGAATCAGGTATCCGCAGAGTTCGATCTGCTCCTTCCCTGTTCGCCGGCCCATCTCCGATGCGATGGGATGCAGTCGAAGGGTCTTCTTGACGCACGCCTCCAGATATTCGTACGTTGCGTCGGTTCGAACGGTCTTGCTGGATATGATAGGATCTGTTGGTTGCAGCACCGGGAGGCTGGTCATCAGCTTTTCCTTGAGATGGGGATGACGAAGGAGCTCGAGGAAGATGCAAGCGATTGTGCCGGATGTGGTTTCGGACCCAGCGAGGAGGATCTCAGCCATCTGATCTACGATATCGCGAGTGGCCATCTTGGAGCCACTGTCGGGTCGTTTGCCTTCCTCCACCATATGCTGAAGGAGGTCGGATCGAACACTGGCTTCTACCGTGCTCCTTTGATGAATGATGGAATGGATGGCCTGTTATAATGTTGGAAAGGTGCTATACGTTGCAGCCGCCATACTCACCGTGATCATCTCTTTGGGCCAATCGAACTTGAGGTCAAGTCCTAGCCTGCGGAGAAAGCGCTTGATATACACCGTCTGCTGCATTAGCAAGCTGTTTCATACTCCTCGCTATACATACTTGATACCTTCGCCTCATTCCCGTGAATCGAAGAAGGAATGCTTTGCCATATGTCAGTCTCATCCTGTTCAAAATGACTTCCGGCATTCGTCTGTCCGAAACCCCGACTGAAAGAACACTCTCCCATGCTATCGCCATCGGTCAGTCTCTATACTGTACGGCTCAAGATGAAGGTGCACCTACATATCCAATGCCAGCTTATGGACATCGTCCATAAGATCCATAACGCAAGACGGTCGCGCATCGACAACAGGATGTTCATCTAACAAAGACGTGTATTTGGAAATCAATTCCTCGATGCACTTGGCGAATAGAAATTCGAGGTTGTCAATGTACGAGATTGTGAAGGCCGGGGACAGAAATCGCTTCAGGCGCTTGTGAGGGTCCTGTCGTCTGGAATACGAGCCTTAGTCCCTGCACTTTCCAACTCCAGGGAGTTTGCATACATCTCACCAAACAGCCCCGGGCTGGCCCGGTCCCTGGATATCTCGGCATACATAGCGACTTTGGGGAGATCAACCGTCATCAAAATCTTTTGTATTGCATCCTTATCCGCTATCCAGACCTGACGCGGACCAAGCCGAACAATAGGCCCATAATCCATATGGGCTGCTTGGACGGTTTTCCATATTTCCCCGGTTGCAAAGGCGCAAGTGAGATGCAATGATGTCAGAGGGGCATACCACGGGCCGGGTATACTACTCAGGGGGGATACCACAGCACGTCGTAGATTGATGACATATCTCAGGCATGTTATGGTCACGAGAGCGGCCACGAAGGAATAATAAGGATGCGCCGTGACTTGATCAAACAAGGCCTCCATGTTGCAGCCCAGGTAGCCGATTGCGGTGATGTACCACTGCATCATGGTTTTCTATGTGCTTTATAAGTCAGGCCTACTCCGTTTATGCCTATGAAAGCATACAAGGGTGGAATTGGCCACAGAGTCAGGCTGGTACAACATTAACCTCTGTGGCCACAGGAGTTTCTGATCCTTGGGGACAATGCGCGTAATCCGCATTCGCGGACCCGACATCCAACCTAAAGCCGGGTGATATATGGCCAAACCTGGAAAATGAAACCTTGATCGAATGCCTCAGAGTGGTCATGGCATCAGACATGGAATAAGTGACATATTCAAGATCGGTGGACTGAACTTCGCCACTCGACTTCAGACTGCCGACTAAACCCGCTATCTGAGGTCCATGGAACGCCCCGTGAGTAGGTATTCGATTCTAAAGTATACATTTATCAACCGTTAGACTATTGTTAATCCCTGGGGCCTATAGTCGAGACAGAGAGGGAACCTAATCACCCAGTATCACGTCAGCCAGGGCGCTCAACCGGTAATGCTGCTCCACTTGACAGGATGAATGAGAATCATATCAAGCACTGGCCTCCACTGCGTCTGGACCTACTGATCGCCTGGATACATCCACGCGCTCGAAAGTCTCACTATATATGCTACCGAGACCGCGCGATGATCTCTTATCCAATGAGCAGCTGAGTTGAGACCATCTGTTCATCGAAAGGGAAGAGAAAGTAATTGAGCATGGCACAGGTACGCACTGTCTCAAGCCAGTGTTCTCCTTCATTGTCAGTTTCTGATTACTGAGTACGTCGCCCAGAAGGAGACGAATCGCAACGAGCTCAAGGCAGCCATCCCCGAATCCTGCTTCCAGCCTTCGTTGCTTGAGTCGGGGGCGTATCTGGGTCGTGATCTTGCATACACCGCCGCCCTCGTGTACGGCGCGCTCCAAATACCTAACATCCCAACGGCCCATCTGCGTCTGGTAGCATGGGCAACATACGGCTTCTGCCAGGGCCTAGTAGGGACGGGTCTGTGGATCATCGCTCATTAATGCGGCCATGGCGCCTTTTCCTCATACCGACAGGTCAATGATGCAATCGGCTGGGCCGTACATTCCATCCTCCTCGTGCCTTACTTCTCCTGGAGTCATCCACGGGGCAATGCTCCTGCGCGACCGACCATACGACACGATGACAGTGGAAGAATTCCACCAAGCCTTCGAGAGCAAGGTCCACGGGGCATGGAGTCTGCACAACGTTGTCATGGAGAAGCGGCTACCTCTTGACTTCTTCCTCTGCCTTTCCAGTATCTCCAGCATCGTGGGCAGCAAAGGCCAAGCCAACTATGCAGCAGCGAACAGCTTCCTCGACTCGTTCAGCGCATACCGTCGCCAGCTTGGCGAACGCTGCGTGACGGTCGCACTAGGCGTGGTGGAAGATGTAGGCGCGATAGCCGAATCAGAAGCTCTCTCGCGCCGTCATTCCGGGTCAATCGAGACCATTGGGATTTCGGAGAGGGCGTTGCACGATATCATCGACTGCGCACTGCAGTACTCGCATGACCCTGATTCAGTAGGCCACCTCATCACGGGACTGAAAGTGCCGCAGGACCCCCAGCGATCCGGACTCCGCTTCGAACCGCGGTTCTGCCGACTTTTCGTGGCAGATAACGTACCAGATGAAGTCCGAAAGGAAGATCCGCTGACAATTGCCCTGTGGAATTTCAAGGATCTTTTGACATCTAAAACAACACAGGGCATGCTGGAGACCTGCTTGGATGTTCTAAGTCTGCAGCTGGCGCAGATGCTCCGGTGGAATGAGCAAGCCATCGAACCAGGGCAGCCACTCTCGGTCTACGGCCTGGACTTGCTGGCGGCCGTGGAGCTGCGCAATTGGATCATGGCGGAGATGGGGGCTCATGTGAGTAAGAGGGATATTGTGGAGGCGGAGAGTTTGATTGCGTTGGGGGAGAGGGTGGTGTCGGCGATGATAGAATCACCACACCCTGATGTCTGATAACATTTCTCGCCCAGCTAAGCAATAGACATATATACCCATAAACTTCATCAGGAACTTTATATGTTGTATTGGTACCAGCTCAATACTAGACCAGACGTCAAGCTCAAAAGCCCCAGATGATATTACAATCGCCAGATAATACATCACCACCTCATCCGATCCCTCCATGCCCAGAGCCACCATATCCACGCCATTAAGTATCAGACCCCAACAGAGCAAATACTCTACGGCCAGTAAATACTACAAAATTCATAACTCATATCATCATCACCCCCACCCCCTAAAAAATTCACCCCAACCCCGGCCACACCGCTTCAAACCCGGTATCAAACCCAACCGACCAATTCTCATCAATAAACGGCCACTGCAACATCTCCGCCTCGAGATCATGTCCTTCTCCGCTACCACTACCACCCTGCTCCGTCAACTCCGCGACTGACATGCGTCGGACTCCTCCGTCCACAGAGATTCCGATTCGTCGTCTTGTACCAGCAGAATTAGATGCAGAGGAAGTCTCGGGTCTAGACACCCGTATATCACCATACTCATCCAATGTCCCGGCAAGCGTGAGATGATCCCGATCATCAGCGAGGTACGTGGGGACGGTGGTGGTGGTGGTGGTGGTGGTGGTGGTGGTGGTGCGCGCGGAGTCATAAAAGCGGTTTGCTTCTTGGAGGGTGCGCCACTATGCCCCCTATTAGTATCTCCCATCTTCACACACCCAAAAACCCATCCATCAGGCAAGAATGAAACCACCCCACATCCCCCCAAAAAGCAAAAACAAAGAAAAAGGAGAAGGGGTCATACCCAACTATCCCCCACATCCCAAAACCCACAAAGTCTCTCCAAATACTCAAAATTCATCTTCTTCTCCTGTTCCGCGCGGAGGATTCCCCCCGGGTATCTCGCCGGACAGACCGTGCCGTACATGTTGATGTGAGCGGCGACGAAGACGCTGAAGCCCGCGTAGGGAGTGATGACGGGGGTGGAAGAGGCTTCGAGGGCGGAGAGGATGGAGCCGATGTGGTGGGCTGTGGTGAAGAGGTGGTCGATTGCGTCGTCGTCGTCATGGTCGTGGGGATGGTGGGGGTAGGGTGGTTTGGGGGTGGAGAGGAAGCGGTCGCGGTAGAGGAAGAGGATACTTTATTCCATATATATTATTTGGTCAGTTGCTGTGATTGGTGGGGATGAGAGGGTATGGGGAAGGAGGAATGGGGGGGCACCTCATGAAATACACCAAATTGATATAGGCAAACAATTCACCCGACCCGAGTGCTACATGAGCTTGAGCACTCGTCTCGGGATACCGCACCGTCGCATCCTGAAGATCCCTCCACTCATCGACCTCCGCTTTGAGAGTCTCCCAGGTTCGAAGAGATGAATATGCGGACCCTTGTGCACGCCCACGACGACTTTCATTCGCGAATCGGAGAATCCGAACAAAGATATCGAATCCCCGTGTCACGATCGTTAATCCCCGATCGATGGACAGATTCATCGCAAGCGGAGACCCCCGGTTCATATCCGCCGGCATCAACCGCGGGGTCGCTTTCCCGAAGGTAAAATCCGAATCACTGATCGGCAGCGGCACGGAGATCTGACGAAACGAGAGGGCAAAATGTTGGCGGGCGCCCGAGCTGAGCTCGCAGTCTTGCGCGAAGCAGCACCAGTAGGTGCGGACGAGTTGCTCGTAGGTGATGCGGTGGAGGGGGTCCTGCGGGGGCTGTTGTTCCATGGTGTCGTCGGCGGTTTTGAGCAGGGATTGAATCATGTAAGTTGCCATGCCTGGATTGTCAGTAAGGAGGATGGATAGGGCATGATGAGACGAGGGAAGGGATGGAGGGTTATACCGCTGTACATCCAGGCGCGGTAGGGCCGGCCAGATCCCCATTCATAGAGGGAGATCATGACCAGGGATTGGGCCAGGTAGAGGGAAGGGGCCTCGAAGGCGCGATGGGCGAGTTGAGTGCGCGCATACTCGGCGTACGTCTCGGAGGGGGCCAGGGAAGGGTCGGTCATGAAGCGGGCACAGAGGGAGAGCAACGCGGCCAGGAAGACGGGCTCAACGGCGGAGGCATGGTGGGAGAGATCGGCGATCAGCGAGGGATAGTGGAGGAAGTTGACCACGGGGAATTTCTTGCGGTAGATGTCGCAGGCGGCGATGAGGGTGGCGGCGGACAATGCGGTGATGGGGTGCGTGGGCGAGGGCGTGGCGGTGGTGGTGGTTCGTCGGGGGCGGAGGTTATCCAGTGAGCCTCTGCGAGGGGTTCGGACACTCCGCGCAACGGGCGAGCGAGGGTCGGTCAGGATGCAGCCATCGCGGTTGAGGCGGTGACAGCGCCGACAAGGGGGCTGGCCATCGTGGATGCATTTGACCTTGGATTGTCTGGCACGGTTAGCGGGGTGATTGGCAGGGAATGACGGGTTCAGCGTAAGGGCTACCGGCAGCTGTCGCATGAGATGGACAGACGCATTGGTGGATCACAATTGGCGGATGAGGGGCGTGAGGGGACGGTGAGGGGAAAAACACACAACGAGTCGGGAATGAAGCTGAAATGTCGGGAATAAACGATTTGAGTTGGTCACGGAAATCGACTCGAGACACGCCAAGTGGATTCCATAACGTGATCGGATGACTCATGACAGCTACAGGCACACCAATCACAATCATCAGCATCATTATTATTAGGGTATCGATACTACTACTCCAAGCTAAGCATCAATCGTCTCCAACCACTGGCAAAACTTCTCCACCGGCGTCTCTTCCGTCGCCCACGAGGTCACAATGCGGATCACCGTGCCAGTCTCCCGTTTGTCCCACTCGTAGAAGCGAATCCGTTCCGCCAGCCGTCGCACCAAGGCATTGGGCACCAACACAAACACCTGGTTCGTCTCAGTCTCCGCCGCCAACTCCCATCCAATGCGCTCAAACTGCTCAGAAATACGCCGGGCCATGGCATTGGCATGTCGAGCCAGCTCAAAATACAGCCCGTCGCGGAACAGCTCGGCGAACTGGACACCCATGACTCTCGACTTCCCCAGCAACGCCCCGCGCTGCTTGATATGGAACTCGAAGCCCTCGGCCAGATGCTTCTTCACCACAATCGCCTCTCCCAGCAAGGCGCCCATCTTGGTTCCTCCAATCCAGAAAATATCCGTGTAATCGACCAGATCCCGCAGGGTCAGGTCATTCTTCTCCGCGCTCAGCGCCACTCCCATGCGGGCTCCATCCACCAGAAGCAGTAAATTCCGCCGTCGACACGTCTCGGACAGCCGTCGAAGCTCACTCCGCGTGTAGATCGTTCCCAACTCCGTCGCATTAGAGATATACACCAGCCGGGGCTTCGCCATGTGCGGGAAGAACGTATTCCGATCCAAGACGGTCTCCAGATTCTCAGGGGTCATTTTGCCCCGAACCCCAGGGACAGGGATAATCTTGTGTCCGGTGGCCTCAATAGCGCCAGCTTCTTTGTCGAGGATATGTCCGGTTTGGACGGCCAGGACGGCCTCATAGGGACGGATACAACTGGCGATGGAAATGAGATTAGCGGCGGTTCCGCTGGGCACAAAGTGAATGGCGACTTCATCGTCGGAGGCATGTATTTGGGAGTAAATTAATTGCCGGGCTTCGTGGCAGTATTCATCCGTGCCGTAGCCGGTCTGTTGGGTGGCGTTGGTGAGGAGTAGCGATTGCAGCAGACGGGGATGGGCGCCTTCGCTGTAATCATCCAGGAAGCTATACGGTTGGACGAGTTTGACGATCATGATGTCGTGGGATTAGAATTAGGGTATATGAATCTGAAATCTGAAGAGAAAAAGAAAAGAAAGAAAGAAAAAAAAAGACAGTGGGGAGAAATTGAGTTTGGAGAGCTTTATGAGGGGGCCGTGAGGGGATGGGATTCCCGGTCGGGAATATCTCGGGAATGTGAGTCACGTCACAGCCATGGTGCCATTCCCGAGTCCAGGATCCACTGGCTGGGTTTCGAATGTTCCGGACTCGACACTTATCAATTACATATCACGATATCAGGGCCGGCTTTGCGTCGGGTGATCCACTCCATGCATTGGGGATTGCGAGGGTCGGTTGATTCCGGTTTTGGAGGCTTGACAGGGCATTCCTATCAACTTCACGTATCCCGGAACATAGTGGATCTGCGTCTCATCGATCATCCCCAGCAGCAAACCAGCACTACTGCAGACCCCTGTCTGTCCAACGAATCGCTGTGTTGCCAGGCGGGTGATCTTATCTCGGGATTAGTCGGCAAGCCTCCTGCAAGCCGCGTCAGTCAATCAGATGCAAACTGCGACAACTGGATGGCTTGGTCAATGTCCTGCATATGCTACGGATGATGAGCGATTCATACATAATTGCACAAGGTTGGACGATTTATCCGTCGCTTTCGAAACACAAGTTGTGCATGCCTAGCTGGTTGTAAAAAATATATATTTTTTGGTGGTTGGTAAGCAGTCTATCACACTGAGATGATACGGCAATTACTATGAAGTACGTGCAGTGTGGCAAAATGAAAGACAGGATAGTCCTTGAGAAATACTAGAATGAAACTGTTGGCTTTGACACCCTTGGACAAGTTTGTGAAAGAAGGGTTGACCGTTTTGGCGGTCCAATTGGAATCAACGATGTCAGGTGATTCTGGGATCTAAATATGGACATACTCTATTCCCGATTGGGATGGACTGATTCTAAATTCTAGATTGAGCTGATCAATCGATACCTTCTACGGGCAATTCAATATCCAATGTATCCATCATATTTGTTATTTGTCTATCACCTAACTATTCGTGCAGTCTCAACAGCACCGTTGCACATCGAACTTCCATCTAAGCAGCAGTGGCTCTAAGCAGCGGCACTAAGCAGCGGCACTAAGCAGCGGCACTAAGCAGCGGCACTAAGCAGCGGCACTAAGCAGCGGCACTAAGCAGCAGTGGTAGGGAGACCACCGTCAACAGCATCCGGGTCACCGTCGCAGGTACCGCACACCGACTTGCCACCGCTAGCAGTGTACACGTTGGTCCAGTAGGGGTAGTGGACCGCCGAGGTGTTGACCGCAACCGTGATGTAGGCAAACAGACCATCCTCGATGTTGTCGCCCAGGTACACGTAGTTGAGGAACGGGTCGGTATCAGCGTTGTTGGTCTCGACGTTGACCACCCGGTCAGCCGCGTTGGTCGTGATCGGGATCGAGTTGGTGTTGTACGGGTAGGTCGACTCCACCTCGCTGATCATGCTCTGGTCCCAGAAGATCTGCCCAATGTGCGGGATCGAGCCACCCGCCAGAGTGTTGTTGGGCAGCAGGGTCGCGTTCCAGTGCACAATGTTGTGGTAGTGGGTGGTGCGGTTGGCGTAATGGCCGGGGAAGAGGGTGCTGAAGGTCACCACGCCGTCCTCGTCGGTCTGCTGGACACCACGCAGGAAGGTGCGCTGGTAGTTGGAGTAATCGTTGGAGTTGCCGTTGCCGTCGGCCACCAGACCCGAGTAGACACCGGTGGCATTGCAGCCCCAGATCTCGGTGTAGATGCCTCGGATGGGCTCGCAGGTCTCGACGTCAATGAACTGTTCTTCGACAATAACGGGGACACCCGGCTCGTTCTCGCGGATGTTGCTGCGGATGTGTTCGCCCGGAATCCAGTAGGGACCGGTCTCGCCCTCGGCGCTGGGACCCAGGAGGCAGATCTTCTTGTCGTCGTCGAACACCTCGGTCTCGGGGGTGTTGGGAGAAATGGGACGGCTGGACAGGTGCGACTTGTTCAGCACCTCGGTGGTGTCCCCACGGGCCTGGAGCTGACGGCGGTGCACGTCGACCATCGCACGACGACGGGCTTCGGCGCGGGCGCGAAGACCGCTGGACTCGATGCTGGCTTCGCACTTCTGCAGACCGTGGGCCAGACTGCGCTTGAAGGAGCGCTGCTGAAGGGCCTCACGCTCTTCATGGTGACCGGGGTGGGCAGTAGCCAGGAGGGCATTGCCGAGGACGGCCAAGTTGAGAACGTTCTTGAGCTGCATGGTGAAGCGGAGCGAATCGCAGAGCTTGGAGAGACAATGGATGATGGTGATGCGAGTGGTAGACTGGAGTTTGGGGGCACATCGCACACGTTTATATAGCTTGCTGGAGGGGGGATCCCACGGCCATCGCTCGGTAGAATCCCTATCGCATCTGATGGATAATGGTTTACTCGGCTCTGGTCCAGAGTGACATTATCGGCTGCCCATTTGGTGCAGGTACCTGAATGCATTGAGGAGGGATCGTCCAGATCCAAGGCAGATCACTTGGCATCAACGTTGCTCCCGATGGCGAGCTTGTCCATTGTCCTCAAGGTGTCGCTGGAGCTAGATTGGCACCGACGACCAATAAACTCCGAAAATGGGGCAGACGGAGACTGCGGTGATCTGTCGATGATAGGACCAGGACAGCCCAATACTAGCCATCTCAATGGCATCCAGGCGGCCAGACCGCAAGGTCTTGAGGTCATCCTGTTTCAGCGACCAGCGTGGATGGCCGGGACGTATGGCCGGATGCAACCTCCCACAATGGTTCCGCCACCCACAATGCCCAGACTGTGGAGAGTGTGGGCGGTGGATATTGCTATCTATCACGACAATCGCGCGGGAATCCAGTAGAGGATTCGGGCGGATGCTGGGAATAGTGACCAAAATCCCCGAAGCGGAGGACGCCCAGGATCTGGGTGGCCATGCCAAGCCGCGATGGAGATGCCAAGACAACCTGACGAACCCGGATTCGACGAGACTGGCCGCGGAAGCATACCAGTGCCAGGCTAACGCGGCGGCGAGGGCCGATCAGGATGATCGGGGGCCCGCCGAGTCACCAATGCATCGCCTCTCACTGGTGGGTGGGAGCACTGTCGCGGGCCGCATGGGCCTCGGAGGATGGTCAGCAATAGTAATCCAGTCGAAAAGACTGGCAGGATCGGCCGGCTCTAGTGCAATCGGTTCGGCCCACCGTGAGCAGATTAGCCAGCATCTCACATGTCCCGTCGGGATAACATAATTGGCGAGCGGAACGGTGTTGCTATTTCGGATTCCAGAGAAGATCGATCGGGTCCATATTCTCTTGATTGACACATTCCTGTATAGCCTCGGGGGTGATCAATATAGGCTTTGACGCGTGAAGAATCCGGCAGCTAGACAGGGCTGCATCCTATGCATCCGACGGAATTGTCATGATCAGCAGAACCAAATAAACTAGCAGGCTGGCGCTGCAGACAGTCTCTTTGGGCTGCATAAGTCGGCTTGGCGACGCGACGGGCTGTGCAGGATGAGGACCTCGGCCTTCCAGATAGATTGAAGTCGGATTAGAATTTAACCCCAGACGGAGTTCCTTCGGAAAAGCCGCAGATCCCTCATCCACCTTCTGCTTCCGGACCGACGCGTCGTCAGCGGTGGTCTTTGGTTCCGAAGTGACCCCGTTCAGTCCTGCTATTTCGGGGGCATCGGCCCAGGGTCCTCGCTTGGAGAAGCATCTCTCCGTGCGGGTTGACAAAAGGTATGGTGTAACATCTGCCCGATTGTGCAGAAGAAAATCGTCAACACTCAGCGGAGCATTGGTCGGTGTCGATCCTTCGCCGGGGATAAGACCGATCAGGCAGGTGAAGCCGGATGCTGTCCGACCGGATATGTCCTGTGTCAGACTCAATTGTCCGTTGGGTATTGGCCATTGTCACCTGGTCGGAGTATTTTCTGGCCTTCCGGGCACAACCCGGCCCTCACTGTGATAACGGACCCTGATTCCGATCAGTGCCTGGTCCACCCGAAGGACCTAGAGCATTGTACGGAGTCACAATGGAGGATCCAGTGACACCGGGAGACGCGTCGGTTGGGCCCCTCCGGATGAGGATTCATCCACTGGAACCCGGCTGTCAGATAAGGGGAGGTTTTCCTCCCAACTGAGAAGCTGCAGGTTGCATTCACCCTTCAGGTCAAGTTGTTGAGTCTATCAAGGTGATTGCCAAGACGGAGAATAGAAGTTGTCCTTCGAGCAGTAACCTCCAAGCTCGTCATCCCCAAGTTCCTCGCGTACGAAGGCGTACAGACCACGGATGTGAAGCAGGAATCTGCAGCGTGTTGGCATTTGTTGTGTTCTGCAGCTGTCTGTGTTCTGAATCTATCTAGGGCCAAGCCTCTGTCTTATGTTGACCAGCTGGCATGGCCTGATGATATGGCCTGATCATCATGAGCTCAGAGTGAACACACCTGGGCCTGTGCTGCGTCTTGATCAAGGCGGTGGGGACTGAGTAAGGGACTTGGTGCACGGCCCAGGCTCTCCTTCTTGGACTTGGCCATTTATTGTGTGCATGAACATCCATAGACTCTTTTGAAAGATGCTGGTGAACCGGAGCCCAGAATGCGGCCAGATGAATCGTATTCTGCGTGTTCGGTGTTGATAGGCTCGCTTAACCTGTCAGGTGATTGGCATGGCACTGCTTTCCCCCTCTTTCCCTCTCTCCCTCCCTTTCTTTACAGTCCCGCACGGAGACGACCGAACAAAGGACCGATGCACTAGAGGAAAGCGATCCAATGACCTTTAGAAAAGCCCAACAAGGTAGTGATACGCTTGTTTGGAATGTCATACACCAGCGAACAGATGGTGCCAGTCTCCTCGAGCCAATTGCACTGCCAGAGCTCGCCCGGTCGGATGCATTGGTAGGTGGCCGTCTGGAAGTTCTTGCGGCCGGCCATCGGTCCGCCGTGGATGGCATAGACGATACGGTCTTCGTTATAGAACCACATCTCGTATCGCCATTTCTCGGGATCGCCATTGCCGTCGTGGGCAGCATAGTCGTAGATGAGGTGACGATTCCGGAGGTCGGCGTTGAAGGAGGTGCTTTCGACAGAGGGGAGAACTGGCATGATGATTATTCTTCTTGATAAACTGCCTCACGATATTCTGCTTGTGTGTCTGTGGGAGGAAGTCAAGAGGTAGATGAAAGACTTTGAAGACTATGCTACATATGAGAGTAACATGCTGATTATATAGCCAGGGACGAAGGATAAGTGAATTTCCCCGGGAGTTCCAGGTATGTGTTACCCAATTCTGCTACCACTGTGCAGGTCTCGAATGCAATGCCGGCTTTAAACTTCAACCTCATGGAAACTGGCCCGCCAATCATGTGCGAGTATTGCTTCAAGATGGTGAAGATACAAATAGTGATGCTATCAAGCCTAGAGCTCCCACCATCCGAAGGACTGGAGGTCTCTGGCTCAGAACTTCGTGTTGGCTGTATCCTGTTGCATCAACCCACCTGGCTGGCGGAACCGATGCCGAATCTCCAACCGACGTCGTGGTCCTTTCTTACAACCAAATAACTGCCTCGCGTCCATCTCCGGGTCTTGACGGCCCGAAGCGTAAATCCTCCATCATTCCGTGTCTCCCGACCCGATATTGGCTCCGGACTATACTTAGGGCCCAAGACTACATCCAGAGCCGAATCTCGATCGATCGGCTCACTCGCAATCGATGGCTCTAGTAAACGCCACGGGGTTAAGCTTCCGGGGATCTCATCTCGCCGTGCATATTGCCATGCAATTGGCGGACATAATGGCCGGAAAGCATACCATTGCGCCACGTTCGGGTGACTGCAGTAGTCTGCTCTCGGACCAGTGGAATCTAATATGATAGATGGCCTGACTCAGGTACTTTGACGATCAGACTATATCCTCATTGAGAACTATATTCATTGATCAGGCCACCTTGAACCGCCTGAGTTGAAGGTTTTGTTGGTATGGATGTCACCAGATTCTTACCACTCGCAACATCATGAGCACTTCCTTTCCACAGTCACAATCGCAATCCAGCACCCCCTCACTATCTCAAACTCAATGGCCAGCCTCCCCAAACTACCCCTCCTCTCGACATTCGACTCCACCGTACTATGCATCATCGGCACCGGCCCCGGCCCCGACCAACCCAGCAATCAAACAAACGTCAAAATCTCCATACCCCGCATCATCTCTTAGGGCTCTCTGTATATGATTTAACGCCGGATCCTCGTTCTAGCAACAGACATGACAATCCCATCTTCAATCCCCTCTCCCTCCTTCCCTGGCGCCCCGTCCCGTCCACCATTCGTCATACCCTTCATTCCATCGCGTCGTCCCGTCGTCCAGATTACTTATATCCAAAACAATTTGTTCAAAGTCAATTCAAAGAGCCCACCCGCCACTCAGGAGGCAGATCCAGTACCAGCCTTGCTTCTATCTTTCATTATAATGTTCAAGTGGAGATCCGTCCTAGCAGCTGCTACGTACTTCTCTCAACGAAGCAGTGCTCGGTGTTCCGGGATAAATCTGGACGAGTAACTGTATTCATCATAAAGTACTTTTATTTGTTTGACTGCTTCTGGAGATATAGTACTATCTGACCTTACTCCCACGGAAGGTTATCGCTATGTCCAGACAACGAAAGAAAGAGCCGAGATTACCAAGTCATCTTGTTGACTTGCGATCCGGTTTCGAGAAAGTAAGCATACAAAGGGACTCGCAGCGTCTCATTTTATTCTATATAAGATGCCAGCGACGGATTCCGACCACAACCTAATCCAATTCACATCAATATCGAGATAGAATACGTCATTGAGATTACAACTTCGCCTTCGCCTTCCTCTCTTTCTTCAACACCTCCCTCACCGGCCCGATCAAATTCCTCACCAACTCCTCCGATCGCGCCCGCGAGGCATACATCTGCGTCGGGGAGACATTCCACGGCGGGATGATGCGTCGACCATTCGGTCCGGGGGTGGTAATTTCCATGACCGCGCCACCGGGATATTTCCCTTCCTGTATGAGAGAGAGCATGCATTCGGCGACTTCTTCCGCCGAGACGTGGTCCATTTGGTCGACGGAGTATTGGGTGCGGAATTCGGGGAGGGTGTTCCAGAGGGGGGTGGGGACGAGGCTGGTTCTGTTAGTATGGTTTGTATGTCATGATGGGTGGATTAGGGGAGTTAGCAGAGGGGGGGGGGGGGTTATACTACCCAGGGCAAATGGAAGTAACTTTCACGCCCTCTAACGCATCCAGCGGGGCCATGGACTTGACGAAGCCCCAGAGGGCGTGTTTGGATGCTGCATACACCGGGCTGGCGAGGGAGCTACCAAAGGCTGCGATGGAGGATACGAGACAGACGACGCCTTTTTTGTTCGTTTCTAGGAGAGCGCGGATGGCGAGACGGGTGAGTTTAATCGGGTGGTTGACGTTGATGTCGACGGTGGCGTAGCGGGTTGTTTCGGTGTCTTGCCAGAAACTGGCCCATTTCTGATCATGGGTTAGTAGAGTGAGGATGACGGAGGGTGGATGGGAGGGTGGACTTACGGGCTCAAAGATCCCTGCCGACGCAACATAGACATCTGGGACATCGTTCCATTTGTCGCGCGATAGTTGAATCAAGGCCTCCAAATCCGCCCAGATACGCACATCACAGCGCTGGAAAACGACGGTGTCGGTGTTCTCAACAAGCTGCTGGGCTTCCGGGGTGAGTTGCAGATCGGCGACAATGACTTTGGCGCCGTTGGCGGACGCCAGCCGGGTAAGCTGCAGGCCAATCCCTGTAACTGTTAGCGTCTGAGTCAGATGGTCGGACGTTGTGGTTATACTTACCGGATCCGCCGCCAGTCACTAAGACGATTTTATTCTCGATAGGAAAGTCGCCAAACATGATTGTCTGCCGTGAGGAGAAGATGACGTGGGGAGCAAGGGATGACGGGAATAAATAACCGCGCACTGCCTCGGCCCCAGTTTTACAGCGATCCTTCGTCCTTGGCGTGGTTTAGCGCGACAGACCTGTTGACTAATATTGCAGTTTTCGGAGGGGGTTTAGATGCAAGCTATCCTGCATGTTGCTGCATGGATGTTAGAGGAATCGGTAGAGGAATTCTAGATTCTGCAGATTGAGCGATGTGTCTTGCGGAGGGATGCCTAGCATGTCGGTATAATCCTCGGTGCCATGGAACAAGCTGTACCAGTCACTAGGCATGCTGACATCTCCGGAGAGATTCTGTGGTAAAGTTGGTGGAAACACGGTCGCATGAGTTGCCATCTCTGGGACACCACTAATAGCAGGAGAATCAGTGGTGGTCGCAGCAGGACTGCAAATGTCGGTCTGCGGTGGCGGTGCTGGAACATCTATCAATCGGAGAGTGCGTGCAGTGCTGTCATCCAGACACCGAAAGAACAAATTCAGCACCCAGTTCTCCAAATCCCAGGATTTCTGCAACTCTTGCAGGCTCAAAAGGCACAACCGGGCCCGGTGTTCGGCCAGCTTGCGACACGTCCCGGAGGATCGACGGAAGTGGACGGTGTGGATACAAAGGGTAGAAAAGGCATGAGTGATTCTACATCATTAGCAGCAGTTACACCGAGGGTATGTCACTTACAGATGAGGAGGACCATGTTGGACCAGGTTGTGCGACAGCAGATCTTCCAAGATCCGGGTGCTTTTGATGGCAGCATCCAAGGCGATCTGGCCTTGGCTGTCCATGTCTCCGTCTGGAGGGTGCAGGAAGGATGGCCGGTATAATAGGATGTAGAGGTTACTAGTAATATGTTAGACAGGTCGTCAAATTGAGCATGTACATACTAATACGTCATATGCAGCAGTCCCGCGAGAAACTTTGCCCTCGGAGTGCTTGCATTTTCCAGGCGCAGCTCGGAAGGGATGTGTGATTCCCAATCCACCAGTTGCTGATGCAACGCGGCACAGGATTTGCCACTTGATGACTCGGTAGGTGAGTACAGTGTCGCAACCAGGATACGCACTGGCCTGTCAGTACTGCAGCAGGATCTTAGGTGAAAGAATGAAACGTACATATTTTGGCCAATTTCGCCATCTCGATCGGATAGCTAAGATCCTCCACACACTGCTTACCAAATGAGGTTGGATCATCCTCATCCTCCCGAATATCATCGGGCTCTAGCATAGCGACATCACAATCTTCATCTCGAATCCGCGGTGGGAGACCGAGTCCTGCAGCGCTTTGCTGATCCCGGGTCTACGCGTGTTAGCAGCGGACTATCCTTAGGGTGATAACCTACATAAAGAGCCCACCATATCCGCTTCCACAGCCCTTCTTCTCGAGGGGAATGGAAAGAGAATTTCGACCTGATTAATTAACAACAAATTTTCAAGACGGAAGGATACTCACATCAAATGCATCCCGCGCTTCTGCGCCAGACTAATAGCACTGCCCAACCAAAAGCGCAAATCTCGCTCTTCCGACGGCCCTCCTCGCCAAAAGCTCAACAAAAACAAGGACTGTACTTTGACAATCTTGTCAGATTCCCAGTCCGCATCATAGATGGCCTTTGCTCGGCTATAGAAAAGAAACTTGGCCCAATAGCGAACGGAAAACCCAGTCCGCGCAAACGCCTCATCCGTACAAAGACTGACTCCGATAAACAGCATGACCTGCAGTAAGAGTGGCGATAAGCTCCCCTGGACATAAGCCTGATGAACAGCCGCCCGATCCAGAATGGGAAAACAGGGGTGGAACCAGGTGAAGTAGGCCTGTAGAAGTGTGTCGCAGGTTTCAGCGGGTGGATACGAGAAAGCCCCATCGGCTCGCAGCTGCTCCTCTTGCTTCTTTTTGTGCGCGCGGAGAGCTTCGTCGCGGGTGTTGATAGCGAGTCTGTCGGGAATGGGGTAGTGAAGACGCGTCTGATGCTTTGCCCCATTAGCACTTCCAGGGGAGAGACGCCCTTCGTCGATGACTACAGTTAGAGGGCTCGACTCGCCAAAGAACACCGTCTGATGAGAGACGCTCGTGGAATCCTGAGATATGAATGGAGTGTGTTTTCGCGCCTGAGTATGGGCATGTTTCCCCGATTCCAGCTGCCGTTGTAGTACCGGGGGGCCCATGGACAACGGAGTCAGATGGTCCGCAGCTTGAGTAGCAATGCCATATCTTGCTGCTGGGGACTCTGATATCGAGTGCCCCGACACTGCGTCCTTGTCGGATGCGTCATGATGACCAACCGCCTTCTTCCGAGGATACCTAGTGCAAATCAGTCTATGTACACCATCAAATACCCTCAGCCAGTGCCATACTTTCCTCGCTTCGAAACGCCTATCTCGCAGGGTACATTCAGCATCACGCAATTCTGACACGGGTGCACCTGCATCACATTGCAGCGGATACGCCGTCGGTTGCAGTGGAGACACGCTTGTTTGGCCCGGGTTTTGACCTGGCGGGGACTCGATTGCTCTGGGGATGTCATTTGGCATACCCGGTAGATCCCAGTATATGTCGATTTGGGGAAAGGGAACAGAGAGAGGGAGCAAGTAGCCTGTTTGCTGCCGGCTTTATGTATGAGGCCGGGCTTGGCAGGGTCTGCTCGGCGGGGTGGCTGCGTGCCGATGCACGCTTCGGCGAGGATTACAAGTTGCCGACATACAGACAAATTAGAACGAACACGGTTTCAGATAATTATGGCACATGGGTATACTTGAGGAGTAGGTCGTGCGATACAAGATTTCAGGCTGATGGACATCTACAGTGTCAATCTTCATGGTCCAGCTCATATATATTGCCTGTCAGAGGCGAATATGAGTGAATTTCGCGGGTTGCTTGGTAGCTTCAGTGAAGCAGAGACAGAATTTGGAAAAAGCGACAACGTGACCAAATTACCCACGGAATGATTTCTATAAGCTGGAATAATGCTAACTGTACATCTATGCAACTCTACTCTGATTCCTCGTCGAATCCCAACTCTGCCAAAATCGCCTCATTATGCTCGCCCACATCAGGCACCGCGTCCATGCGCGCACCATACATATCCGCATCACCCAAAGTCATCCCCGGCGGCAACAACGCCGGGACTGTCCCCGCGGGAGTCGAAACCGTTGTCCATCGCTGCCGCGCCTTGAGCTGGGGATGGTTCCACACACCCTGCATATCATTGACACTCGCATTGGCAATTGCCACTTCATCAAGCCGAGCAATCACCTGCGCAGCCGACAGCGACGAGAAGACCCCACAGATAATCTCCTTCAGCTCCTCGCGGTTCTGCGACCGGAGCGAGTTATTCACAAACCGCTCATCCGTCGCCAGACTAGCATCACCCAACACCACATCACAGAACTTAGCCCACTCGCGCTCATTCTGAATGCCCAGCATGACCGACTTGCCATCGCCCGCCTCAAACGGTCCATAAGGATAGATAGCCGCATGCGAAGCCCCTGCCGGGGTAGGCCCAGGGGCATTATCATAAGTATAATACATCGGGAATCCCATCCACTCGACCATGCTCTCCAACATTGAGATATCAATATTACACCCCGGCTTTGCCGGATCCCGATCCCGCTGATACAACGCGGCCAGGATATTAGAGTAGGCGTAGCTCCCGGCGCATATATCCGCAATGGAAACGCCCACCTTTGCTGGCTCCTTCCCGGTACCAGTGACGGAGAGCATGCCGGCCTCGCTTTGAATCAAGAGATCATAAGCCTTCTTATCGCGATATGGCCCATCAGGACCATACCCCGAGATATTACACACAATCAAGGAGGGATGCTCCGTCTTGAGGTCATGATAGGACAATCCCAACCGGGCCGTGGCGCCAGGGGCGAGGTTCTGAACAAGGACATCCGCGCGACGAAGCAGACGCATCAACACGCGATGGTCACGAGGTTGCTTCAGGTCCAGGGCGAGACTCTCTTTGGATCGATTAGTCCAGACGAAATGCGATGCGAGGCCGTTGACGCGGGTGTCGTAGTTGCGGGCGAAATCGCCGACGCCGGGACGCTCGATCTTGATGACTCGGGCGCCTAGGTCGGCGAGGTGGCGCGTGCAGAAGGGGGCCGCGATGGCTTGTTCGAGACTGATCACTGTGATGCCGGTGAGGGGGCCGGGTTTTGTGGAGGCGGTGGTGGTGGTGGAGGAGGCATGTCGGATGCTGGAGAGGTAGTGTAGGGGATGGGTGAATGGGCGAGTGGTTGGCATGGTGGTGATCAGTTGGTGTCTGGTTGCGGGGGTGACCCCGGTTTATCAGAGGCATCGGTCGGAGAACGTCGCCGAGCGTGGGGCATGGTTATATGGCGGGTATATGCCTCGGTCTCGGTTCTTACTCAGAACTGCCCCATGCAGGGAGACAGGAGTATGCCATGGATGCCTTCTAGAACAGGGACTGTTGTTCCGGTCGGAAAGAACCACAGGAAGCCGTTTGCCATGCTTTCTGGGTTACACAAGCCAGTGTCCACCTCCATGTAGATGATATCCCTCTGCACCCCGTACTCTGTCCCTTCTACAAGAATGAGTTGTCTTCAGCTCAGCGCTTTTATGTTGGATAAAACATTAATCTAGTCGGATACCCGTACAGAGGCACGGTGGGGAAATGTCCCTCCTTCTTGCGGGGAACGCGGGTGGAAGCAATTGGCAAATATTGTTCTCACTAGCCTTCGAACAGTGCACGGCTATATCAAATACTCGCGCGAGGGATTCTCACTGCGACGTTCGAAGCATTTTCTTCTTATCACTAATTGCTTTACTCACCTAGATCATCTCTCAGTTCCATGTAAGCTGCAGGAGGAACCGATCCCTGCCAAATCCCTACGCCGTTCGTCACCTTCGGCCGATCGCGCCCGGATTGCCATCACACGTTGGTGGCGCTGGGTGACTACCGGATAGACCGCTATTGTACTATCAAGTCTGGGAATTATTCTCCGGTCGATATTGAGTAGCCGCAAGCCAAGCTATGTCTTTTCCCACGTGGCTGACACGCGACATCACCATTATGCTGGTCTCCTACGTTGTTCAAGGCTTGTTGTTCAAGGCTTCACCGCGAGATGGCCGCTAAGGAGCGGACTTATTCGGCTGACCTCTGGTGCTGGATATGCAACTCCCCTGTCTGCCGATCCTTAAATCGCAGGCCTTCGGCTTGTGCTATTCCACGGCTTTGCTGATGAACTCTCAGAAGTGCCGCATGGTGTGGATGATGAGACAGAACCGGGCTGGGCTTCATATAAGTTCGAGGATGAGTCGTCTGGCTATATGGCTTGGTATCAAGTGAAAAATCGCCAGAGGTCAGGATGATGGTCGCTAATTGTGGTTCTTCAACCTCAGAGCCAGAGAAAAATCTCACACCGCTGCTCAAAGATCACTTCCACCCTCGTGTGGTATAGCTGTTCCGGTGATCGCCCAAGGAACCGAACCTTTCGATGATCGGCTGGGAGGCACGAGTCGCTGTTCCGAGCGTTCGGACATCCTATTGGTGGGAGAAATCTGCCGCGCACGTCATGACTTAGCAATTGGCCGACGGACGTCAACTGGTCACAGCGCAGTCGTCGATACATCCGATTTTCCCCGGCGACACCAGATGTGGACCAGGTCGATCCAACATCGCAAGTCTCGAGAGGACTGTAAAGCGTCCTGCTACCGCCACGGTGGGGAACATTGGTGGCTCACAAAAATGAGCAGAAGCTGCATGGTAATTCCAAAGCCGAGTGGGACTTGCAGGGCGGAGGAATCGTCCTGTGAGAACTGAGAAGAAGGAACTTTGCCCGGCAGGCAGAGTTTATGTATCCTGCGGGAGAGCAGGGCCCTGTGGAGTCAGTGGGCCAATGCATCTCAAATTTGGGGTTAGTCTCCAGCCGGGGCCCTGGGAAAAAGGCTTCAGCCGTACTCGCAACTGCAATCTCAATCCGCGACAAGCTCACGAAACAGACCATCAGGCCGGAGCTGTATAATATCCGACCTATCTCAGTCATGCGCTGCCGTTAATTTCTTTTCGCATTAGACACCTTTGTCAGAGGTTATTGGTTTGACCCGTCAGGTGCAGCGACAGCCATTTATGTCCAACTCGAGGGCCGTTCGCATAAATAGCGCGACCCTGTCATTAAGATCCCTGTCGCGTTCGCGTCTTCGGACATAGGAAGAGCCGAAGCCCGACACGATGGCCACGTCCAAGGTCGCCTTAGCGCCCGAGCGCCTTTCTTTGGCCGGATTTAGCTCGTAGACCGAACACTTTAATGAGACTGTCGAGGCTTGTTCCGCTATTTGTCATTTGCTGCATGCAGTCTTAAATCTGGATCACCAGTGTCGACATCCTATATGAGAAGAACCTCCGCCAAAATTTCCGCACCTCAACCATGTCGGAACCAAAGGACCAGTCGGTGACTGAGCCAAATATCCCCCCGGAAGGGGGCGTCAAAGGCTGGTTGACCGTGGCGGGTGCTTTTTGCGCGCTCTTCTCTTCATTCGGCTTTTTGAATGCGTAGGTCTTCCGCCTTGCTTTATGCCGGATACTAACCTCAACAGGATCGGAGTATTCCAAACCACCTACCAAGAGACGTCACTCAAAGACTACGATGCATCTGATATTTCCTGGATTTTTGCCGTGCAGCTGGCCCTCATGTGGGCGCCAGGGCCGCTTTGGGGTCGCATCATCGACACATACGGCCCCATTCCGGTCCTCTGGCCATGCAGTTTTCTGTGTGTCCTGGGCTTGTGCATGACCAGCCTGGCACACGAGTACTACAATATTTTCCTTGCGCAGGGTCTTTGTTTTGGAATTGGAGCGGGTGGAGTGTTCACGTCCGCGATGATCTGTGTCGGACAGTGGTTCGTCCGCCAACGGGGTCTCGCCACGGGTGTGGCTGTTTCTGGTAGCTCACTGGGAGGCGTAATATTTCCGATTTTCCTTAACCGTGTTATCGAAGATATCGGCTTCTATGGTGCGGTGCGGTATACCGCCCTCTTCGTCGGTGTCATGTTGGTACTGGCGTGTGTGTTCATCCGCAGCCGTCTGCCGCGCAAAGAGTGGAACGGGAAGGCGGCATGGATTGACTTGACCTTGTTGAAGGAGAAGTCGTTTGGGCTGTATACCGCGGGCGCGTTCTTCGTAATGTATGCCATCTTCTCCATAAGTCCTTCCGTCCACTGACAGATCAGGTGGGGACTATGGGCCCCGTTCGACTATATTTCCAGCATGGCGATGAACGCGGGGTTCTCATCCACCCTGGCGTTATACCTGATCTCCATCATCAAGTAAGACTACGCCACTCCTTTTATTCGTGGTTGCTAACAGACCGAGCGCCGCCTCCGTCTTCGGCCGGTTAATTCCCCCTCAACTAGCCGACGTATTCGGCCACTTCAATGTGTTCAGTCTCTGCTGCTTCGCCACCGCAGTGTCCATGCTCTGTCTCTGGCTACCATTCAACTACCACCCTTCGCATGCAGGGATTATCGTCTTCGCCGCTGTATACGGCTTCTCCAGCGGCGCAGTGGTGTCTCTGATGATGCCCTGTGTGGCCAAAGTGGGGAACATACAAACACTGGGTCAGCGATTTGGGACGTTCCAGCTGATCATGTCACTGAGGTAAGTTCCGTCTATCAGATCGGAAGTATGATGCTGACTACGGCAGTTGTCTGACCGGGTTACCGATCATGGGCGCCATTCTGGAAAAGCAGGACTATAAGGATTATTCGGGGTTGCAGCTGTTTGGAGCTTGTTGTGCGTTACTCGGGTCTTTGTTGATTGGGGGGTCGACGTTTTTGCTGAGGAGGATGCGGAACACGAAAAAGATATAGCGCCGGGTTGGCGTGTGCTTTAGTGTGGAGGAGCTTGGGTAGATGCCGATTAATCCCGTCATAATACCCCAGGTTAGAGGAATGTTTAATAAAATAGAACAGACTGTACCCATGTCAGCGAGCTCCTGCATCGAAAAACTGAGCTGCGGGATCGTGAATGACCGTAATGGCGTGCTCCACAGTACTCCAATAGACACTTCAACGTCGACTTACAGATGTTGATGGCTAGTCTCCCTCGTCAGATAGGATTCATTCCAGCAGATAGCGAGCGATAACTGATAGCGACCCTTATCCGCTTATCAGCCCCCGGGCGACACCAACCCCCATCTTTGAAGCGATCCCCACTTATCGCACCCTTCAGTTATATAGCCCAGTCTGAGCCAGGCCTTTCGCGCGATTCGCAAGTTCACACCATATATACTCATTCACCATGTGGCGACTATTCGGCCGTTCCTCTGACTCCCCCGAGAAGAGCCCCGCTCCCCGGAGCCTGCCCGCATCATGGTATCGCTCCGAAGCCATGTACCAGCTGGAGCGACGGGCCATCTTCTCCAAACGGTGGATGCTGCTCACTCATGCCAGCCGGTTCACCAAACCGGGCGATTTTCTCTCCTTCACCGTCTCCAACTTCTCCTTCTTCCTGGCTCGCGATCGCGACGGTAACATCAACGGCTTCCACAACATGTGTCGACACCGCGCGTACCCCATCGTGCAAGCCCGATCCGGAACCGCCTCCATCCTCAGCTGCAAGTACCACGGCTGGTCCTACGGCTTCAAGGGCAACCTCTCCAAAGCTCCTCGCTTCGAGACCGTGCCCGGCTTCGACAAGAGCCAACACAGCCTCCTTCCCATCCACGTTTACATCGACAAGGCGGGCTTCGTCTGGGTGAACCTCGAATCCGGGGACCCGGAAGTCAAATGGGAAGATGACTTTGAGAAGATCGACGAGCAGCCACGAATGCAGGATTTTGACTTTGGCGGGGATTACACCTTTGACCATTACTGGGAGATGGATCTGAAGGCGAACTGGAAGCTGCTGATCGAGAACTATAATGAGTGTTATCACTGCGCCACTTCCCATCCGCTTATCAGTGGGGTGTCGGATCTTCCGCGGTATCGGGTTGAACCGAAGGCGGGGTACATGGAGCATCATATCTTCAACAAGGAGAGTGCAGATGCGCAATTTCGACGGGCCATTACGTATTTTTATCCGACGACGTCGGTGACTGTCACGTAAGTTAGATTCCCTAGGGTGAAACGAGTGACTGACAAGAGCAGGGACAAATTCTTCTACATCCAACGCATGATCCCGGTCAGTGCGACGACGAGCAAGATTGAAAATGAAGTGTATCGGCACAAGGACGCCACGGATGAAGAGTTTGCCAACATCAACGCGTTCTACCGGCAGGTGCTGGATGAAGACAAGGATCTCTGTGTCGGGGCGCAGGAGAATCTCAGTGCGGGAGTCTTTATCAACGGCGAGCTGCATCCAGACAAGGAGCGGGTAAGTTGATCATGGCCTTGGGACGAATAGCGCTGACCAGACAGGGACCGATTCATTTCCAGGAGAATGTGAGAAGCATGGTGATGGAGCACCGGCAGAAAGAAGAGGCACAAGGCGGACAAGAGATCTGGCCCGCGTTGCCTAAAGTGACGGGCGCGATGCGGTCGGGCAAACTGGCCGAGGAGGAAAACTTCTGCTCCCAGCTGGAGGCGGCCAGTTGTATGGCCCGACCGGAGCTGGCGTGGTAATCTCTCTGGATCCTTTGTAAATAGCATTTGAGCACTGCATTTGAGCGGTTATGTCAGTCATGCATTTGATGATCTATCCTCATCCGAGAGCCATACAGTAAGTGGGAGTGAACGGTGAAGACAAGCGCCACCCTCGGGAAGTGGGAGCCACGGAGATCAAAGCCACGGGCCGATCGATGCCTAGGTGAATAGTAGGTGCTTGGTGCCTGGGGGCATGGGTTCGTTAGCGATAGCCGACCCCGCATTCTCCTTCACTTCGCAGGCCCTCGTAGCCCAAGGGGAACAGGGTATTCCGCCAGATACCTCATAGACAAATGCCGTCTGAAGCAGGCCGCTAGTAGCCTCACTGAGTTGGATACAAGAAAATGCAAAGCACTAGGCTACAATGTTAAGACGCTAGAAGAGGGATTAGTCTGCCAAAATGGTACTGTGTTGCCATTCAAGGTATAAACTAGAGCGGGCGAGCCACAGGTACAACATACTATATGGTACAGTAGGAAAATATCGTTTAGCTTTATCATTGGACTCACAATTCTGTCAGTCCACTAAGATCAGAAGTTACTGCTACTTGTTCAGGACTGGTCAGTAACCTCATATCATTGCTCTGAAAGGAAGCGGTAATACCTCTGGGCCCCGTAAGGCGAGCTCGGCATTCTGAACCGAGTGCTATCACATCCATAGACACACAGCGAGTGACACAGCAGACGTGCACCATTTCAACTCGGGGCATTCGCCCGGGTCCATTGCTCGAGGGTCTTTGCAACGAAAGGTACAACATGTACGTTGATAATCCCTCCTTAGAAACATATAGGGATGGTGCTTCCCTACCCAACCCCCATCTTCCACTGATGATATGAAGATGGGAAGTCTAAGCTGAGTTCCCCCATAGCAACCAGTGCAGCGCAGTGGGGATGGAAATCACACACAGGGTTGTATCTCTATTTTGCTCTCCCTGCCAATCCCTAGGTCAGGATGCTGTGACATATTTGTCACTAGTCAACAATCTGTTCCCACTAACGGGCTTTTCGCACCGTACCATAGTACATAGCTGGAGAGGGTAGCGGGGTGATCCCCCGGAGAATAGGTTTTCCTTAGGTTCGCCCAGAAGGCATATGTGAATTCCACCGCGACAGGATTAAAAGGTGACTGTCAATGTCTTGTGAGTGGTTCGATTATGTCCGTATGCCAGGCAAGTGAGTAATGCACTAATCTGGTTTCCCACAGACATAAGGACTAGCGGTGTCAGCTGAACGTTGTATGGTGTCGTGACTAGGTAATTATTTGCTAGGGGCGCTGTAGAATTTTCTGAACCCGGCTTGAACTGTGATAGCTAGGAAAACATTCAGACCTACCCTAACTATTTGCCACTCTATGGTTCAGTACGATTACATTCGCCGACTTGTTGTTTCCGCGCGTATAGCCTAGATAGCTTCGATAGAATGACTTTACTTCATTTCCCCGGACTAGCTTTTCCAAAGATACGTTCATTGAATTCTCCAAATTGGGTGGGTTTCCTGCGTCCAGTTCAATATAACCAAACTAGATGATCTGGTCAAGTTCAAGTGGCTTAGCCTAACAGCGATATGATGTAACATAGCAGCCATACTGGACAAACCGTCAGCACACTACATACTCCCGTCACCATGACACCGGTCTACGTCAAGGCACTGACTCACACTGAACCTTACTTTTTGTCTTATATATTCCAGCCTTATGCTATGCTAACACTCGATTTCTCAACCCAAGACAACTCTTTACTCTCATACATTCCTTGACTATAATCATGAGTCAACATATCAAAGATCTGATAACCGCTGTCCGCCACGCCAGGAGTCGCCGGAAATACTCCAAGATACCGATAAAAAGCCTCCTGCGGCTTCCTCTTTATATCTTTGAGATAATCTTGGAGCATTTACCTCTTCCATCTCAGGCCTGTCTGGTGTTAACATGCCGAACACTATACCGAATCTACACCCCCATTATCCACGATCGTCGACTCCGGTTTCCCCGGTTATTAGCGGCCCGCGATCCTACTGTTAGTCTTGGTCAAGGCCAAGTTCTTCGAAATAAATTTCTACACCAACTGCAAAACGACAAGTGGGCTTTCTGTGAGGCATGTCTTAGGCTCCACCCTTGTAATGCGATGAAGGCTGGTCGTCAGTGCAATGCACACGCTGGGATCGTCGACCTCTGTCCCTGCATCAGTCTCACTCCACGAGAAAAAAACCGCCTGGTCCGCCTTCTCGTGTCCAGACCAAATGCTAAAGACCGTCGGCATTATTTCATTGAACAGGAACAACGATTTGAGCGACTGACGACCAAGGATCCACGCTTCCCACGGAGCTTGACCGGAAAATGTACTCAGGCACTGGTGCACCGCTGCACGGTGCACAACCATCCCAATGCCCGGATTGATCTGAGACTCACATTATACCTGGCAAAAGTAGTCGAAACCTCGAATCTTGTGTCGCGCACGGACTATTATGTTACCTTATACCCCCAGCCTCTTCCGGCCTCGATGACGCCGTATTTTGGATGTCCCCATCGGGATTTACTCTCATGGGCGTTTCATCGACACTCAACCCACAGTGATTGCCTGATCTGTGATACGTGGTTTGGGCCGAATTGTAAACCGGATGTTGATGTTAACGAACGGGATGTGTATGTTGAGAAGCTTTTGGGGGGGATCAACTGGCCGCCAGATAAAACCTGGCAGAAGCAATGTCGAATTTGAGACCAAGCTTCTTAGGCCAGGCTCTGGGAGGTGCTTTGCTCTTTTTCTTATTCGTCACTTTTGGGTACCGGCTCGAAAATGATACGATAGATACAATATCTTCGCTCCTTCCCTTTCACACGCTCCTTCCATTGTAGATCTGAAGGCCATCGTAGTGGCATATTGTAGATTGCAACGAGATCCCTTCTTCTCTTCTCTTTTCCCTCCTCCAATTTCCTAACTATCATTAATCCAATAGTTAGCTTATATATTTACTCTATAACTTCTTCAATCCACTATCATTATGTCGGCAATCGAAATTGTCACTGTCACTTGCACAATCCTGGGCGCCTTGTTGGCCATCGTCACAGTATGCCACCAGTGTCGGTTTCCCTCGCGCTGGTGGCGGTGGCGAGAGAGCCGAATGAGAGACCCCGAGCGGGGGGGGGTAGGCCTGGGGGAGGGGGTGGTGGTGAGGCACGAGGAGGAGGTGGTGGTGGAAGCGGACGTGCAGGGAGTCCCGCAGCCCCCCTCGATCCCCGAACTGACCCCCGTCGACCTAGGCCTCTCTTTTCTCCCCTCGGCGGTCTCTCAACAAGGCGCCCAGGATGCCGAAGTGTGAGGAGGAAAAATTAAAAAAGCAAAAAAAAAGGGAAAAAAAAAACAAAAAAACCAAATACCCAAGGTTCTACTCAACATTGGTGGTGTCGAACGCGAGGACCCAAATACCCAAGGATCTACTCAACGTTGGTGGTGTCGAAAGCGAGGACCCAAATACCCAAGGATCTACTCAACGTTGGTGGTGTTGAAGGCGAGGACCCTGTTGAATGACTAATCAGTCATCTGACCCTCGGCCACCTGAATCAACAAGCTTCAAGGCTTCACATCCAACAGACCCAAATACCCAAAGCCTTTCTCAGTGTTGGTGGTGAATCTGTCAGGAAATAAGGTGTTGAAGGGGAGGAATTGTGCTTGTGGTGTTGAATCGCGAGAAGCTGTTGGAAATGATTGTCTTGTTGGGAAATGTTCTCACGTTTCTACGAAGTGCTGGTGGTGATTTCTGCTGGGGATGAGATGTTGAAGGGGAGTGACGCTGGGTGGCATCTTGCTTGAGGTGACGTATGGCTAGAAGCCATTGGAGGAGATTGTCCCCTTTGGGAACGTTCTCACATTTCTACGCAGTGCTGTGGTGAGACCTGTTGGAGATGAGATGTTGAAAGGGAGTGATGCTGGCTGGCATCTTGCCTGTGGTGCTGGATGGCGAGAAGCCGTTGGAGGCGATTGTCTCGTTGGGAAAAGCTTTACGCAGCGCTGGCGGCGACTACCAAGGTCAGAACGCACTCAACTTCCATCCTCACTCACCAACTCATGCTTTTCATACAGGTCGAACCTCAAGCTATCGTTGGACAGACCCAGCGCATCCTCGGACCCTTCGAAAAGGCCATACCAGGATCAGACCCTTCAGCATCGGGCCTGCGAGAGAGGATATCACTAGCAGACAGCTCTATGAGACTTCGAGTCAATTCATGCAACACTGCTGGCGGGGTATGCATGACCAGCATCTCGCAAGCCAAAGCACAAGATAATAATTCCCAGTCTCCAAGGCAGTCATCGAGGATCAACGGAGATCACCGAAAAGCTTCTTCGCTTATCGCCACATGATTTCAGCCCCGGCGTTGGCAGAGCGATTAATCTCGCGACTGTAAGCGATTGGCTCCACTCCAGCGCAGAGTCAGCTGCTTATCACGTCTCGACCGACGGGGGTGAGACATGGGTGCCTGATTTCCCACGGCGAATCGTACCACGTGCCCCGTCGCATGAACTAACTGATAACCCGCAATCCGTCCAATGGGCTGCTACTCTAGCGTTTCTTATCTTCCCCGCAGCCAGCCTTGTTTAAATCTCGACACCACAGCGTTACTCCCAGGAAATTTTTTCATCCTCTTTGCTTCAATAAATTGCTGTCTGTCCCTTGTCCGTTCCTTCCCACCTCCTCGCAGCCCATCATGGCTTTTGATCCGGAAAAAGGTCTAAGCACCGTCAACTATGCAACGCACGACCAAACCTCCGATACCAATTATGGTACGATTTCACATGAATCCGGCATCATGGCGAAACTTCGCGCATTCGAAGCCGCCATGGACAAGAAGCTCGGAGTCGAGTCCGAAGCCATCAGTCGCAAGCGGCCTGAAGACAAAAGAGAGGTCCACTGGGTGGAGGAATTATCCATGGCATTACTCTGGGCCAGCGGCACAATGAACACCTCCTGTTTCGCCACGGGCTTTCTGGGCTGGGAGTTCGGCCTTAGCATGAAACAAGCCATCCTCATCAGTATCTTCACTTCGATTCTGGCCGCATCGCTCAGTGGATACTGTGCCACCTTTGGTGCCGTTACTGGGTTACGCCAAATTAGTGTCAGTCGGTATAGTTTTGGTTGGTGGCCGAATAAACTCGTCGCTCTGCTTAATGGCATTCAGCAATTGGGTTGGGCAGCGGTCGCGTGCATTACTGGTGGTTTGGCCTTGACAGCCGTGTCGGATGGGCATGTTTCTTTGATTCTGGGAATTGTCATTCTGGCTGTGGTCGCGCTGCTCATCTCCGTTGTGGGACTCAACGCCATTCTGCTCTATGAGCGATACGCTTGGATGGTCTTCTTCATCATCTTCATGATCATATTCGGCGAGACCGGGAAATATGCAGACAACTCCGCTCCCGCTACCGTGACCGGTACCTCCTTTTCCGGTGCCGTGCTCAGCTTGATTGCCGTGGTCTATGGATCCAGTGCGTCGTGGTGCACCATGGCTAGTGATTACTACGTCCACTACCCTACGAACGTCAGCCGCGTCAAAGTCTTCTTCATGACCACCTTCGGTATCGCAATTCCCACCTCCATCGGCATGGTCGCGGGCTGTGTGGTCGCCTCTGCTCTAGACAGCAAACCAGAGTGGTACGACGCGTATGACAACCAGGGAATCGGCTACCTCATTCAAGACATGCTCTACCCTCGCGGATTTGCCAAGTTCCTCCTCACGCTTCTTGTCTTATCCGGAATCAACGTCAACGTTATTAGTATCTACAGTTCTGCCATCTCCTTTCAACAACTCTCGCGGCCCTTTGGTCGTGTTCCGCGGTTCATTTGGACCTTGATTTGCTTCGCGTGTATTCTGGCGCTAGCGATCGGTGGGCGCCAGAAACTGAACACCTATTTGCAGGACTTTTTGAGTCTGTTGGGATATTGGTGTACGAGTTATGCAGTGATTCTGTTTGAGGAACATTATATTTTTCGGAAGGGCGATTTTGAGAATTATGATTTGGAGGGCTGGAATGATCCCGCGAGGTTGCCGGTCGGGATTGGTGCGAGTGTGGCGTTTGGACTTGGGGTTGTGGCTTGGTGTATGGGGATGGACGAAACGTGGTTTATTGGTCCACTTGCGAAGCTGATTGGTGATGCTGGCGGTGATATTGCCAATGAGTTTACGTTCGTTGTTACCGCGCTGAGCTATATCCCGGCGAGGTATCTGGAGCTCAAGTACTTCGGTCGGTAGCTAGTCAACGGGGCTGAGTGGTTGGGTGTATGCTATTTGTCTTTGAGGTGTGCTGTGTATAATCAGATAAAAGTATGATGACTTAAGAATCGATGAGTGGGTGTCCAACTAAATTTCGTCCGGCAGAAGGACCTAGATCTAGGTCGCTATGACATATCCGACAACAAACTTCTATCAAAACAGCAGTCTGAAAGCGAACGTGGTAAGCACATCAACCCAAACTACCCCAAGACCGGACAAAAACACCATGATCCTTGAACAACGGCAACATCCAAATGACCCCCGTCCACGCCGTCCACATCTTCCAAGTCATCCTATCCGCAGCCACACCCCGCAGCAACAACGTCCGACACGCAATAGCCACCCCCACCCCAACAGGCAAGACATACCCCAGCACACCCAACCCCCAAAACGCAGGACACACAACCGACCACACCACAACCGGAACCGCAACGGACCACCGGGCCGGCCCGTCCCCCCAAACAATCGGAACCGTCCGACGATTCTTGGCACGATCACCCTCCATATCCTTGATATCCTGGATATGCATAGTTGTCCCGATGAGGGCGCTGGTAATGAGAATCCACCAGCATGTGCGCGGGGGAATGTCAAATTTCCCACAGGTGGCGACGCGTAAGGATCCCTTGTTGTATTGCGAGAAGGCTATGGCGAGTAATACGTTCCGGAGAACGAAGCCGTCGTCGCCGCCGCCGAGGTCGTTGTATGTCCAGTTTAGGGTGTACAGGAGGGCGGTTTCTTCCCATGCGGAGAGGTAGATGCTTACTCCGAGGACGATGGGGATCATGAGGAGGAGGAGGTGGCGGGTTTGGGTGCTGGTGATTAGGCCGGCGGGGAGGGGTCGCCAGGGTCGGTTGATTTTGTCTTCGGATACGGAGGAGGGGAAGCGCTGGTTGGAGAGGTTGAATATTAAGAGGTTGAGCCAGTTCCAGAGTATTACGACAGGAATCCGGGACAGGATGGGGAGGAGTTCTGGGGTGGGGTTGTCTGTTAGGAGGGGGCCGGAGAGGGCGGCGCTGAGTCCGAAGAGGGTTTCGGGGATGATGAAGGTTGTTATGTCGTCGGATGTGAAGAGGTAGATGGTTTTGATTATGCCTATGTTTGGCCAGGGGGGGTTGTTGGGAAGCTGTGTGTACTGGTGATTAGGTGAGGGTAGAGAGATGGAGGAATGGTCGTACCCTAGCGGAGTTCGGGGAGAGAGTGTCGGCTCCGATCGTGTCGATGTTCTTGACCTGCATTGCGTCTATACTGCTGGATAAACTGCATAAGACAGATTGTTGGACTGCTGGGAAGAAGAAAATAGAGGAGTGTAGGTTTAAGAACAACGTATCCTCTAGTAAAATTTGCGGCTGGAAATAAGCAGCTGAGCAGGCTGATGCCCCACTTGATCCGAATGATTTTAGTGGCGAATATCCCTGTTCCGGGCTTGTCAAGCCGAGGTGCTGCCGAACACGGCGCACGGCTCGCATAAGAAGGGCATTGTTACCCGAGTTGTCTCCCGATTCGTGACAGCTGATGGTAGTGTCGGCATAGATTCCCTTGCATAACAGTCACGATGGCATATGGAGCGGTGTGCTGCAAGTCTCGTATAAATCCACACCAGTCTAGAGCATTGCCAGCCAACCTACCAACAGCCGTCGTGTCAACGGTACCCGCATTTTCGTCGCTTGCTGCAGGCTTATCCCCCTTCTCTCCCTTAGTAACCGTCCAATGTCCATATAGCTTTCCACTGTTGCCCGGACTGGCTGCCTGACTCCACTCGGTAGCTCCCCAATCGCTCCTCGGCTGCTGTGATAGAACCGGTCCGCCTTTTGTAGCATTCGCTCCTGTAGCTCATAGATAACAGGGGAATTAGGAGACTGGAGCACATCTCGCGGCGTAAGGCCGACTTCACCCAACCATGTGGCAGGGATATACACCCGGCCAATTGCTGCATCCCGATGGATGTCCCGAGCGATGTTGACGCATTGGACAGCTAAGCCCATTTCCCTTCCTGCATTTGTGAGCTCGATCATATGTGGGGCTCGTTCACGATAGCAATGTGAGAAAATAAGGTCGAGAACCAGCGCACCGACTGTGCTTGCTACATATGCGGAGTATCGTTCTAGGTCGTGTTCGGTCTCGATCGGGAAGGTTCCTCTCTCAGGGTCGAAGCATAGGTCCATCTCAAACCCTTTCAGCAGGTCATATAGTGGTTCCTTGGATAGACCAGACAGGGGAAGGGAGTCGATTGATTGAAGTAGTCTCTCATATTTCTTCCCTTTCGGAGGTCCAGTTGTATCGCCACTGTTGATTTTCACGTCGAGGATGCTCTTGCACTGGGTGATCCAATATTGCGCTTCCTCTGCATTCTCGGCTTCGTCAATGAGATCGTCTACCACGCGACAGAAGGAATATCTATACATGTTAGAAGAGCAGCAAAACGTAGGGAGCAAATCAGGGGTAGGCAAATACAAAAATATCAGATCAATGCGGAGCTGACCCTGGAATAATGCGCAGCCCAGAAACATGCTTTGGCTTTTCTCCTTCAGGCAGGATACCGCCTGCGACAATGTAGATATCCGATCATCGTCTACGGGCATCGGTTTGATCAACCCGAGCATTGCAGCTTTTAGCGACGATCCCTTTGACGCTGGCTGAGTGAGACGCCGGTACTCTTCCAGAGCGAACGCATAGTCACACCCCACCAGTCCCATGACCACCATCAAGTTGGTGGCTAGGAAGAAGATTGCCTCTCTGTTATCGTCAGACCGGCCTACTATCCATACTGGAGACTTACTCCATTTCAAGCCCATGGCACTGATAATCTATTTTTGTGCCGGGTTCGATCCTCCAGGTTCCTGCTCCCATGGCACGCGCATCCGCGATCCAGAGATAAATCGTTGGCAGGCAGACCGACGCCATTATTGGCTTCTGGGGAAGTGCCGTCACGAACGGATAGGATAACACCCTTTACACAGTAAGCCTCCATCTTCACGAAGCGAGCAGACGTACCACTGAAACAGTAGGACCGGACAGACCCATACAAGGATCAATCCCAGGTATGTGGTCCGTCCTCCACATAGTAAACATACGATCCCGACCCCCATCAATCCCATAATTGCCACTGCAAACACATCTCGGCACCGTTTCTTGCGACATGATCGAAGGTACATAGGCCGAACAAGGGGCTTCGTAAAGATGCAGTATACTACGCCGGTAGTGTAGGTCTGTATGACGAAGAAGAAGACCTCCTCCATCGGAATTCTGAATAGCGAGGGGCCGGTTACTGCGTCGAGCGGGTAGCTCCAGATGGCTGTTCGGATGAGGTAGGAGTCCCAGGGGATCGTTGCGATGACGGCAATCTGTTACTCCTCGCTTAGATTCATCCCCATGCAGAATAGAGGTATGTACCGTGATCAGAATCCATATTTTGTAAATGTCTTGCCGGGTAAAAAATGGGTAGTATAACACCGTCAGCGCTGTCGCCAGCGGGATTGTATAGGTACAATGGCTATTTCGAGCTCATGGTCAGCATTCGGCAGAAAATAGGTCCTCCTGTCTTACAAAAAAATATAGTCCAGCCCCATTTTGCTATTGTCTGATTGCTGCATCCATCCGGGATATCCTGGTCTTTATTGTAGACGGGGACCATCCCGGCGCAAGGTTCGCCAAAACCTGCTGTAGGATCCAGACCCTGATGCGATGGGTCTGTGCGAGCAGTTGAGCTCCAGGAAGACCAGTAACCTTGACCCGTTAGCCTCGGGACAGGCATAGCCATGCTCCTCCCTTAGCCCTTTGGCGGAATTAGCACCTGGTACCCCTGGATCGATGGTCCCCGAGTCGCCGGACTGAATTCACCAGAAGCATAATTCTGGTTGTTCGGTTCAACCACCAGCAAGAAAAAGGACATTTTTGTCATAGCTAGGTAATCGCAGCATAAAGCAGACCTGGAGAAGTAACCGGGCGGTGCATCTTCAAATCGTCTCCTATTATTATGGAGAGTATCGAGGAATGGCTCAGAAAGCAAGGCATCTTAACCAAAGGAGAAAATGTCGTGATATACAAGCTGGCCGGTCACTAAGTGATATCTTGCAGATTCATGAGACTCCTTCTGAAATAATTCGGTATCAACTGCCAGCGAGAAAGAAAGGGCTGACAGAGCTCACTCTAATGAGGCAACTCATGGCAACCCGATTTATAAAGATGGGAAAAGAACGATAGTCGACGGCGGGGCCGGTGGATCGATCCTTCTATGGATCCGCGGGCGGGTCCCAAGGGCGGTCTAGGCAAGCAGAATACTAGTAATGACCGCCCGGGACGACCGAACGAACCGCGCACTGTCAACAACCACGCGCTCCCCAAAAACAAACAAGATGCTCCCCTCGTCTACTTCTATCATGTCAACACCCTACCTTGAGCTGAAGACATACTCAGAAGATGAGGGCTTCCTTGCGCAAGGAACGCCGGAACCCAGCAGCCGCTCACAAACCTTGATCTACTATGTGAACAATAATAGGTGTGGATCAAGGTGACTCTGGTTGGTACAATCACTATCCGTACACTTTTCAACAATAGCCAAATCCAGCAGGCTTCAAAGCGTCAACGCCGCATGTTCTACCAAGATCTCGTTAGACAAATCGACTACGAGCCGCTCGCCCTCCTGCCGGACACCGTGACTGAGCTTATATTAGAAGAAGATACTGCAGCAACGGGGCAAAGGGTGGAGAGCGGATTAGAGGGCACCCCTAGCACGATGAAAATTCTCAACAAATCCCTAAGATACAGGATCCGAGAAGATCCTCTTCGGGTTGTCTATCCTATGTCGGACGACTTCCCATCATTTCGGAAAATTAACGATGAAGAGCTGACAAGGGATACCGAAATCTCGGACGGAGTATTTCGGGTATCCAATAGTGGGGTACAATATATCCTCAAGATAGTTAATCGTCCTCTCTACGATCCCCACGACACCGACGTCCTTCGGGAGGAGCTGGAAAATCTTGAGTACTTTGCAGGCGTGCCGAATATTGTGCAAGCGGCGGGGATTGCGGTATCTACAAACCCGTATGCGACTTTCAGTGGTAGTGATGGACCGCTAGTTGTGACTGTGGTTCTACTCGAGGCGTATCCTGGAGGACCATTGCAGCAGGTTCTGTCCGAAAACCGCATTACTGAGTACGCTTGGAAGAAATGGCCCGTCCAAATTGGAACCGCGCTGAATCGCTTTCATGAGGCTAAGAAAACCCATATGGACATGAAGCCTTCAAATATTGTCATTGACAGCGACGGAAATGCAGTAATCATTGACATCAGCGGCATTGGCGGTATAACTCGCCGGTGGTGTGCACCAGAAATCCAAGACGAGGCGTCTCCCTTTGACCTGCCGTTTGAACAACGTCAACTTCACGATAATTGGGCATATGGAAAAGTTCTATCCGAAATGGCATCTCACGCAAAAGACGAACCATTTTCAAAGACTTTGAAGCAAGTTGCAGATTGTTTACTGAAGGAAAACTGCCAATCACGCATGAGTTTACCAAGGGCAATATCCCGACTCGAAGGTGCGGACAATTGGATAAGGTGTACGATATTGTAGCAAAAGGCCATTTGGCCCTTAATAATCATCCCAACCAACATCTTCTTCATCGAAACCACCGTCGTTTCTGTCACCTGATTGCACGGTCACAACCCTATAAGACACTTTGAGAGCCAAGAGACTTACCTGGTCCCTCCCGCATTGGGCTAGACTGTTCATCACATCCAGCAATTCCGCCATGGCGGGTGCCGGTCGTTGAGGCATCTGTGGTATTGCCAGAAGGACAGAGTGATTTTCTCTGTTCCGCATCCTTGCATGGCTGCTTGAGAGTCTTGCGATAGTGGCCGCAGTTATGGACACGTACTGAAAATTGCACATCGTAAGAGAATTCTTTCAGATAAATGAATACTATACTGGGTTTAAGGATAGTAGTTGGGTATGGCACACCACAAAGTATAGAACATAGGGTCAAGGATCGTGGTCGAATGGGTTACCCCGCAAAGGCTTGCCCCTCATTGACAACGAATGCTTTTACATCACATGCGCCCAACACCCAAATACCCAATCGAGTGCCTTTCAGCTTACACGGTACCTCATGTAGGTCACGATTGCGACTGCGCTAGTAACCGTATTAGCATGTCACTCAAGAAACCTCCAAAGCCTAGGGTTCAAATAATGCGCATACTATGTCGGGTAGATCGAAACCTACCTCTGGCCACCATGGTTATCGTTGGATTAAGGACGTTTCTAGATCTCCCGTAATGATAGTGAATTGGACAATTCTTGATATTCATACTTATACCTCAAAACCATACTCCGTACTGCTAGCCTCAATCAGTACCGCTGGAATCTCCAGTTCTTATCTGTAGGCACCTAGGTTATTGTGTCTATTCACTTGTCGTACGAACATGGTTTATCGACTCAGAAGTCATTGACAGATGTTCCTTGATTCCGCCCCAGCGGCATTCACACGTGGGCTTTTAGTGAAGCTAACAACCATCTCAACGATATTAGAGGTTGGCCGGTGTGTAACCATATACCCCAGATAGACTTAGCCTCAGGTCTGGGATCTAGCCATAGAGCGTGTGGTAGATAGCATGATTGAGGAAGACAATCTATTCCCGAAAAAGAATCCTTCGTATGCCCTAATCTCATCAGCATCTCATGCCCAGCCACCAGGGAGCACGAAGGCGATACAAGAGAAACAGACGTGGGCTTGCCTGTGAAGCGGAAGAAGGCACATAGGCACCTAAACATCCACCAGCCCGTGATCCCGATGTCCAGTCGCTCTCCACCTACCAGAGGTTGGGCGTCTTCAGAGTTCACTCCCACCTAATGCATGGCTCTCGCATGAGAATAAATAATCGAATGCATGACTGACATAACCGCTCAAACGCAATGCTCACATGCTATATACCAAGGATCGAAAGGTATTACCACGCCAGCTCCGGTCGGGCCATACAGATACGGCAAACTTGATCCCCCGCCCCGCTTCCACAGGCGATGAATTGGAACAAGCCAAATAAGTTAGGCTAAACAGTGCAGAGCCATCTATAGAGCCATATTCAACCGTACATTTTACATGTTTTGATACTATCCTAGGGCGATGATTTCACTCAATCTGTGGGCTTCTTACAATGAAGTTCATGTTTGTAAATGCTTGCTGCAATAGTCAAATATATATATATATATCATCCAGAAACCCACTACATAGCACCCAACCATGGGAACAACCAAAAATACTGGATTAGTTCTCAATACAGTCCTCTCTACCCCTTAGGAAAAAGTCCTTGGTAGGTAGATAAATAAGATTGAGCTTCTTGACATGTAACACCCCTTTCCCCCTACACCATCAAGACAATCCTTCTCGGACCCCGTCAACTTATCATTTTCTCTATCCTACTTCAGAATTCCCCCTAATGATCCCTACACTACAACATGAAAGCCAAGTTTGGTATTACCCTGAATATAAAGACCAGAGCCTAAAATGAAATCTGTCCCAGTAGCAATCTTCCCACCACCGAAGACATGATCATCGATATCCCACTCAGAACAGACCACATGGGAACTTATGCTCCCAGCTACCATTTTAGCCTCTAACAGATATGTACCATCAATTTCCCTGGACCGTTGATATTCGAGGCAACTGACGCGGATTCCGATTGCAGGATGTTAGACCCTGAGCGTTGTGAACTTTAGTTCTAGCCTTATAAATGGAAAAAGGGAGCTAGAGGGTATGGAAGCATCATTGGTCTAGTGGTAGAATTCATCGTTGCCATCGATGAGGCCCGTGTTCGATTCACGGATGATGCATTTTTCCCTCTCTTTTTTTTCTGTTTGCTGTCTTGCGGGTAGGGCTAGTGCCAATCACAAGATATACCTTCCAGATAAGGAGAATCCGCATTCACAAACTGAACGGGGACTCCGTACTATACAAAGAAAGCAATTCCTCAATATGTTTAATCCGGCAAGACATGCAGGAATGCGGTAATTCTGGGATTTCTTTTTCTTTATATAGGCAGCAGGGCCATGGTAGGAAATCATGGGAATATATAACCCCCTACTCTGAATCGAAGTATATGATCCACCAAGTTCACCTAGGGTAATATAGTATCTTCATAGAATAAGCTAGTCGAGATTATAAAGAGAGATGACTCCGACCATTTGAAGCTATAAGTTCTATTCTAACTATAGACATATATGAACTAAATCCCTCAACTTCACCCCCCACTGCACCCCACTGCACCCCTAAAACCGCACATACGACCCCGCCCGCCTCCAAGTTGGCATTGCCTTATACTCCTCCAACACCCGCATCTCCTCCGGCGTTAACCTCCTCCGTCCGGTCCCCAAGTCCGCCGTCCTCGGATCCACCACCCTCGTCCCAAACCACACCTTATACCCCACAAACACGGCCATAAACACGGGTACTCCAAGGAATACCTCAAAGAAGCTCTCCGCCGAGGCCTCTTCCCCAATGGGGCGGATACTCACATACGCCATCATCCCCAGACACCCCAAACACAATACTAATAACATCATGGCGGGCAAAGGAGATCCCCTGACCCGGACGGCAAACGGTTCCTCAAACACCATATCACCCTGGGCTTTCACCGCCCTGCGCATCATAATATTCGTCACGGCGACCGTCAACCACGCGAGAAAAAACACCGTCGAGGAGATCGAACTAAACCAGGTAAAAATCTGCGCGCCGGGTCCGGTACAATTGATATACGTGCATATTGTCGAGCAGATCGCTGTAAATAAGAGGGAGAGGTATGGTCGGCCTCTGGTGTCGATTTTGCAGAACGCAGGGGGGAGCATGTTCATTTTTGACATCGCGGTGAGGATGCGCGAGGCGACGTACATTGCTTCTGTGGCGTTGGAGCAGACGCCGAGGAGGATGATGGCGTTGAGGAGGGAGGGGAGGAATGGGATGTGTGCGGATTGGAGGGCGATGACGAAGGGGGAGGCTGCTACTGTGGTTCCTTCGGAGCTTAGGAGGGCAGAGGAGGTATATGGGACGAGGAGGGTGATGAAGACGATGGAGAGTTCGTAGAAGAGGATCAGCCGCACGAACAGGTTGCGACACGCCCGGGGCATGTCCCAGCGCGGAAAGCGGGCTTCCCCGGCACTGATGCCCATGATTTCTTGCACGCCCATGGCCCATACGGCGAGGGGAATGGATTGGCAGACGCCGCGGAAACCGTTGGGGAAGGCCGGGGCGGAGGTATAGTTCCAGGCGTGTGGGGTGGTAGGGGGGGAGCCGGCGCCGGCGAGCATGGCGATGCAGGTGAAGATGAGGATGAGCATCATGGTGACTTTGGCGCAGGCGGTGAGGAATTCGAATTCGGCGAAGACGCGGTTGGGGAGGGCGTGGATGGTGAAGATGATGGCGAGGAAGACGGTCATGCAGGCGGCGGTGGGGATGGCGGTGGTCCACCAGGTGAGGAGGACGCGGACGATGGCGGCTTCGGAGGCGACGATGGTCATGTAGGCGAACCATTCGCAGATGCCTGAGCCACAAGAGGTTAGGGGTTGTCTGGGATGTATGATGAGGGAAAGGGAAGGGGGAGGGGGTCACCGATTGCAAAGCCGAGGGCGGGGTCGACGAAACGGGCGGCGTGGTCGATGAAGCTGCCGGATGTGGGCCAGATGCAGGTGATTTCAGTCAGAAGGCTCATGAGGAGGTACACGGCGATGCTGACGACCGAGTAGCCGATTAACATGCCAGATGCGGAGCCGTATTTGAGGGCCTGTCTGGTTAGGTTGAACATAATTCGGGCATGCGGGAGGGGGAAGGGTACCTTTCCGGTGCTGACGAAGAGGCCGCTGGAGAGATTGGCTCCTACGGGGGTTAGTCAAGAAGTAAATAGAGGAGAGAGGCCAACCAAGACAGATCATCTGGATATGACGGGCTTTGAAGGTCCGGTGCAGCTCGTTGCCTTCGACAGGGAGAATCTCGCCCTCGGCCTTGTCGGGGACATCTTGAGTGGCTTTTTCGGTGTCTGTCATGGTGTGTGAAGTGATTGCCCCCAGAAATATGGCAGTAAGAGGCAGTCATATATGATGGCATCGGTATCTCTGATAGAAGCACTTGCGGGGTCCGGGGTATGATTACAGTCATGTCGGCTATCAGCCCGTGATAGTATCCGAGCCTGTCTGGGTATACATCCAGTGCTCTGGTGGCAATCAATTGACCGATTAGGTAGTCGATTCCGCGGGATCGACTGAGCAGTTGCACATAGATATCTTATCCAGGGTGTCATTAGACTATCCTTAATCTGATACATCATCCAGAAACTGATAGTATTCCTGATTTCAGCTATAGTCTACTCCTCAATCCGCTATAGTCTACTCCCCATATTCACATGAACCGCCTTCAGCTGCGAATACGCCTCCAGACCAGCCTGGCCCAATTCCCGTCCAATGCCACTCTGCTTGACGCCTCCGAACGGCACCCGCGGATCACAATCCTGACTACTATTGATCCAAACCATACCAGCTTCAATCTCCGCCGCCACCCGGTGTGCCCGTTCCAGATCCGTGGTAAACACCGCAGCCCCCAGACCATAGGTCGAGTCATTGGCCCGACGAATCGCTTCCTCCTCCGTATCAAACGGCAGAATGACCACCACGGGGCCAAACACTTCCTCCTGGCAAATCCGCATCTCATCCGTGACATCCGTAAACACCGTCGGCTCGACAAAGTACCCCTTCTCATACCTCTCCTCCGCAGGCGTATAGGCCTTCCCACCCGTCACCACCGTCGCGCCCTCCTGCTTCGCCAACTCAATATACGCCAGCACCCTCTCATACTGCGCCCGAGTGACCTGCGGCCCCTGGTAGGTCCTCTCATCCCACTGATCCCCAATCTTCGACGTGGTCTCCACGACCTCCTTAAACCTCTCCACAAACGACGCCAAAACACTCCGATGCACAAAGATCCTCGACGTGGCCGTACAAATCTGCCCCTGATTCGACATGATCCCAAAATGCGACCACTTGACCGCCTGCTCGAGGTCCGCATCCGGAAACACAATCAAGGGGGACTTCCCCCCCGTCTCGAGGGTAATATTCTTCAACGTCCCCGCCGCCATCTTCATAATCTCCCGCGCCGTGGCAGTCGATCCCGTAAACGCTACCTTATCCACCAACGGATGCTGCACCAACGCCGCACCCGCTTCCTTGCCATATCCATTGATGATATTCACCACTCCTGCCGGGAACCCCGCCTGTTTGATCAGCGTCGCGAGCACCAGAATACTCAACGGAGTCTGTTCCGCCGCCTTAATAACAACGGTATTCCCGCACGCCAGCGCAGGACCCAATTTCCAACTCGCCATGGAAAGGGGATAATTCCACGGAATAATCTGTCCCACGACACCGATGGGTTGCCGGATCGTGTAGGCGAATTTCTGCGCCGTCGTGCTGATCGTTTGCCCGAAGGTTTTGTCCGCCCACCCGCTGTAGTACCGGATCGTGGTGATGGCTTCGGTGAGGTCTTCGTCGTAGGCGACGTGGTAGGGTTTTCCTGATGACGTTAGACACACCATGGGTAGACTGTATAGGGCACGAACCGTTGTCCCAGGCGTCGATGGAGGCCAGGAGGTCCCGGTTCTCTTCGAGGAGGTCGGCTAGTCGGCCCATGAGCTGGCCGCGGTCGGTGGCGGGGAGGAGTTTCCAGGAGGGGTGCGCCAGGGCGGCTTTGGCGGCTTGCACGGCTGTGTTGACATCTTCGGTTGTCGCGGCGTGGACGGTGGCGATGGGTTGGTCGGTGCTGTGCCAGTTAGTACGGGATTCATAGGCAGACAGTGGTACTCACGCCGGATCTAACGAAACAATCGTCTGTCCACCAGATGAGGGTCGAAACTCATTGTTAATGAACAGACCGGTCGGTTGCTGGTACCGACGGCCATTCGGCGTGGTAATGTCAACGAAGAGAGAGTCGGCCATGTCGCTGTTTGATCGTAAATCTGGTGATAGATACACCGGCGTGGGAAGGTATTGATATAGCCTCCGTGGCTAGAACTTCCTTTTCCGGAGGTGTCACCGACTAGTTTCAAATTCCAGTGTGTCAGAGAGGCCTCCAACTGATAAGCGATAACCGGGTTACCCCTCACTGCAATGGATCGATGCGCAGCTGTCAATAGTCGGCGCTAGGCGCGGAACTGCTTGCCGTTGGTAGTGGCCCCACCAAACGGGAAGGAGATTCCGGTGCCATGCCGGAGTTAGGGCTTTCATTCGCATATACTTCTGTATAGACTCATACAGTACTCGAGGAAGGCAGTCCCGCTGCACTCGACATAAATGCACTCAGACGCACTGAGACAATCCCAGCCTCATCCATCACATCCATCACATTCATCATCATCCATCTACCAAAATGACTACCACACCCCTCCTCCACGGCATCATGGTCGCCCTGATCACCCCCTTCACCGACGACAAGACCCAAATCGATGCCACCCGACTAAAGTCCCACATCGACCATCTGATCAGTGCCGGCGTGCACGGGCTCGTCCCCGGCGGCAGCACCGGCGAATTCACCACCCTGACGCGCGCCGAACGCAAACAACTCACGGAACTCTGCGTTGAGTATGCGGCCGGCCGCGTGCCCGTCGTCGCCGGCACAGGCAGCACCTCCACCGAGGAAGCAGTCGATCTCGCGCGCCACGCGGCCCAGGCTGGCGCTGCAGCCGTTATGGTCGTGCCGCCGTTCTACGACCCTCTAACCGTGGAGGAATTGATGGAGATGATGGCGGAGATTCGCGAGGCGAGTCAGCTGCCGATCGTGTACTACAATATCCCCGCCGCGTGCGGGTTGACGTTGTCGCCGACGCAGATTGCGGATCTGAGTAAAGTCGGGGTCGAGTATCTTAAGGATACGTCGGGTAATGCGCCGGCGTATACGGAATTAGTTTTTGGGTTGTCGGATCGGATCACCGCGTTTAATGGCTGGGATACGCTGACGTTTTATGGCTTGGCGGCTGGGTCGCCGGGGGCGGTTTGGGGTGCCGCGAATATTATTCCGGAGTTGGCGGTGGAGTTGTGGAATGCGGTTGCTGTGGAGGGGGATTTGAAGAAGGGTCGTGAGTTGTGGGCGAAGGCGTGGCCGATTTGTAAGTTTTTGGAGTCGCATAATTATGCGGCGGCGGTAAAGACGGGGGTGGAACTGAGGGGACAGGCTACGGGGGGGTTGCGGAAGCCGTTTGCGTTGTTGAGGGAGGAGCTGCGGGTTGAGTTGGCGGGGTTGGTGGAGAGTGCGGGCGTTACTGTTGTGAAGAGGGATATGTGATATGGATAGGAAATATGATTGATGATGGCATGTTCGTATCTCGTGGCGTCGTGAATAGCTTCATAGTAGTCATGCTAGCATTGGCCAGATTTGTTTCTGTTTGACTATGTCTAGCCATGTGGGAATGGCCTCGCCCCGGCTACTGCCCATCTGTGCATCTTGTTTCTCCCACACTTGTTTCATCACATCCCGCATCGTCTGGTAGGCAGAAAACCCACATCGTGCTTCCCCTTTGTCGAGAAGGTTCAGAATGGACTTGCGCCGGTCTGGTGTTGTCGCTTCACATCCGGCAATGAAGAGCGGCCACACCGTACCCGGTCCCGTGAGGTTCGCATCCGACAAGGCTACGTCAAATTCACTCAACGCTGAGATTACCCGGTCTACCTGGCCTTCCAAGATAGCTGGATGGACCTGACGGATGCGTCGATAAAAGAAAATAACTAGCGCGGCGTTCAACGCCCGGAGCAGACTTTCATGCGACTTTGACAGTCTGTCCGAGTCGCATGTGCTATCTGGCCGTTGGTTCAGTGAGCACACCATACTCTCGAGGCGAGCACTGCGGCGATGCAGTGTTTCCCAGGCATCAAAGCTGACAGGCTTCTGACGGCCTTCCCGCGCAACCCGAAAGGTCTCCAGCACATTGGCCAGTCTCGTTGTCTGAGACACCAGACTGAGCCATGTCTCGGAGACTCCGTAGATCTGGGAGTAGAGCGTAGCAGGATACTTTCGTGAGTCTTGTAGATGAATGTCATACAGACCAATCTCTGTATCCTTGGGCTCGTCAATGTTCAAGTCGCTATCGGCCGGTCGCCGATCCAGACGCAGGAAATCGTCCAGCCGTGACCGGTCCGCGGGTTGTATGGTGTCGACTTTCTGATACCGAAAGCGATGCTTGAGCGCCTCCATAAAGGAATCCGAGGGTGTATAATCGTGCAGCGCGTAGGTGCTTTCTCCCACAATTCGTAGCCAAGTATACAAGTGGTGTAGGAGGCGTGCCTTTTGCGAAATACGAACTTTAGACAACCCCCGAAGACGCAGTAGCCTCTCTGCGTCGATCAGGTAGCACCGTGCATCCTGCTGGTGACCACTCAAGATCTACCGCGCTCAGTAACCGTCTTCAAGATGTAAACAAGACTTACGGCAAATTCTGTCAGCGCGCAGATGGCCATCAGCTGGTCTTTGTATTTAGCCTTCTTCGGCTCCTGCGTCTCATGCTTCAGGGACATCTGCATGTGGTCTTTCGCTACGTGATAGGCGTGTTCGGCTACCGGCCGCCAGCGGTCCGTCAAGTCCGGCGTCATGGATGGATCCACGGTGAGGTGGAGGGCTGAACAGGCCAAAAGACAGTACAGATTCGCGAGCCGGGCGTGACTGATGCTTTGCGACCCTAGGAACGTCAGGTCGCTGTATGTTACAACCGCCGAAGGGACATTCAGTATCTTCCATGGCGATTTCTGTTCCAGGGGAATCGCCATCATACGGGAGATAACGTGGTCTTGGAAATGCCGCAGGAGAAAATGAGCATCTCCCAATATATCGGGCGGGCTGGAAACAATCGTCGGCTGGGATGTTATCATCCGCAGACTGTCTCGCTCCACAGACATGTAGGCAGTCTGATCAGGTGCTTCGCTCGTAGTGTTCGGTTCCAGAGTAAGCATATGTGATGATTCCAGCGGCAACCACTCTCCCAGATCAAACGAAGCGGACAGGGCGGCACTGTGCATTTGGGGATCCAAGCTCAGAATATCAGACCACTGCAGCAGATCATTCATGTAGGCGATCGACTCCTGCGACAGGGACGGACTAACGACGGAACTGTCATCTAGCGGGCCAGGTGGCCCCGCATTTTCAACGACAGTATCAGCCTGGGGCAATGGCGGATTGATAGCCAGATCTAGCACGGCGAAGGGCCCGACCACGATATCCCCCTGTGATGGCCTCTCAGCATCGCGCGATCGGGTATCAATCTCTGCCAGCGAGGCATCAATAGAACCAGACACCAGATCCGCACCCAAAGCATCGCTCATAGACACTCTCGATTTCTCTAGCGATCAATCAGAACAGCCTTCGGACGACGCGATGGCATTACCTGTGTAGAGATGGCGTCGAGCACCTTGCTTATCGGCCTCACTGCTCCTCCCGTCGATAGTTCCCGAGGATTGATGTCTCCGAGTAGGCATCCATCGGATCTCATCCGCAAACCCCTCGCATTGCACGCCGGTGGCCCGACACATCTGGCAGGTCGGCCGTCGTTGATCACATTTGGCATGGCGGCGACGACATGTTTTGCAGGCTCCCAACGCATGGGACCGACGGGTGCGGTGGGCTGATGGTTTGGAGGCGGTCATGTCAGGAGGCCATTGACTAGATGGTCAGAGAGTGATGAGGGGTTGATGTCGATAGTCGATAGAGCATAAGAGGAAGATAAGAGGGCAGGCGATTCCGCCAACGGAACCTCTTGCCTTGTGGGGATATGGATGATGCCGGAAGGACCTACTATCTCGGGCTAGTCCGATCCCGCGATAAGCCGATAACAGTCATCGAAACTCGCAACAGCTACCTTTACTATCAACTCAAGACTAGATTGTAATGCGTGAATTGGGTGGCTGACTATCGTTGCCTATTTCAGCCCCAATTTCTGGGCCTCGGCCAGAACCGTGGCCGGGATCTCCTCTTCCAATGTCTGCCCCGCTGGAACCCATCCCAGGAACTGGCGGGCTCGCTGGGCTACCTGCCGGGCGTTCGTTCCCCAGAGTACTCCTCCGTGAGGGGTGAGGGAGTCCGCTTCTCCATGGCTGATCTCCGCTACCGAGGCAGAATCCGCAAGACCGAGATTCTTCACTTCTTGGGCAACGTGCGTGGAGATTGCTCCGAATGACTACTTGGTTAGCCGGACATTTATGGATAGAGACAAAAAATGTATTGTGTCTTACCACCGCCCCAGATCCGGGGAAGTACAACCCATTCTCATTCCACAGTTCACCATCCTCATTTCGCAACACTTTCTCCACCAGCTTCACAAAGATGCTGCTCACATCGGACACATGGACATTACTCCATGTGCTGTCTCCCTTTCCTACCTGAACCCCCTGGCCCCGTTGTATGGTCACTCTCGCGAGCTCGGGAATCTGGATGCTCCGCTGGTTGATGGGCCCTCGGCCGCGGCCATAGATGATCGGAGGGAAGATGAGCGCCGTTTTGGGTCGGTTCGCCGGCGACAGACTGAGAATAAGGTTGTCGACTACTCGTTTCGCCGAGTATCGCTGGATGAGGTTTTGGAGCTCGTCCGCTCCGTCGAGATCGTTGTAGACCTTGTCCGAGGCTTCACCAAAGGCGTTGTTCTCAATGTCCGGGATGGAGAGGACGCTGGCGCCGGATATTTGGATCCAATGGCCTGTTTGGTGAGCCAAGTAGTGGAATTAATCTGGTGGTAATTACCTGGCTTGGATCTGCCCGGGGCAGTGAGACCACGCGCAATCGCTTCGACGCTTTTGATGTGGTTTGAGCTGGCGGTATCTGAACCGACCGTCTGTTACCGGCGAACGGAGATGATACAGTATGTTACTCACGAATGACAATATCTGCCTCACGGGCCTGTTCCTCCAGGATGGAGGAAGAGTCTAGGTCTCCTGAGATGACACGCACATCGGGATAGACTTTGGAAATGGCATGTGCTTTGTCCTGGTCCCTCAACAATGCCGTGTACTGCAATCCTGGGAAGGCCGATTTCAGTGCATAAAGCACATCTCCGCCAATGTAGCCTGAAGCTCCGGTTCTATTTTCGTCATGGTAAGTAAATGCCAACCTGATTGCCTTGAATACCTACAGAAAGATTCTCGTCATTATAGCTGTGATTGCTTCTTGATTCTGAATGTTCGAGTTGCAATGAAATGTACTTGATGGAATTAAAATGAGGAAATCATAAGAAAAACGACGTGATGAGGGGCATGGTCATGGTGAGATGGAAACGGTAGGTGTTTCCGAGGAAGACCTGACCGATAAGCCATGCACGGACATCTCATCACATGGCATGAGATGCTTCAGTTGGCATGGGATTGTGGTTTCGCCGATTTGCCATTCCTCTGGACGGAGATAGCTTTTTACTTGCCTCTTTGGTTTTACTTTCCTCTTCCGTCTTGTAATCCTTTGGGAGAGGCCCGTATATAAGACTGGTCGATATGTCAAGTCATGCCAATCAAATAGTAATATCACAGTACCTAGAATACCTCATCTCAGCATGGCTCATCGAGGAGAGACATTCGAGAAAAATGTCTCGTGCATTGCCGATCTGAAAGCTCTAGGGAGCACGAAGCTCCCCAAGATGGTCCGAGGTAGGTGCGCAACACCATAGCTCGATAATGACTAACCTGTGGTATCAGACTACTACAATGAAGGAGCGATGGACCTCCTCACGTATGTCCATCTCAGCAAGTGATCCATCGTAACACAGCTAATGATGCAGCCTCCGCGACAACGAAGCCGCATATGACCGCTACCGCATCCGCCCGCGGGTTCTGATCAACGTGGAGAATGTTGACACTAGCACGGAAATACTTGGGACCAAGGTATGACCTTGCTGCTCCCTCAGTCGTGTCTAACTTCTGTAGGTCCCTCTCCCTTTTGGATTCAGCCCCGCCGCCTCCCATCAACTGGCCCATCCCGACGGCGAGCTAGCCACGTCTCGCGCCGCCGCCAAGTTCGGCATCTGCATGGGTCTATCCTCGTACTCGACCTGCTCGCTGGAAGATGTCGCCTTGCAAGGATGCGGCAACCCCTATGCGATTCAAATGTGCGTGTTGAGGGATCGGTCCCTTACCCTGCAGCTTCTGGACCGGGCAGAAAAGGCGGGCTACAGAGCCCTGTTCTTGTCGGTGGATGTGCCCGTCCTGGGGAAGCGGTTGAACGAGTACCGGAATGAGTATCAGATGCCGGAAGACATGCAATGGCCCAACATTCTCAGCTCGGGGAGTGATACCTCGAATCGGACGGATTATGGTGGGTTGCCTTGAGTGCTGTTGGAGCTTGCTGACGGTGAACAGATCCTAGCCTGGATTGGGAGACTGCGATTCCTTGGCTTCGGGAACATACCAAGATGCAGATCTGGCTGAAAGGGGGTAGGCATACCTCGATCAATTTTAGCAGCGTTTCTGACCCGAACAGTAAGCGCACCCGAGGACGTCGAACTTGCAATCCAGTACAAGGTCGACGGGGTGATCATCTCCAATCACGGGGGTCGCCAACTGGACGGGGCCCCGGCCACGTTGGATGCGCTCCGAGACTGCGCCCCGGTCGCAAAGGGACGCATCCCGATCGCCATCGATGGTGGCATCCGACGAGGATCGGATATCTTCAAAGCGCTGGCGCTGGGGGCCGACTATTGTTTCTTGGGAAGGATTCCCATCTGGGGGCTGGCGGTAAGTGAACCAGCAAACCATGCGATGCTGGCTGACTTGATAGTATGACGGTCAACGTGGTGTGGAGCTGGCCATTCGGATTTTGCGCCAGGAGTTGAAGATCACGATGGCGTTGGCTGGGTAGGTGACTTCAAGACCCGATGGATGATAATCGCTGACCTGTCCAGATGTCGGTCAATTGCAGAGATTCACCGAAGACATTTATCTGTCCTCAAGCCCGACGGGGTTCTCGCAAAATTATGAGACTAGTATATTAGCTGGGAATAAAACCCGTTTTCGATCTCTACCTCTCACTCTAGTTTTACGGCATGATTGTATTGTACCTAAGCATGGCGTCTGAAGCAGCTTCCCGGAAATTATTTCCTGCGAAGCACTGCTCGAGCGCGATCGGTCGGTTGAGCCAACAGGCAGCACTCGCCGATGCTCCCGTTCTTAAGCCCTTCACTCGATTCGCAGGGATCTGGTGACACTAGATATGCACGACATATTGGCGCCGTGGCTGGTTTATTTTGGATACCCCGCAGTTGCACGTTCACAAACCTTCCCTTGACTGCAATTCCTCCCCAACCTGCCTCTGCTAACTGTCAGTGCTCACCATGGCCACCGCACCTCCTGTGATCGACTTTGGGCGTACGTCTCCATCGATGGCACCCTGCTGCCTCGCTAACAAGCACAGCATACTACGGCGATGATGTCGCCAAAAAGGCAGCCCTGGTCCAGCAAGTCCGCCAGGCCTGTGAGAGACATGGATTCTTCCAGATCATCAATCATCAGATCCCGTCCGATCTTCCAGAGGCTATCCTGCAGCAGGCTCGAGAGATCTTCAGCTTGCCGCTTGAAGTAAAGGAAAAGTACAGTCGAGGTATCTACATTCCACATCGCTGGCTGCTGCCTGCTGGCTGACCAGTCAGAAATCGACCCGGTTAACCTGGGATACGAACGGCTTCGGGCTCAGACCTTTGGCGAAGAGCCGAGCGACCTTAAAGAGGGCTTTTTTCTCTGTCGCGATTTTCCTCCGGGACATCCCTTGATCGGCCGATTCTCATTGGGTCTCAACAAGTATCCTACAGAGATGCCAGATGTGGCCGGGTTTCAGAGTACTGTGAACCGCTACCATACGGTAATGGCTGATTTGGCACTTGATATCTTCCGAGTGCTGGCACAGACACTGGACCTGGAAGAGCACTGGTTCGACAGCTTCTGTCACGACTCGGTCAATATCATGCGGTTATTGCGGTATCCACCCCAGCCGGCGGGTGGTCGAGAACGAGGTATGATCGCATGCCCGCCTTACACCTGAGCTGACTGGGCGCAGGAATTGGAGCTCATACTGACTTTGGCGGTCTTACCATCCTGCTCCAAGACGACCAAGGCGGCCTGCAGGTTTGGGACCGGGAGTCGTCCCAGTGGGCCGATGCCGACCCGGTGCCGGGCGCCTTGGTGGTGAACCTGGGCAACATGATGATGCGGTGGACCAACGACCGATACGTGTCGAATTTACATCGGGTGATCAATACCAGCGGACAAGAACGATACAGCGTGCCATTCTTCGTTTCGGGCAATCCGGACTATCTGGTGGAGTGTATCCCGAGTTGCAAGGCGGCGACGGAAGCGGCGAAGTACCCACCGATCACGGTGGAGGAGTGGCTGGAGGCACGCCTCGCGGATACGTACGGGGGAGTCGGCGTGGGAGAGTTGTCAAAGGAGGTGGCCAGCGCGACCCATTGATGAGGCCAGTCAGCTGCCGGGGTGGCTCAAACTTGGTTCCGGGGAAACGGGGCTCACATGTGAGAGTGGATCCGGGGATGCGACGATAGAGTCCATTTAAGGTCATTATCTAGCAGCATGTGAATGACTCGATCCTGGGGTGGTTGTCAGATGATCGGTTGCTACTGATTCTATAGTTTTATCTTTTCATCTAGCAGAGCAACCAATGACTATAGTACTGTGAGTGGAGAAACGAGGGAACCCTTAAAGAAAGGGCTGTGGGCAAACTCTTGGTATGCCCGGCCGAAGTTAGGCTTTATATACCCCAGTTTTCGCTCAACTGACTTTGTTCTACTGACAGTATCAGATTCATTCGGTCGCAAGATCCGGGCTGGCTCGGGCAGCGCCATCCCGAGGATCGAACGGGATCCAACGAGACGGTCGGCGCGGCTTCCTCAGGCATTCAGGCATCAAGGTATCCCGGCAAGCAAACAGCCTCGGCTATTACCGCAATAGGCAGGTCGGGCGCCCATCTGCGGCGTTTCGACCGAATCATCCCCCCCCCCGTGGAGGATCGCTTATAACGCCTCCGTGCCCCAACTTTCCCCTTCCCATTCCCCAACTCACTCCACAATTACTACCGCCATCATGCCGTCTCCTCCCCCTGACTGGGTGAAAGCCCTCAAGCCCGCCCAGCCTCATGGCTCGCAACTCCTGCAGCAGGAGCGCGCTCAATCCAATGTTGCCGTTGATCGGCTAGGCGAATTGCTGCACACCAAGGAGGCATTGGACCGTCAGCAGCGGATTCTCTCCATCTTGCAGGCGGAAGAAGTCTTCGACAAATCACAGAATCACACTCTGGGCCGGACCGAGCGGATCCAGCGCTCCCTGGCCAAGGGAAAGCGACTGCAGCAGTTGTCGGTGCAGCACAACTGGTCGCAAGAGGAGTACCACGCCGCCAATGAATTGCTGGCCGAACCGACTCCATATGGACTGCACGCGACGATGTTCTTGGTATGTTCTACATCACCTCTACACGTTTACGTGGTCGCTAACGGCGTAGGTCACCTTGCGGGAACAAGGAACCCCCGAACAACACAAACTCTTCCTCGAGCGCGCACAGAATTATCAGATCCTGGGATGTTATGCACAAACAGAGTTGGGGCATGGGTCGAACGTGCGGGGACTGGAGACTACGGCCACGTGGAACCCGGAGGATAAGACCTTTACCATTAACTCGCCGACCCTGACGGCGTCCAAGTGGTGGATCGGATCGCTGGGTCGTACGGCGAACCATGCGGTGGTCATGGCCCAGCTGTATATCAATGGCAAGAATTATGGCCCGCACCCATTTGTGGTTCAGATCCGTGATATGGAGACCCATCAGCCACTGGAGAATGTGTACGTTGGGGATATTGGCCCGAAGTTTGGTTACAAGTGAGTCTGCACCAGCACTACTTAGCTTGAGCATACTGACGTATTTAGCACCATGGACAATGGTTTCCTCCTGTTCAACCATGTCAAGATTCCCCACGTGAACATGCTGGCCCGGTTCTCGCGCATTGACAAAGAGACCAACCAGTACATGCGCCCGGCCTCGCCGTCTCTCATCTACGGTACCCTGACGTGGGTGCGCTCCAACATTGTGCTGCAGTCGGGTGGGGTTCTGGCCCGGGGTGTAACCATCGCCACCCGCTACTGCGCGGTGCGCCAGCAGTTCCAGGACCGGGATGCCACCGGCAACGTGGGCGAGAACCAGGTTCTGAACTACAAGATGGTGCAGATTCGACTTCTGCCTCTGCTGGCATCCATGTACGCCCTGCACTTTACCGGTCGCGGCATGATGCGCCTGTATCAGGAGAACCAGAACCGCATGAAGGCGGCCGCCCAGGCGGCCCAAGAGAAGCGCGGTGCCGGACCGGAGGAGCTGCGGGCGGGTGCCGACCTGCTGGCCGATCTGCATGCCACGTCTTGTGGTCTCAAGGCCCTGGCGAGTACGACGGCAGGTGAAGGTCTCGAGGTGTGTCGCCGTGCTTGCGGTGGCCACGGATACAGCAGCTACAGCGGCATCGGGCCGTGGTACTCGGACTACCTTCCGACGCTCACCTGGGAGGGTGACAACTACATGTTGACACAGCAGGTGGCCAGATATGTAAGTTATTCTCTTCTGCTGTCATTCGGGCTCATCGGCTAATCTTGTAGCTTCTTAAATCCGCCCGTGCCGTGTTGGCCGGCAAAGGAACCACCAACGACACCTCCCGCATCCTGCAGGCCTACTTGGCCCGCCGTGACATGGGTGCCTCGTTTGACATTCTCGGCAACGACGCCGACATTGTGGCCGCGTTCGCCTGGCGGACGGCCCATTTGACATTTGAGGCGCTCAAGCACCGGGACGTGGAGAAGCGGTCGTGGAACAGCCTGCTGGTCGATTTCTGGCGTCTGTCCACGGCGCACTCGCAGTACCTGGTGGTGAAGAACTTTTACGAGGCGGTCACCTCGCCCGAGGTGACGGGGGCATTGGACGCCGAGACAGCTGGCGTCCTGCACAAGCTGTTCCGACTGTATGCGCTGCACACGCTGGAGCGCGAAGCATCCGAGTTCTTCTCATCCAGTGCCGTGACAGTCCGCCAGATCGGACTGACGCAGAACAACGCGGTGATGAAGCTGCTGGATGAGCTGCGGCCGCATGCCGTGCGGTTGGTCGATTCCTGGAAGATCCCCGACTGGCAACTGGACAGCAGTCTCGGCAAATACGACGGCGACGTGTATCCGGATCTGTTCCGCCGAGCGAGTCAGGAGAACCCGGTCAATGACCTGGTATTTGACCCGTACCCATGGAATGCAGCCGTCCTGAAGCCGAAGAGCAAGCTGTGATGATACCTCTGGTCTGTGGCGCTAGGTGGGTAGATTAGTGACATAGAGTATCTAGACTAGAGAATAGATGCATACCACTTCACCCTGCACAATTCACAACTAACACATCCCGGAACGGAACTGATTCTATCCGTGCTATACCCTCACATCCGAGCTCCGCCATCCATCCCCACCATGACATCAAGAGTCCCCCACTTGCTTAATAATTCTTCAGAAGCATCCAGCATTACCAATCAGAACCCTCCCCCCAACAACAACCCCATAGGATAACTATACATATCCCTGCTCCTATCCCTTATGCATCCATCCACCCCTCCCCCAAGCCCAAACGCAGTAACCATCCAAAATGAAAGAAATCATCAATCTCCCCGGCCCCAGCACCAAGCTGATCGACTCCCCCATCCCGGACATCAACGACGACCAAGTCCTCATCAAAGTCGTGGTATCCGGCTCTAACCCCAAGGACTGGAAAGTGCCCGAGTTGGCGGTTAACCAGGACAGTGCGTTTTTTCAGCGGTATGCGCGGGTCCGCCAGGGAGTGAATCAGGGGGATGATATTGCGGGGGTGGTTGTTAAGACGGGGAAGAATGTTGTCGAGTTTAAGGTATATACCCTTGTGGCTGTGATGAAAGAGGGGGGGGGGAGTATAGGGCTGACCTTGATGGCTGATGATTGGGATAGGAAGGTGACCGTGTCGCCGCATTCCATGAAATGTTAGCCCCGGGGGGCTCGTACGCCGAGTATGCGGTGGCGTGGGCACATACGACGTTTCATCTGCCCGCGGAGGTTTCGTTTGAGGGTAT